AGATCCTCATCCACTAAAAATGCAAATATGCATTCCAAACTATATTTCAAAAGCAGAATTCCTCTTGAATGCACCAGATCAAATTGGTGATGCAGCCGGGTATACATTACTATCATCCTGCTCAATTTTCAAGGCAGAGCTGATGGGAAAGATGTCCCTCTGTACGAGGGTTATAACAAAAGTTCTCGGAATAGGAAATAAAATGGCGCATAATTGGCCGCCGATCGATTTGGCGGCCAATGTGGCGGCTGTGAAGGCGGCTGTTGATGAAAATGGCGTAATTTCCTTGGAACACCTGGAAGCAACCCTTGGAATTAATGCCACATTAATTTCATGAATTCTAACGAGAAAGCTGGGCTACGACAACAACAAAATCTGCAGGAAGGGCGCCTCATCTTATGAGTAAAGAGCAAAACTCTGCCTGGGTGAATTTTGCAAAACATTCAAAAAAATTGTCAAACCGGGCTGATTTTTTTTTGCCGAAGAATATGTTTTCCCTAAAGAATAATTTTTTTCAGCTCGATTATGCGCCATTTTAATTTCGATTCCGAGAACTTTTGTTAAGACCCTCGTACATAAGATCTTCTGCTGAAATTCAGAACGCACATTCCGAATTCTCTTTTTCAAAATTGGATCGGATTCCTGGTAAATGCGTCAGATCAATTGATAAGGAATCCGCGGGTATATGATCATTGCTTTTAATTTTCAATCCTGATGAGCTTTCATTGGGAAAGATCTCTTCTGTAAGATCATTCACTAAAATTCCCAACACGCATTCCTAATTATCTTTTTCAAAAGATGCACGAATTCCCGCCAACATCTTCATATAATTGTATAATGCATCCGGTTATATGATCATCACGTGTTTTTTTCAATAAGGCTGAGTTGATATGGGATAATGGGAACGATCTCCATATACGATCCTCTGCCAAAATACCAACACGCATTTGACCGAATTCTTTAAATTTAGGGTTGGGCTGATGGGAAAGTTCTCTAAAAGATCCTCCATCCATAATCGTTGGAATTTAAATGTTCTATCTATAATCCTTTTGAATATGTAGACTTCTATCCAATTACGTCACAAGATCGCACGTATACAGCAGTAGGAATAAATCCGATTTTTCCGTGCGTTTTCAATTTTCAAAATGAAGAAACAGGGTCTATAATATGGACATGGAAGAGTGTGGCTCAAGCTAAAAATTCTTCTTTTGTCAAAGCTTCATTTTGGGAGTTTCCTTCACGTCAATCAGCATATGGATACATGAAAAGCTTCAAAATTATTGATAATATAAACGTGAAAACAAGCATTGCTGACATTCACCGTCTATACAAACTCAATCAAAATTCGAAACGTCGTAAATTTCGCAAAAAATATCCCTGGTAAAATGTCCATGATAGCACCGTGTTACGTTCTTTTCAAAATCTCAGCTGGATTCGTTTTTTTTTTGTCAGTCTACATCAGTGGTGCACAACTCAGAAGTGGTCAAGGGCCCAGCAGTTGAAACAATAGAGCTTTATGCTGTGGTCTGCAATGAAAAAATCAAATGTTATGCATTGTGTTATTCATGCATTTCTGGGATGGCTGAAACCATTCTTTCTGTCTTGTCAAGTTCTTCAAATTCAGAACTGTCAGTGAAAGGGGTCTTCATCTACAAACCTTTTTGCTGCATTTTTACTGCTGTAGTTCAACTTGTATCAGCATTCCAACAGGACTGAATTTTTGTTTCTGGGATGCTGAGGAGAACAGGACTGTAATGACAAATATATAGAAATATATTTGAACATGTTTCTTATTTTGTGCTTTCTACCTCCTTGTGGGATTATATGTGGATTTTTTGAGCTTCTGGAAAAAGACATGGTTTATTCACTGCTGGGGGTGTGGATATATACAGGTAATTTGAAACCATTGGAGGATATCTGTAATCTGTATATACAGTATATATTTGTCAGCAAATTTAAATCCAAAGCAATTAATGTATTTTAAAAGCTATGATTGCTGGAATGCAGAATATCAACTCATTTTTTTCTATAATCTATTGGCCTTTGTGTTCAATTGATATAATTTGAATTCAATGGTGGAAATTACTACATTACAGTGGCGTTAAAAAAGCAGATCAAATGCTAAAAATTTCTGGAATTCAGCGTGCAGTATAAATTTTTAATTGGAGAAAAATGCAGCATTCCCATGAAAGATTGCTGAAGTTACACTGGAGATTAGACCACTTCATCACATTTTAGACTTCAATTCATAAATATGATTCCTCATTGATTAGCCGCCAATTTTATATGACATTTTGAATGGCATTAAAAAGTGGCCCGTCTTTTCAACTATGGACATATGTTCATTTGTATTTTTTGCAGCGGAAAACCCATTTCTACAAACATTTAAGCCACATTTTTATACTGATCTTCGGAATTTTGGCGATCAACACGATAACGCATTCAAAATGAATACTGTACTGTCCATAAGTACTGACCTACTGCACCATATATATGACCAATTCAGAANATTCAGAAATCACTTTTTGAACAATTGAAGCCTCAATAATATATTCAATTTTTTGCTGTTCCAGTTCACTTGCCTTCTATTACTGTAGCATTTTTTTCGAGAGGCATATTTTTTCCAAATGTTCAAGAAACACCAACTATTTGATTTGATGAAAATAAATAAGAAACCAAAACATAATAAACATTATTGTATAAACTTCCATTTGCGTAATAATTAAAGAAAAATCTTGAGGAGTTGCTCAAACTTCACCAAAAAACGCCCATGATACAGCAACAATGCATAAAAAAGAAAACATTCGTGGTTTCTGTTCCGTCTGCCATTTTTCAGTAAATAATTTTTCTATAGATTCGGAACATTTTGGATTGAAGAACTGTGTTCTACAGCATTGATTAAAACTAATCATTTTATCACGAAATTTGTCCTTCTAAAAAATACTGTTCTCTTCTCTATTCCTCGGCCATTTAAAAAGCACATGCATGTGACAGGAATAACGACGAGTTGATCTTTCATATCAAATGCATCCCTGAATGTATGCATTAATTATTCAGGGTTGCCACTTCACTGATCAGAAAGGTTGCAGGAAGCCGTGCGGCGTCAGATCGTGAAGATAAGGATTTAGAAGCAATTTTTTCGCGTAAAACATACTCAATGTAAACATATACCAATGTACAGTATACTGTATACATATAGATGTACGTATCCATCATGAACCATACATTTAACCCATTTGGTCGATGAATGCGAGCAACTGCTGGCTGCTGAAGTATATACTGTACTCGTGAACACACCCGGGGCCTTGGGTAGCTTCAATTAACGACGACGACATCCCGGTCAACAACTCCGGAGTCTAAAAAGCAGCAGTTTCGTGCATTTATGTTGTCGGCAGAGCGGCGCCCTTTGAAGTCAAGTGTAACTCCTGTGTATTTCCGCTTGCGTAAGACCACAAGTTAAACTTGGGTCTGATGGGATCGCGGTGTGCTTCTGGGACCATGCAGAATTTGCTCATATCTTGATGCATGTGCATTTTTTAACCTATATGAGGCAGAAATGAGCGATAGTATCCTTTAAAGCGCATGCAGTATACTGCATACTGGGAGAACTGTACTGTGAATTGCAGCTAGCTTTTCAAGGATGAGGTTTAAATATGTTAGAAGAGGATATTATAGAGACCTTTAAAAAGAGGATTAATAGAAAATAACGAAAAGGTCAACACGCCATTAAATGGATTGCACGAATAAGACTATGGTGAAGCAGAGTTCTAGAAATTTACTCGAGCAAAAATACCCCAGAAGAAACGGTCGAGTATACAGAACGATCAGCATAGGGGAAATTTTCCCGTTCGGAAAATTTTGAAATACATGATATATATGCTTCGTGAGAATAAAACAAAAAACGCATGTTTATTGCTTTTAATTTCGAAACCACGCCCAAGTAATTCCTTTAAATACGTTGCTATAGATGTTGCCACATCATTCGTCACTAATACAGTACTGCTTCTGTATACGGTTTCCGAGAAGTTACATAGTTTTTCGTTTAATTTTCAACAAATTTCTGTATTTACTGATCAACATTCAGCAGCATTTCCCTCGAAATTTTCTGAATTTCCCTAGCGAATCCGCGGGTTTACATAATTTCAAATTTGTCTTCTTCGCATTCCAAAATCTTCTACAAGAAAACTGGTTTCTGTCACACAATTTTTTTAGTAACGTGATTATGTCCTGGCCCCTGGGAGAACTCTCCATCTTGAAATAGTGACATTTGAATATACAGTACATGCAAGTTTTGAGCAAGATTTGTTCCTCCATCGGCAATGTAATTAAGCAGCAAGGCCATTTTTGGAGGAAGATTAAAACCAATAGAAATTCGTTTTCAATAAAGATATACACTTGCGAAATGTACCGTATATAAGCATGGTTTCATAGTAATGTATCACTCCTGTTGTACTTTTTTTCACTGTATCAGGAATATCCAAAGTATTGTGCTTCATCAAGGCTGAAGCTTTCCTCTACTGTACAGCTCAATTGAACATGCATGATGTATAAATTTGAATCTTGGTAACTTGAATCTTCATGATGAGTCAACCTACTCAACCTTATACAGTACAGTTCATCCTCAAGTCAATTTTTTCAAGTCCCTTTCCAGATTCCCTCTGAAACAATGCATTCAAAACCTGTCTAACTCAAAGGTTTTCTCCTCAAACTTTTATATTGGATGGAATTTCTGGAAGCCTCTCATGGACTATCATTTGATGGACCCATCATCAGGAAAGAGAACAGCAATAAAATTTAACTTGATTTTTTTTTTCAAAAGATTTGCAAGACTAATTGGGCAAATAAGAAGCACTTCAAAAATCACCCGACTTTCTTTCGAAATTTTCTACTAGAGACATGCAGAATTCCCTGCGAATCTTTTCGATACCGTTACCGGACGTAACGTGATTGGTACGTTATTTCGATACTTCACTTCGAAGAAAAAAAGAACGATGACGAATCAAAATTAGGAACTCCATTGTTCCCGGAAATTCTTGCTTTTTCCGCAACCACAAAAATATTTTCATCACACGAAGAAGGAAAACTCCGCAGAGAAATTCACAAAATAATCCACAGGCCTGAAAGCTGCTACGGGCGCTAAAGCGACGGTTTTCAATGTTGCAAAACCAAACCAATTGCACCCGACAATAAATGCATTTACAAATTCCGCAACCAAAGCAGCTGTATGCCAAAAAACTAAGAATCCTCCAAATGTTTCCTTCCACCCCCACGGATCAGCTGACTACGTAAAGTTTCACGGGGTACAGAGTACAGCTCAACTGGCAAGTTTCCGATCCTTCACAATCTCAATTTGTACACGAGGCGGGAACAGGAATCGATTGAGACTCGATGGCACAACGAACATTCCGAGCTAGACGACATGTTTTTTGTTGCGGTTGTTCCATTTAACAAACCGCGACGGTTGGATTAGAAGCAGATCGAGATGAGGCTTCCGCATCCGAAATGAGGTACGTGAAGGCATCGTGCAAGTTGGCTGGCAAGTGCTGGAAGATCATCTTTGGCGTAACGAGGATTTCGTTGAATTCTTCTGGTCGAGCCCATCTGGCTACGAACTCATCTTTTCTCTTCTTCGCACTGGTAACGCTTCTTTGAGCAGGTTCACTGCTGCAAATAAGAATAAAAGACACGATTCATGCGCGCTTTCTCGTCAACGAACTCTTTTACGCGAATACGCAAAAAACCCTTCTCAGATGGGGCCTCTTTGACTTTCACGCAATAAGGCCGTTCACGGGACTGGCCAAGAAATCACCGACGTTCAAATAATAAGAAAAAACTGTACTTATGAGTGCGGATATGCTAACGACATTATCAGAACGAAAAACAGTGAGTCCCCACTGGCCATAAAAAAATACCCGTGCAACGAAAAGTTCACATAATGAAAATTTGAAAGTGGAAAAGAATGACTCGCGCAACGAAAATGTACCACATAGAATATAACTTCGCTAAAAAATGCTCAACTTCGCAAGTTTTTCGGTACACAACTTGAGAATTTCAAAAAAGAGGAAAATTTCAGAATAAGGGTAAACGCCTCTTTTTGTCTTCAAAATTGGGGAAATTAAGGGAAGCTCAGAGCTCAAAATTGACAGGATTACTAAAATTTTAAACTACTGTACTACTTTTAAAATGCAAAACGTTATGCTGAAAACTAGGAAAAATATACAGTGCTTGAGATTTATCGTGATTTGCTGGTAAGTTTGTAGAACGAATTACAAAATGTACAACGTAACCTTGTGGGAAATTGCATTTTGCAGAACGAAATACGTCTTAGTTTCGTTAAGCGGGCACTCCTCGTAAGGAACAGAGTGTTAATCCTTTGGGCAAATGTGACAATGTCCCCGAAAAACTTACTTCTGGGCATTTCTTGCACTGAAATGTTACAGTAGTCATAGAATTTATTAAAAGGCATTGAAAGAAAAATACAATGAACTTTGCAGTTGTTTTTTCTAATTGAGTTTAAAAACTTGCCTCGACAAAATTCATTTTTAAATGAGTGCCTAAAGCCTCAATCTTAAAAATATACATCTCCAATAACAGACGAGCAACTCACTAGAATCGTCGAGATTCAATGTACAATATTTTTCCGGGTATCAAAAGGCAATCACAAGATTCCTTGGTTTGCTGCCGCTTGAACCGCATTCTCAGCTCGGCCAGGGATTCCTGAGGGAGGAAATTCGTTACAACACCGGACTGTGATTCTCTCTGTTTTCGTCGTACATAAGACGGATCTGCGCCAGATCTTGGAACTGCACTCAGCAACGGCTGATCCGGAACTTGAGACTCCGAACCGTTTCTTGGTTGCAGTAGGAAGTCCGGTTCGAATCCGCCGAACAGCATTCCGCAGCAACCCGTCATCAAAATACGGTGCTGAATTGAAAGACCAGCGAAATACAGTACAAGAAAACCAGCGAGAAAACTGAATTGAAACAGCATAGCAGAAGATATCGTAATCGATTCGCGTCAAATTAGTACAGTACAAACAATTTCAATGCCTACCTTCGGATATCGACACTGCTCTAATGCTTCGATCAGTCTAATTTTCAACGCATGAGCAGAGGCAAGACAGAGGCGAGGAACAATATCGTGGCCTAAAACCACAGACATGACAAATTTTTCCGTGATTTTCGCCGCTTCCGGAGTCAAAGTTCCTGTTGACAAAACATCAGAAATAGTCACGATCAACACCACATCACAAACGAGAAACGGGTAACAAAAATTCAGCGACTATAACTTTGATCATTCACGTAGTTTCACTTCAAAAATCAGGGCAGAAATGCAAATTCAAACCAGATTTCCACCACAGAACGAATACGAGGGTTTTCTGGTTTTCGGAATTAATTCTCAAGATTAAAATTGAGTACTGTACTATACTGTGCAATCAGATAAAGGGTATTACTCAAAACAAACAAATTACTTTCATATTGTGTACCCAAATAAGCCGACATCGTGAAAATAAAAGATTCGCAAGCGCTTTTTCCAAGTCAATGCTTTTTATCACAGTATCCATGAGTTCACGTTTTAGTGATTTTCTCTTCCCCACGTTCAAGTGATTCCCCCACACGTTTTAGTGATTCCCCCCTTCCCCTTTGTGAGGTCTGAGTTTTTTTTTAATTTATCGCATTTTTTGCAGAACCCGCCATGATACAGTAAATTTCAATTTAATAAATAATTCCAAAATTTTCCGGGGGGAAATTTTATATTAAAGCCTTGTTCTTTCCTGACTCCGCATGAAAACAATACAACCGTGCCAGTCAGGAAGGTTACACAAACCGACTGAAAATGTTGCCGAGTCGAGCCCATCCCAAGACAAGAACACCCGTCCATCAATCTAATTTATCATGAACTCACCTGGACCCGAATAAGCATAACATCGCAGATCTGGGAAGGTTGGCCGAAGCAAACAAGCCAGAAGACCAGCTACCGCAGCTCCCAAGCTGTGACCCACAAGGACAATTTGGTAATCAGGATACATCGCTTTCGCATCAACCAGAACTTGAGAATCTTCCAAGCGATTGGCCACACTTCTCGCGGCAGCGAACATTCCCTGAAGCACGCAAGATTTTTTCCGAAGATTCGGCATCAGGGGTACGACACAATCTTCAATATGATTAGCACAACATGAGCCTCAAATATACGAGGATTACCGGTACAAAACTTAATCGCACGCGAATATTAATCCCCCAGAATATTGAGAAGGAGGTAATTTCACACGAATCGAAAACGTGCAGTACCCTGACAGTTACTATGCAGTGCGAATTCGTCATTCAAATGATGACGTTTCCTTGCCGTTTAATACACTGGAGGATCACAGCTTTCTAGTGCGGTTATACAGTGTTGTATATCAAGCAGGTACACGTTGGCATTCTAATTTTATACTTAATTTTTCATAGTTTTAATCTTTCTGGGTTCCAACTGTGCAGGCTATTTGGGTACCAGATTTACGTTGTGCTGTATTGCTCGTAGACTAAAAAGAACTTCAGCAATTACTACATGCGTTCTCCCTATACATATATGCCTCATTTTTTTCCGATGAAATTTCGCGCGCGTTTCATCGAAAGTTTTAAACTCAACAGAAATGGTTGACTTATCACTGCACGGTTCATTTTTCTCAGGTAATGTTTGATTTTAAATATGTTTAGTTACAACAGGAATCTCTAGGTCTAGCAGTCACGGAAAGGCAAACAATGCGATAAATTCAAAAAAGTTCAATGAATACATGCAATGCAGAAGTGCACGTCGTCAACTGGAAGTTAGAACACTTCTCAAAGCACTTTTTCAAGACCCAAAAGCTTCAAAACAAAAAGTTTACAAACCAATGCAATGTCAATAACGGAAAAAATCGAACAACCAAAAACTGACCTCCCGACAGATTCCCCTGAAAAACGAACCCACCATCCAGTGACTTTCCAGCAACTCAATAATTATAGTTCTGAGAAATATCTACCTTATGCGATCGAGTGCCTTCGGGTATTCCAGGCACCGAAACTTCTTCACTCGATGCACTGAGATCGGTTAGAACATCGTGCAAAGAAAGAGTTCCTCTAATGGTGACCACGATGCTTTTGCTCTCGTGATCGAGGGCCACATAAAACGGAGTCTAAAATGTACAATTCATTAATTTTATAATTTGAAAAAAAAGTTACATTCCTTACTTCAAATAAATTGTTGGTCATTGATAAATATAAAATATCGTCCTGCTCCAATCCTGTGATGAGTTTCAGCGCAGCAACATAGCACTGACAGCAATTATCTTCTTTATAGTAGGGTCTCCTGAAAAAAGTGAAAAGTCATTATATCCATCTGATGAATAGATATTCGAACCTCCTTTTACGAACCGACAGCATCCGAAACACTTCATCGTCTTCCTCAACATCCACATCCGCTTGAAAAATCCCAGGTATAGAAAGTAGAACCAACCATAAGCACCCCAAGCATATTTGAAGTAATGAGCCGCCAGCTTAACAGTCATCCAGGATTCCGGTTGGTTATCTCGCACGATAAGATCATGAGAGTACATTTCTAGAAAAATTCGGAGCACAAATCCGAAGAATATTTTTACATCAAATCAAAGCACACAAATTCTACGACGAACAGAACATAACATACTCATATTCAAAACGGGATTGAGATACGCAGGAACAGCTAAAGTACCAGCATTCGCCAGTGAATTTTTCTTGAAGGACCTATGGCCAGCATGAAGCAGCACAAATCCAGCCGCTACGTCCGACGGTACAAGATCAGCGTTTGTGAACAGTCCGCTCATGAGTTCTGAAATGGATTAGGAATTTTGTACAAAATAGTACAAAATAATTTTGTACAAATAGTCCGCCTCCGATGACGAACTCAAGCAAGCAAATGCAAACTCCGGATTTTGTAGACATTACGTAAGCTAAACGACCCGGAAAATTTCCGCTACGTAACTTGAAAGTTTAGCCCTTCCTGGAACTGCGCTCACCGAAAACAAACAGGATTAGTACAATAAAATACTTAGGCAGAACTGTTTCTCGGAGTCAGACAATGACGCAGTTTAGTTCGATCCATTTAGAGACCAAGGCAGCTTTTCCAAGCAAGATGTTTTTATGAACACGAGCAGAATTGGTACGTGACCAAAATTAAATTAATTTGTAGCTCCCATTATTCATCATTAACCAATTCTTCCTTGATGCTGTTCTGGAATTTGTCAGCACCACAAAAAAGACAGCCCCCTCTTTTATTCTTCGCAAGTAACAAGCTCAACTGTCAAAGCACCGAAACGCTCGGTTTCTTCCGTACTGATTTCCAAATCGTTCGACTGTTGAGTCTAACGCACACATCAAAGAGTTTGTCACTCAATATAAAATGTAAATGAACCGAACCTGCTATTTGCCGGAAAGTTGCAACAGTATTGGAGTCTTTGCGATTGTAAAGACAGCAGCACAAAATTTTGCATCTCCCTTCCCAGAGATTACGCTGATTCAAGTTAACGTTTGAAGCAAGTGGGCCCAGGTCATCATCGAGTTCCGGTTTCCCGAGCGGATCAAAAACAATCCAGCACCCAGCAACAATTACGCACAGTATAAACCAACTGACGATCACAACACCTAAAAAAATCAGCAATTTGAAATCAATTCCACGCGGTTTGAAAAAGGACTTCGATCAATTCAGCATGTGTGTTTCCCGCAGCTACGAGAAAAAATTTCAAAAGAAAGAAACAGAATGCGGAATAACCTGATACGACGGAAACAGTCACCGGCTCATTGTTGCACTGAACTGCATCAGAAAAGCACCAATACGTTCCCAAAATAACCCATGCCAGCTCAGGGACACACAGAAACAGCCTGCAAGTAGAACATGCCATATGTTTTACTGCTTTCTTTCAGTCGATGTAACCAGTTTCAAGAGCAGACCTAACGTAAAGAAAGACGGGCAAATTTCTCCTCGGCCGGTCGTCAATGATTGTCCCTCTCGAGCTGATGCTAACAAGTGCGACATCCACGATCATTCCTGCCACGTTAATGGCAAAAACACCGATGAGATATAGTAGCAGAAGGTGTCCTCCAGGACAGTACAAGTGGGTACGATGGTACAGAAAGATTCCAGCCACAGCGATAACCCTGCAATAAAAAATGAAATGATGGTTTATCCTCTATTCTTTTTCACAAGAAATTTTGAGCAGCTTTTAATCTATCCAGTTTTACAAAATCTTTAGAGAATGAATCGTCTGTAGTATGAACGCGTCAGCACAACGCATAGTTGAACCTCATCAACTCAAACCTCCCGAAGTCAAATGCCTTCCTATGTCCTTTTTTCAATTCCCTGTTTGAATTCCCTGAGAAACAATGCATTAAAAACCGCCGTAACACAGAAGCTTTCCCCAAACTTTCATAACTCGCATTTACTTGCTAAAATCTTTTCGGCATTCATTTTATAGACGCAGCAAAGAGTAAAGTAATAAAAAAGTAATCTGATGTGTTCTGAAAGGAAATGGAAGACTGATAGGGCAAATTAATCCTCGCCTCACAGTTCAGCATCCAGTCAACTCATTCAAGGAGCAATTTAAGGCCCAGAATACACCGATTACAATTTTCTGTAATTCTTTTATTTCCCGAAACAAAAACGCGCTCTCCCCGTCACTCAAAACTTCCCTACCTCGAACTTTCTTTGCTGGTCCCTTCAAGTTCGGCTTGAAGGGTTCCACTCTACTATATAATATTTTGCTCTCAAAATTAGGGCTTGCTCATTAGTTTTCTGAAAGAACTTTCTTCGTCAGAATTTGCGCACTAATGGCGTGTGAATCTCACCAGGGACACTTGATGAACAGCTCTACAACCCCTGGGATCACGAAGTCGTCTGATCCCAGGCTCCATCGTCTACCGAAGGCAACCAAACCCGGCATTGCCAGACCTGGAAATAGCAAGCAACGAAGCACCAATTCTATTATTTTGATCGAAACAAAGCGCAGCTATCACCAACACAATTTTCAAAGCCAAGACGTCAATTTACGATATTGTATGAGGTCACATAATTTATGCACTAGTAAAGAGCATTGAAAAATTGAGTCCCGATTTCCGACGCGACTCAATATTGGATTTCTGACATTTACCCTTGGATTTCGAAGAAATCCTCCACCATCTATTCGAAATACGAAAGCCGGTCCGAGCCCAAGAAAACCCAAATTTCCGCTCTTTTCCGTATGAAGCACACAAGAAAATACGAACGTCAGCAGAAGAATCGAAACCCCACAAATGCGTCCCCACGTCTTCAAGAGTGGATCGGACTAATGGGCTCCGTATAAGCCCGCGAAAATCGTTTCGTATATCCTTGCAACGGAGTTCTCAGCTCAAACACTCAGTTTCGTCAGTGGTTACACAATCGGCAGTCGCACGTACGACGTACTTACTTCAGTGTCGAATTTCCCTCGCCCTACTACAAGGTCAAGAAAAAAACAATCAAACACGCTCTCAAACTGTTCGACAGAGAGAAATTCGCAAACATCCTGTCAGGTATCGTGGACGCTTCGAAATTAAAAACCGTAAACGCGCAATTAGATATATCGAGCATTCGAGACTGAGATTCTAATCCTGTATTTAGCACAATTTGCACACACAGTAATGTATTTATATCCGATTAGGGAACTGAAGTAAAATGTGATTGCACTGTTACCTAATCCACAAAATAGTTTATTCTTCTGAGAAAGATGAAGACGTGATTATAAAATTCACGTCCAAGGATGGTAGAACTGTCGAAAGGGAGGAACAATCTTTTCGCCGTCTCCATAACTAAAGTCAGTGGCGTGGGGAAAAAAAAGAGAGGGGGCTTTTTTTCCAGCCGAAGTTCACCTTGTTTCATGAAATTATTACTCAACAGGCAATAGCGAGACAATGATCATTGCCCTCGAGATGTGAATTATTTGCTCACGTTTCCCAGGTGCCAGAGGAAAATCATAATCAGAGAAGTTAACGCTTTTTCCCTTCCATCCTGAAGTCCTCGAACACTTGATTTTCAGAATGATGACACGATTTTCCCTGGTTTTCCACCTTTCGAAAAAATTCATCATCTTTCATATAAATCCCGGAATATTCCTACAGGTACAGTACTGCAGCTTGTAAATCGCCCTGTAAATCGATACGCAGAATTGAAGCACTTCGAGGCGGTAATAATGCATTCATACTTTTAATTAGTTCTAATAAAATGATTAACTAATTGGGCAAATGCGCCTTTGCCTCCAAGTTCCCGGCGATACAAATATATTTATCCTTATAGTTAGTACAGAACAAAACGATTGATTTCTTCAATTCTACATGTTCCTGACTATTAATCCAACAGGTAGAAGCATGTTCGAATCCATAAAACGCCACCTGGCGAGGAAGAAATACATGCCGGTCGAAGAACCTCGACTGTCTCGGGCACGACAAACCATGCAACAACATTCTCTTGCAGACCAATGGCAGCCACATCCGACAAACAGTATCTACGGCAATCGGGCGACAGCAGCGCGCAAGCAAAGAGAACATCGCCGACAATGTCAGGGCATGAAAAACGATATCACCACTTTCAAAGCGGATCTTGCAAGAAAATCGAAATCTATTCGCAATATCCTATTTCATCGCAGAAAGGTATCAAATACAGTAGAGTTGAACCTTGATATTTCAAACCTCTCTACCTACGTCAAATACCTCCTCACGTCCGAATTTCCTTAGAAACAATGCATTGAAACTTAAAAAGCTTCCTGCATAGAAGGCTTTCCTTCTCAAATCTCCACAACACTAATTTTCTGGAGGCCTTAAGGTTATTATTTTTTTTTACCAAAGAAAGAGAAAATCAATAAAAGATGAAACTTGATGCGTTTTGAAAGGGAATGAAAGACTAAAAAATGATCCTTGCTTCGAAGTGCAGCATCCTTTCAACCAATTTGAAAAGCAATTGAAGGCCCAAAATATCACCAATTACATTTCTCTGCAACTTTTCTTTCCTTCCCCGAACAAAAATGCACTTTTTTGCAGGCCCCTTGAAGTTTGACTAGAAGAGGTTCGACTGTACTTCATAGTTCATGCAATCAAAGTAAATGAAAATCAATCGTAGTAAGAAAAAAACGACACAGAACAATTCCATCGTCAGAGAATTTTTTCTGTGAAGCAGTGTGCTTGAACATAGCTCAATTTTGTTTCGTAATGAACAACTGCAGTCATGAAATTTCAGGGCGAGAGTTTAATCTAATTACATCATGACCATTTTCAGGAAGCGAGCATTGCACCGGCATTGTCCATCGTAACAGCTGTGACGCCTGATCTACAATGTTGAAAATTTTCTGCGGACAAGGCTCAAGAGTCAGGACTTGAGACTCACGATTCTCCTGCCGATCGGAAGCTTATCTTTACATTAACCTGAATATCGATTTCACTCGAAAAGTGGTGGGGAATAATTGAGAAAACATGAAACGACTGTACGTTATTGTACTGTATTTCTTCTGAGATTTACGGTTTTCGTTTGACTTCAGATTTTTAATAAAATTTCAGATGTTTCATTTTTTACGAAGGGACTGTCAGTCATTAATTCGGGAACTCAATGTCAAAATATAAAATAGTACCTTTACTTTCAGATACGCTTCAATAGAAGAAAGAAAAAAACTCACCTTGTTCACGGAGACTGTGAACCCTAGGTTGGCATCATCACAGTCACAAAAAAAAACACACTTCAACTCTGCAATAAAAAAGATATAGAAGTAAACACCGCCAAAAAGCATCGCAGCAGGTCGAACAGTTTGTATAACTCAGCATAAACGTGTTCCAAAAAACAACACTACAACACACACCAGCGACTAGATTTGTTCTTTCAGATTAAACTGGGTGGACTGGGGTTCCGGTATGACATGAACATAATGTCTGTAGAATCGACTGTCATCATTTTTCAGGTAAGCATAATGCATTTGAACAAGGAAATGGTCGAAATTCAGGTTTGTTTTCTCCACGGTCTCCATAACCCGGCCATGACCGATAGCGTATAAGCAGCCATCGCTCTTCATCTCCACCTGCCAAATAATGCAGCAGTTAGAATTGTGCAACACATTATACTCGACTCAAAACTAAATAAAGAATGAAAAAAAAAACAGAAATACGTATGGCAGAAGGATGTCACAGAAGAATTGATGAATTGACGTAAGCTTGCCCAGCATACTGTACAATATTTCCACATGAGTAAAGGCTATCGACGCTCAACCGCATCATGTATTTTAATTCTGTAACATTCACATCAGTTGGTTGAGTTGCTATGAACAGCTCAATTTTATCCCAGAAGTATAAACTAATCGAACTTCATTCTTAAAACCACTTCGCCACCGGACAAGCCACGATGAACCCCGTACAGCACGTTCGATTAAGTTCGCTATTTTCTCAACTTCCTTTCTGGGTGCCACCTGCTTTTTCCCGGCAATATTTCAACGGTAATCCGACAAAAGAATTACTGGAATAATTGATTTAATGATTGGCGCAATTGCGGAAGCGGGAAAATGAATTGAGGTGAGTTTAGATGCGGCGGGTCACCTCATCTAAACTTGTGCCAAAATGTGGAGGCGGTTGTGATGGGAAAACTATACTAAATCAGCTATTTCATTGAGAAAATATCTCGCGAACGTCACCCTTTCCATCATTTTCCGCGATTAAGATTACTCTCTGGTGGGCAGTCAGGTGGACCATAAGTTCATCGAATTTAAAATCCACACATCGTCTACATGAAGGAAATCCAAACTCACGTTCTGTCCAGGAAGAATCGCAACGCGAAACTGGTTCACAATCCGAAAACCGTCCTTGGTTCGGTCACCATCACGTCGCTTCCAGCCTTTGAGTTTGCTTTCATTGATATACCTAGCTTTGGGTTCCCAAAGATTTTTCCGGAACCTTACTTGCGTTCTCAAGAAACACGGGGCAGCTAAAAAGTAAACAACATCACCCCACTGTCCACAGGTGTTATAATCCAATTTCAAGAAGCATTTCCGTCATTACCTTGTGCCCCAAGCTTCTGGGCAAGGGAACTCAAATTCCCAGGGTTCATTTTCACTGCTGATCTCCTGATCAGTCAAAAATATCACTCTAGCAAAGAAAGGGGAAATTTCAACAAGTTCAGAAGCTCATACATGAAAGATATATTTTATTCTCTTTTCTGGCGAGAAGCGCAAAATACACCGGAACAGAATACACGTTCTTCTTAACGCGGCGGCACTCTAGCGAATGCATATTTGACATTCATATAAGGTATTATCCGCGATTGATCTTCGACACATCACGGTTGCTAGACCCATCGGCGAATGTGGTCTTTCGAGGGTGGAGGTATGCGAAGAGTGCGCAGGCATGACAGTTTTGTTGAATTGACACAGAGCGTCTTCCTATTTATTCCAGCGAAGGCAAAACTTTCTACTGTATATAGGGACAGTAAAAGATACCGTTGATTTCGCTGATGAGATCATAACAATGCACAATAACAAATCCCTCGAATTATTGATATTAATATGCCCCTGCAAGAGCTTCAGAAAAATCTGTGCGAAACGAACCACAGTTTGAAACCCCCGAAGGGCACTTCAGCTGCAGAATTTTACTCGCTTTAATCTTTAGCGGAGTTACTCTAGGACGAAGCAGTTATCGCCGATGGGTTGGTTAAAATGATCACATTCCGCCGAGTGCAATGGGTCCTTTTCTTCACTATGACCGTTTTGAAAGAACTAACCAACTTCGTAGAGGAAAACTCCTTTCAGGCGGCACAAATCTTCATTTGTATGACCGCGTTGATGCACGCATTCGCGATCCCTGCATGGATTATCAATGCATGGGTAATAAAGCTCTAATCAAGTACTGTTAATATCAAGTGCTATCTTCCTGTGCTTGTATATAATGTACTACATAGCATACATAATTAAGGCTATCACTTTTTTGAATGGCAGAAAATCAATTAGTAAGGCGATGGTACTTCTTAAAATTGGCTTTATGGCCTTCTTATTGAGAATCTAGTTCTTTTTTAAAATTATTTGTACAGCAGTGCGTATACTATATTATTATAGCTATTTTTTCAAAATGTTGCTCACCTAAAGTTTGTTGAATGATTTTTTGATCAACAACCGAGTACCACTTTATGCTGCCAAAACCCTCGTTGAAGAAAAGTTGACATCTTCCTTATTGGATTTTGACAGGACCGGTGTGGACACCTCTCCCAATAGCTATATATAACCACAAAATTCGAGGGACAAGAAAAAATCGTAGTGCGAATTGTTTTATAGTGAATCCCCATAAAACATGTATAGAAAATCCCCATCATGAAACCACAAAAAATGATTGTGCAGATTTGAAACTTGTTCAGACAAAATCAGTCCATAGAGTTGACTTGTTCACATCTTAAATCATAGATCACTTATCTATCAAATTAAATCATGAATTACTGTATACATTTTTAATGAACAAAAAATTTTACCAATTCAACGTGAAAAATGAATTCACGTTGTGTTGTTTTAAAATCAGTGCTAGATGTGCAAAATTTCAATCATGGAACATTACCGATTCATTATTCGTATCCCATATTTAAAGAAGTTTGTTTTGAAATGCTTTAGAAATATTTTTACAGCCCACAAATCAGGAACTCCTTTACCGTACTGCGTTTTGCAGTTCTGTGAAGTTATTGATTGAACTCACAAAATGAACTGTGAAGAAATGCGAATACTCGATTTATTTTGCACGCATATATTGTAAAAGTTTCTAATTACTGTATGCTCTTCAATAATGTAAAGTGTTGATGGAAACACCCCGTACGAAAATGTACTGTCATTGAATTAATTCAAATTCTGAAGTTAGGTCTGTTTTTTAAACCTAATATTGCAAAAATTATTAAAATTTTGTAGAGCTCTATAAGTTGGGAAATTTTTATGGATAATTGTTGTGGGTGTCACCTGGGTTAGCAAAGTCAGCTTCTTGTTCTTCTGGAGCCATCATTTTATACTTTTGGAGCTTAATAAGACGCGGGGAATTATTCCAAGGGATACATTTGAAAATCCTCTCAATTATAATCTCGTGAAGACGTACGTATACAGTAGCAGTATCCTGGCTTGCTTGTCGTTTTGTAGGCAGAAAGAAAACAGTCTGGACACGCAAAAAGAAGCTCATCGAATACTGTATTTAAATGTTATTTCTGTGCATCCATGGTTTTGCATGCTTGCATGGACTTAACCTATATATTTATTGACGGGTTTTAACCTTCCGTAGATGGAGTACCCTAACCTTCAAATGCTGTGTTACAAGGAGGGACTGCAGTTTTATAATCATGAACTCGAATTTTGTCTTGGCATATTGAGGCAGTGTTCGTTAACCCGTATTTTGCGGACCGGTGCCGGTCCGCAGAAGATTTTTGCCAGTCCGAGGGAAATTTTCTTCCAGCATAATGAAATTATCAAAAGTAGCAATGAAGTATTTTATCTTTAGTCGAAATTTCAAAGAGACTATGGTATTTGAAATTATCTGATGCAAAATGAAGGTTGACTGTTTTCTTAACACTTCAGACAAATAGCCACATGCTGAAACATTGAATCAATTTTTCATTCTCAGAAACCTTTCTTCAAGCCCACCTTTCTAATTTTTTAAAGATATGCCACCATATACCAGCGTCTTGGGTTCTTTGCTTAATTTTTGGAAAAGAGCGTACAATTTTTGAATATTTGCAATAAAGTATTTCAGACAAAACTTTCTAAGTTCGCACAAATTTTATGAAACTTCTTGTCAGAATTTTTTTGAAATTTACAGGTCCGCAAAACATTTTATGGAAATTGGCTTGTCTCTGCGCCCAAGAGGGTTGGGGAACACTTTTAAGGTGCAATATTTTGTTTTGTTTATTTGTTTCACTTGACTCTAGTACATGGAAACATTCCTGCATTGATTGCACTGCTTAAAAGCATTTTAATTTTACAGTACTGTACCTGTATATTTTATTATATTCACGCATAAAATAAACTTCAATTCAATTATTGTATTTCATATGTTCTCACGGACGATACGTTTTAAGGCAGCCGATTTCACCAAATCGTATGGGTATAAATGCCATATGCATTCATAATTACTAATCCAATAGACGACCGACCTTCATCTTTAAATTACCTAAATGCAATATCTTTATCTTATGTTTTTAAAAATACTGTATATCCACCTGCTGGTGACGTGAGACTACGTTCTCGTGCTTTTTAATGAAGTCTGAATTGTATTTCTACGTTTATTTCCACTCCAATTGTCTATATGATCAGTAAGCGCCCTTCTCTGAATGATAACTCAAGTTCTTCCAGAATAAAATTAGATCAGAATTACTTCGATAAGAACCACGTTTGGTAATACTGTACAGTAAATTTTGGCTTATTGAACTTATTTCCCGCTGTATACTTATTTCTCCACAATATTTTAAAGTTATCTTTCAAATTCGTGCACCAAAGCAATTTTTAGCAGGTTCCATTGTCTTCTTATCATTCATAATGCTCTAATTTTGCCACGCATCTCGAAGAGCAATATCACTTATTCTTTTATTGAAGTATAATTCCTTGGTTGATCTTTGGTTCGGATATTTTCAATTCTGTTCAGGTGACACCTACATGAAATTTCCGAAATCATGGGGAAGGCAGAAGAGTTTCAGTACAGTATTGTAATCAGATCCAGTGCGTATACGTTCCTTCGACGATCTTATTCAGCAGAACTTCGAACAGCAAATACACATGAATACGTACAAGATTTTTCTTAAAACAGCGTGTTATATATATCTTCACTGCAGGAGGGAGGAATGTCAGCATTTTTCCCGTTCTGTTCAGCCATTCTCTGCCTCGTTGCCGGGAAAGTTCTTGGAACTGTTCTCGCATATTTCGCTTCGAAACTGCTGCTAGGAGAGAAATTCCAGGGCGAAGAAAACGATCGCTTGGAATACTTCAACCAGCTGGTAATTTTGATTGTTTTTTTTTCACTTTCGCTTGGAAAGGAAATCACGAAGTACCGCGTTTCCTGTGCTTTTTTTCAAGGTTCGTAAATATGAAAACGGGAAGCTTACAATTTTCCTGACGAGATTGCAGATGAACGATGACGAGTTGTTCCCTCAGACCTTCGTCAACTACGCAGCACCGATTTGTAACGTGGGACTTCATTATCTGCTTCTGTCAAGTACCATAGGTAATAAATTACTAATGATACGGATTAATCTTAGCGACTGATGTTTGCGTAATGCTGCTTCGATGAATTCAATTTCAATGATTTGGAGCTTTACATGAATGCTATAATATAGTTAATCATTCTTGTTTTCAAAACTTAAAATTGGCCTAATCTAACATATAATGCCACTACGTGTAACCCACTGATAATTTATTGACATTACTTGACATCCATTCCATTTTTGAGCACAGGTTTTTATAATTGACACACTCATCGATACTTCGTAGTGTATAGCATGAGATATATTTTCTCAAGACACTAAATAAGTAAGCTGTTGCACAGTTCTTTCGTTAATTATATAATATGTATTTCCTAAATAAATAAAAAACCAGATTTTGGTTATTGAAAAATTCGTTAGGATCATATTTTTTTTATTTGCTTCACTTTCTTGAATGCTTCGAGAAAGGAAGACATTTATGAACTGCGCTTCTGGAGAATACATGCCTCGTAATTTTCAGATGATTAAATCGCTAGGATACATGTGTTAATTCCGCAGTAATTTTTTTACACGTTAAAGGTCATCTTAAAGTTGTACATTGTTTTCCTGGAATCATCTGGAACTTTTCAATTAAGCTGCATGTCAATATTAACACGGTATATTGTACAGCATAAGGATGAACATTTTTTTTTCTAACTCGCGCTGCAAGAGCTGAAAATTATATCCTACGTATTATTTTTAAACATGTACAATACTTTTGATGAAGTTCAATCTAGCTGCACCGAAAAAAACCAAGCACAAAAATTGGCTATACAGTATACATTTGATATTCCATTTCACACCAATCTTTATTTCTCTAACCCATCATCTTATAGCTGCTCTGCCACAGTCGACCCTCACTGTCACGTTGGGAAGACTGTACCCGACAGTGTACGCACTGCAAGACGGTACGGATAAGTCCTGGGAAAAGGTACCATTCCATCTGATGTTCATTGCCGGTGTGTTGCGATGGGTCCCGAACGCCATTTGTCGTCAGCTGACCCGAGAATTCTCGAGCGATTTGCGCTACAAGGATCGATCCTGCTGGAGACTGCCCAAGGGCTTTAAAAGCGCCTCTCTGACGAATGTCGCCGAATCAGCAAGCACGGTAAGAAGTGCTGAAGATCCGCCGAGATTTAATTTTTCAAGCTATATTTATTGTGCTGTAGTTTCATCCTCAAAAGCAGCTGCTTCCATACATCGAAAAGAACCTTCAATAAATGATGGTCTTCGAGTTTTCTCTGGGAGTGTCTCGTCTAGAAACATGCATACGGCTCACATCATTCTCGTAACTGTAGCTAATATATACTGTAGCTATTTATAATCCTTTTCCGGAATGAAAACATTTCCAGCAAAAACCTGCGCATAGCAACGACTCCTAAAGCTCCGACGAAAATATAAGAAAATTATGTAAATTTCATTCGAATGTTCAAGTACATCCTAGTAATTAGTCTATTAGTTACCAATTAAAAATTTGTATTGGCTCAGCCTCAACGTATGATTTACATTTTTTTCAGTCTTATAATCTTCTCGTTGTTATACTAATTTAAATTATGAAAATTTTTGGTTACACACAAATAGACATTAAAAAGCTGGACGAATTTTTATACTGTCGTGAACTTTCAAAAAATTCTAGACATTCCTGCTATAATAGCTATGTATAGATCAACCTGTTTATATAATGAAATGCAATACAGGTGAACCTTGCTAAGTCGAACCTCCCTAAGTCGAATACCTCCCTAACTCAATTTTTTTTCAAGTCCTTTTCTGGATTCCCATAGAAACAATGTATTAAAAACCTCCCTAACTTGAAATATTTTTCTCTCAAACCTCTGTAAGTTAAATTTTCTAATGCCTTTTGGTTATTATTTCCTTGAAATATGAAAGATAAAATCAACAAAATAAATTATTTATGCATTTTGAAATAATGTGAAGGACTAATTGAACAAATGAACCCCTGCCTACAAGTTCAGCAAGCTTTGAACTCATTAAGAAGCAAATTCAGGCCCAGAATATCCTCATCTACAATTTCCCATTTTTCTTGTAACAAAAATATTTGTTTCTTTTACCCCAAATCTCAAAAAATCTAAACCTCCCTAAGTCAAAACCTCCCCAAGTCAAATTTTTTCCTGATCTCTAGAAACTCGACTTAGTCAGGTTCAACTGTACCTTTAAAATAATGCTGTACTTGGAAAAATATACTGTACCGTCATAATTTGTATTGAAAGCTACTCGATAAATATATTGCCTGAAATTTCAGGTATGGACTCTCTCCAAGACACAATTTACGTGACCATAAAAAATCGTTATAGAGAAAAAATTGCATGAAAAACCCGTTCCAGAGAGATTCTACCCGCTTAAATAATTAAACTGAAATCCATCAAAATTTCACAATTAAATGTGGGCACCACGAGTTAAGCAAAAGCATCTAGTATGGACTTGATTAATTTCAAGTATGGACTCTATCCAAGAGGAAATTTACGTGACAATAAAAAATCTTTATGGAGAAAAAATTGTACGACAAAAGCGTTCCACTGGGAGTCTACCTGCATGAATAAATAAACTGAAATCTACCAAAATTTCACAATTAAATGTGGGTACCACGAGTTAAGCAAAAGAATATTATGGACGAGACTTGAATATTGAACGTAAATTCTCAGTTTTTATCCGGTCGCATTGCTTATGTGAATGAATGAATGAACAGAAAGCTTTATTTTCTGCTTTTCAGCATTCACAAGGTTCGATCAACATTCCCACACAATGGTTATGTCACCAAAAATTAATTTTCCAGATCTCGTGTTTTAAAATTATTTTGCAGTCTTCAACAGCAGTCATGACTCATGATTGAAATATGCGTCTTTACATGTTTCAGATTTTTCGAGCGTGTTCGGATAATCCCGGGGCACTGATGTCGGCAATTAGGAGTCAATGTTCGCACTGGTCCATGACATCTTTCGTTTATCCAAGATGGGCTCCAACCCTGTCATTGGCGACTTGTGACGATGAAAGTTCTAGCCAAGAATCCAACGCTGACTTGAATGAAGCTTTGAAATCCCTCGTCAATGACAGAAATGACAAGTTGCCTGGCGATCACCGGCACCTGCTTTTCGAAAACGTTGACCCTATTTACGAGGAGAAATACTGTCCCGAGCTGAGGGTACTTCTCTCGTATTTTTCTTAATTTTTATTCAGTATATTTAATAGCAAGTCATGGTGGAGGAGAAATGCTGTGATTATCTACTTAGTCTTCTGTGATCATCTACCTCATTCATGCAATGAGGCATCTATAGCATTTTCTATCTATGCAGTACCTTATTATTTCCATATTTTTTTATTGCTGGAAGTGTCTTTCGAAATAATGCTCGTCTCATCGATAGAATAACACTTTACAACTAGCCGTGCTATGGACTTGCTCAATTCAATTATATAGATATGTTGTGAACCCGACATACGGACACACTGGCATAGGGACGATGATTCAGCATCAGGGACACTCGAAACTGAAAAAGAATGCCCCAAATTCCAGACAAATTTTCGAGATATGGACACTTTTCCAACATGTCTAGTAACATTTAATACTTTTTTAATTTTGATACATCTTGAACAAAGTTAGGCATTTACATTCACAAAAATAAATAAAAATTACATTTAATTCAATGCATAATCAAAATCGGGCTAATGTTGTGCTTTCTTTTGAGTTTTTTCCATCATTTGTGCGTAGTATCGATAGACTTTTCCTTTGATTTTTGGGCTCTTTGGTTTCTAAAAGATCAGATTTTGTTTTGTTTTCTTCTGTCCAGTTATTTCTTTTGTATCTTGAATAAGTAGAGAAACAATTTTATTCAATTTTTGGGGCTTTATTCCTGAATTTTGATGATCAGGCGAACCAATTAATGTACTGTAAATGTGTTCACATTGAAGTCTGTGGGAAAACTTGATTCAATATGATGTGGTTATTTCGACATAGGGACAAGGTCCAAGCAGCAATGACGTCCGCATTTCGGAACCCCACTGTAATTCAGTCTGTTTCAGACTCAGGTGAAGTATACCAGCATTTCACCCGAGCAACAGAAGCTAAATTAACTGCACTTTGTCAATAACACTCAAATCAACCTGAGAACATTTTGGAAACGGTTCCCATCATAACAGGAATAACCCAGGATTAAAATAGGTAACGTTCCTGAAATAAACCTTTATAATACCTGAGCTTTTATGGGCTGGGTGACATTTTATTGAATGATGATTTTTCAAGCATAACGAAAACATTTGGCAATACATTTTTAACGTTTAGGATGAGGAAGTGAGGGCAGCAGGAATTTTTCGCAAAATCTGGATTATATCAAAAGAATTGTAAACTATTATGTTAGATTGAAGTGTCCAATGTTATAGACGCAATTCACGTTTAATAATACGCTCACATAGTTACGCTCATATACTATTGTGGAAGAAAATGGCTTTAAACTTTCTGCAGATTCCTAGAATATTTTTTGACCTTAGTTCTATGCTCGGTTGATTAATCCTTATTTGAAGGAAATCTTGAGAAATTTGAAAAAAAAAGGACAGTACTGTACAGCATTTATTTTTGTGGAGGAAACATATCGTCTTAACTTGATACACATGCGTATATGTATATCGGATTATTTGATATACTGTATCAATAAATAGTCTGGTTTCCGTGATATTTGCAGGACCATCATTGTCTTATCGCGGCTACGTCGGATAAGTTTGCCCAAAAAAATCCCTATAGGAATGAAATTTTGAAGCAAGAACCGGAAAATGTACCTCGAATAATTATATATCAGATTTCTTTTAACACGAATTGCAGATGTCAGATATGAAAGACAGCGTCACCAGTGTCACCCCATACTCCATCGTTGATAAGGCGGACTCGCTTGGGATCTTGCTGGACGACGGGAGCGACACCAACATTTCAACAAGCAAACAACCCGTGTTCTGTGGTCGTCAGCCCAGTCGTATTGACAACGACGATGACGAGGAAAATAATGATTTCAAACAAGTGGTGCACCTGTACAGCACTCAAGAAGATGATGATCCGGCGACGGGACGAGTGTGGGAGCAGGGCTCTTGGAAAACTGAATTGATGATGCGAGGAAAGCAGTCTTCGTCTTGTCCGTATTTCAATCGTTTGAAGGAGAAGATGCTTGGGCAGATGAAACCCGGGATTCATAGATGACGCACTTCCGCGATTGCAGAAGTTGAACTGCATAAGCCGCGGCGCGACCTGTAAAAGACCCATGTCTGCTTCGATTTTCGTAATTTATGTATGAGTCAATGAAGAGCTTGACTTCTGAAGCTTTGATTCCGAATCTGTACGTGTATTTCATTGATTAACGTTTATATTCTCCATGCAATAGTTGGTCCATAGAAAAGATTTTTGCAGGTCCGCAAGAAATTTTCTTCGGCATAATAAATGTAACAAATGCATTAAATATATAGTCTATTATTATCTTTATCTGAAATTTTGTAGAGGAAATTATTGAAATTATCTGATGGAGAATAAAAGTGGGCTTTTTACCCAACACCAGCACTTATTGAAACGAATTTTCATCAGCTCAAATGAATTGTTTTAAGCAAGCATAACATTTCCTGAAGCGCCCAGCTTTCACTACACCTGAAAACATTCCATTATAGCTGATTCAGTGGTTCTTAATTATTTTTTTGCAATAAACGCAATGATTGGATGACCTTTGTATTTTGAAAACGTCTGCTGGTCTGCAGAAATTTTATGGAACTTACCATCTGCAAAAATGATTATGGAATTCACCGCGGTGGGTAACACTGGTCTACAATATCCGTCCGTATTGGAATCCTATTTCATTTAGATTTATTTTTGAAACTTCTAAGAAATAGTTCCTAAATAAATAAAAACTGTGTCATTTACTGTTATTTATTTTATACGCATTGCACTAGTAATGCCACGAAAATTCTGCTGCAGACGTGCAACGGAAATTTGCCCAAATGATTGCCGAGAATAAAGTATTTTATTTCTCAGGTAATGCAATATGGTTTCATCCTGAAAAATGAACATGAATTTTTTTTTAATACGGAATGCTTCGGGAGATTTTTCAATTGCAGAATATGTGATGGTCATCAATTCCTGTTGGAATGCCGACCTGATCAACTTTGCTTCATGCCTATAGATAGGAATTCCCTATATATAATTATAATAAGGACAGGATCATAAGAATGGACAAATTTGATTCTTTCTTGTTGCAAAAAAGCAATAGAATAAATCAGTTTTACAGTGAACACACTTTTTTGACAGCCATCCGGGCGGGTGAGAAACGATTTCTCGGACTTCATGGATGGGAATCATGTCCAGCTTGCTAGAAATATTAGCTATCATTCATTTTACCATCTGGTGAGTTTTCATTCCGAATGATTTTTTGTAACATCCAACATCTTTCTAAGGTTTCACATACATATTAGAGGACTTTCTTACTTCGCCCAACACATTCTCTTATTCAAGATGGAAAAATGCCGCAAAATATAGGACCAGTAAAAAAATAAGCTTGAATATACAAACGGCTAAACAATGAAGGGGTGAGCCATATCTATCCTAGATGGACGGTAAATTAGAAGTTAAATCCTAATTAATTAAAGTCTGTATAACCCTTGCAAGTACTGTACAGCAGTACAGTATTACAGTGTATGAAACGCGCGATGTATATAGCATCTGCATTTGTATAAATGAAATGCATTTATGTATGTTAAATCCCCATGAAAAACATTTGCCAAAAACTTCCTTACAATAAATTGTTGTCCATTTATATATAAAACCTGAAGCTTGAAAACCGTATGTGTTTATGCTTGGTGTGCACTTTCTTTTTTTTCTTTTTTTTTGCCGAATGAAAGCAATTCATAAGCTAGTATTTGATGAATAAAGCTGGTATACTCCATTTACTTGAAAATACTAAAGTTAAAAATCAGCAGTTAAGAGTCTTTTCTCAAATTTGTTCACTTCAAGAATTCAGATGACTGCCGATGAAAGGAATCTGCTTGTTTTTAAAAGTAACTCTGTCAAGAATAAATTTCCTAAAAAACACTTGAATATAGATGGTCTAAACATGCATTATGAAGGGTAGATTTTCTATTATGAGCGGGTCAAAAAAGAAGATTCGTATCTAGATCAAACGTGCTGCATAAATCACTCTACCATGCAGCTCTTCTTTTTTTTCATAACAAGCGAACAAAGGTCAAGAAGAATACAAAATTTTCTCAAGAACATATGAGACGTTGAACCAAATGATCCCTCTCAATGAGCTTCTGGAAATAATTTTTGCACTGTGTTTCTTTCATGGAAAAATCGCAGAACCATTGATTCATGTCATAAATGTTGAAGGGTATGTGGGACACCATATACAGCAGCAATGATGGTAGGATGCGTGTCTTTGTGTGTCTCTTACATAAGCAATTTCTCCAATGTACGGAAGTTTTATGACTCACGGATTTCAAGTTGAAATACATCAGTACATGCAGGTAGACTGACGGTCGAGTACAGTATCCATAGTCAGGTAACGCCTGAGCTCTGATCCGTTGGAGATTGTTCAACTTGCCCAACGTATTTTCCTACTAATGTTTCGGAAATCAGTATGATTTGGAGTAACTTCAATTCAGAGGATTCAGTTGCATTTCAGTGCAAAGCATTTTTTAAAATCCTGAAGATTTTTGAGCCTGTAGTTCGGGAAGAAAAGTGTGCCATCCATCCATTTAAATTTTCCTCGATTAAACTTCGTTGATCAAGCTAGCGGCAAAAGCACCGTGTGCCTGAACTCGCTGGTCGAGACTAGCCGGAGATCGTGGTAATGATTCGTTTGATAACCGTCCTTCCGTGCATCGATGAGACTACCAAGTTCAGCGCTGATTTTGAAAGCGTGTGCAAGATTTTAATTAAATTTGAGAAAATTGAACATTTTTGTTACTTTCTTTTTTTTAATTTAAGATTTTTGTGTATATTCTCGATTTATAAATCGTTCAAGCGAGGATTGTTCAAGCAATGATACATTGTTTGGCACATAGTACCTGATCCCGCCGAATAAGGTACAGTATTTGATTTAACTGCGGAAATGAGCTCCGTGCGCGATGCTTAGTGAGAAATCGTTCGAGTTATTCCGTTCGCGAAGTTTGTTCCGAATATTTCTGTAAGAGCTTAAGGACTTGAGCCAGCCCTCCTGAAACCTTTCGATCCTAGCATCCTAAGAACATTTTTCTGAAGGCAATCTGGGGGCCGGTTCCACAGTGCCCTCGAAATCGGATAGCTTCAATTTAATGTTCAGGTATGGATTAAATCGATTCGGTTCTTGTTTTTCGAAAGTTCTTCGACCTATTTTCTCACGCCGTACCTGAATTCATTACAGCTAGAAAGTTCTGCGGAAGTCGGAGCAGTAGCATGTTGATGAATGTGATCGTATTCGTTTCAGAGCTTCTACACCGAGTTTCTTACCTCAGCTTTGCAATGTCTCGCAGTTGACGACTCCTTATCGTGTATGATCTAGCTAACCGTAAGATTTGTGAATTGATACTTCGTGCCGATTATTCACTACCAATCGAAACAAATGAATGCTCCAACTCTGGCGACCCATTGGATGATAGTGGCGAACTCTACCTTGAACGAGGCCGTCAGTCATGATACCTATCATCCAATTTGGAAGAAGTTCGTGACGAATCTTCTGAACTTCCGACAATCCCTCTCCTGTACAGTGTGCAAAGGAATTTTGGAAGAAGCGTACACTCCCATTCCCAGCAGCTATGATCAAGATTGTCAGCATCATGCTTGCAAGGCATGTTTAGGAAAGAAGAAGTCTTTGAAACCTCCTTGCTCATGGTGCAGGGACTATGAGAAATACGTCCGGTGTACCATCATCGATACGCACGTAAGTAGGATGATTGCCATGATTCGTCATGCCCTAGAATGCTGATTTTTTAAAATTGCAGGTGCGGAGTTACGAGAATCTATGCGAATATTTGCGTCAATCAAGACAGTATGCGATCATCAAAAACGAGAAAATTGTCGATTTAACATGCTCCATCTCACTGCCGGATTCGTTACAAGATTCACGTGGCTTGTGTGTCGAAAAACTGGTCAACGAAATCATGATGATGTCTGGAGGCGGCGGTATTGGAGTTATACGGGACCAAGCGTTAAGTCAAATTAAAGAGGACCCTTGCGACCTATCCGATGAAAATTCGGACTCCCGTTCGGAAGAATTAGAGGAACCAGAATTCAAGTTGTTTGGAGATCTGGGTTCCCCGTCAGGTCTCTGCGCTGACGTGAAGTGCGACGAAAGTTTCAGTTTCTACCCATTGCATGATGATATATATATCAAAACGGAGTCATTTTTCGATGAGCAATTAAACACTGATACCGACGTGGATTTTGGACAAACGCTGGATACGTTCATGCTACCCGAGGATTTACCGGAACCACAAGTGGAAGAACCGTCTACTAGCTCAGTTACGCACTTCCCAACTTCGACCGTTCAGCTCGACCAGCCTCCAATTTTATCAAATCACACGGTTCTTCTGTCGATAAACGCTCAAGGATTATTGGATCAGAATGCATTGGAGAATGGACTTGCTTTGGCTCCTGTGAATTCCGTTCGACGTCAGCACAGTGGGAAGTCGAACAAAGCCCGCAAGGGTTGTAGATGCGGAACTGCCACAAACAATCCTGGTACACTGACGTGCTGTGGTCAGCGTTGCCCATGCTACGTAGAAGCGAAAGAGTGCGTAGATTGCAAGTGTCGCGGCTGTAGGAACCCATACAGATCTGGTGGTAGGAAGGTTCGACCACATATCGTTCCTACTGAGAACATCCAGGTTCATTTCCCACCGAGTCCGAAGCAGTTCGTTCGCGGAGGTCGTGAAGCTCATGGGCTTCCCGGAGTTACGTCGAAACTTCCAACAGTTTACCTTACTGGAGTCATGGACCCGTCGTCGGAAGGTGGAAATGTTGACTGGCTCAAACTAAATTGCGCGGACCCACTTGTACCTCAGACACCGAGTGCAGCAGACGTTACATGGTATCAATTACCGCAAACGTGATTTTTTTAGGTTTAGTGTTCGTTTTGTTTTCCTGTTTGGAAGCGCTTTTGAAAATTCATCATGAAGTGGAAGAACGTTCGAAGCATCGCCCTTGGAAGAAATTGTTATTGATGTCATCGGTTGTTCAATTCGATACTATATACGCGGTTAACGAACTTATTTTGAACGCCGTTTTCAGTTTTTATTTTTTAACGAATTTTGATGACCATTCCTTTATTCTCTCGGTAATAGATGGAGGTTAAACTCCGTTTCAAATAAATATCGTACAAGTAAAGCCTATATGCGATTAAAATCTCCCCGTTGAAAATTCTAGGTCTCGTACGGTACGTTTATTCCCCTTTCTGGTAGTGTCGCTCGCGTTGAACGCAATCGAAAGGTTTTGCAAGATTTTTTCAGACCATATTTGAAAGAAAATATATTCCCGTAGAACGATGCTGAACACTTAATCTGAGGAGAAAATTATATCTGAGTTCAGCTGCTTCATTCGATAAAAAAGGAAATTGTAGACATATTAACAAAGCAGTTGCATGTCATTCCGTGTCCGAACGGAAGACGTTTTTTTGAGCAGAGTCTTGCGCTGTTCCGCGTGTCAAATTTGGTATCGAATTTTGATCAGCTAACTGGAAAATTGATTAAGATTGGTTTATGTGTTAATAAGAGTAACGCATACTTTTTCGAACATACGATGAGATAAGAAGCGTCGAGCTCAATCTGATACTTTGATGGATTAGGCGTGGAAAACTTCCTTTCGTAAGACGAGTTGCAATCGGCAATTACAAGGGGAGGAAGGAATTCGAATTCTCACTACCGGAGGGCTTCGTTTTTGTTTTGTTCTGTGTTTTTGAGGATTTTAAAGCAATCGAAGCATGAACTGATCCCAGGAAATCGAATGTCACCTGGGGTCGGCAGTGCATGGGCATTGCTGTTGGTCTCGGTGAAGCCACCTCCCGAATGTTTCCATCAGCGCTTTGTACGTGTGTGGTGCTGTCGAAGGATCTGCAGAATTTTTTCAACTCGATTATTTTGATGTTCTCTGCAAGAATGTACTGCATAAACTATTATTTAACTTAGAGTCCGGATTCTTAGATTTGTGAGGCATCATCTTGACTAGTATTTATGCTTTAGAGCGACGCTTTGATCTATTTCGAATGGTTCGTTTCTTACAAATTTTCAAGTGCTTTGAATATTCCTCTGCTTCATCGATGGATTATGGCGTTTGATACGATCAATACAGTATCTCAGTTCATGAAACTGCAAGATTTTTCGCGAATGGAGGATTCTTGTGGTTTGAGACATTTCTTCAGAGAAAAATTCTGCAAATTTTACGGCATCGTCATTCAACTTCAGTGAATTTTTCCCCCTGCGTGGTTATCCAGACGCGGGAATGTGATGGACAAATTTTGAACTAAGTTTCGTTTCCGATTTTGCTCTGATTCTCTGCTGGTTTCCGAGGATGCGAAAAATTATTTTTTTGTATTCGCTGGAGTTTCTTGAATGTGTAATTTGGAACTCGTGTGTGTGAGTAGGTGTGTGGTATGGTTTTGATTTTCCTGCCGTCATCCGTTTTGCGATCCGAGGCATTCAGTGTGCTTCCGCGAAGACCTAGGGCACTTTTACCTGACTTTGTGCATTTTTTTGCAAGCTGCTTTTTTATGGGTATCTTTTTTTTTTTTTCGTGAAGGAAGTCCCGGGTTTTTGTTTTTCCCGATTCTTCGATGCTAAAGAACGCTAATTTCCGCGGCATATCAGAGTAAATGTTGAGCCTGGCGACGTTCAAGTTTTTACGTGGGGATCGCGGAGCTGGAAGATTTTGAAGAGCACTTTGAAGAAGCCCGTTCATTCTTGGATTGAGTTGTGATCTCACGCGATGGTCATGTGGTTTCCTATATGGTTCTTACTCGGTTCCGCATATAAAAGCTGTTTGAATAAACGTGTTCTTGTAGCAAAGAGCTAACATCTTCGGGTTTGTTTAGTCGAGTTTCGGCGATTACGTCGCAGCAGCTCGTTTTATTCCTATTGACGATGATAAATTACAGATGCTCACAGGTGGCCAGGAGCAAAACCCTTTCTTTCGTTATGTCAAAGGTTGCTATGTTACGGTACCATCGGTTTTGGAACCTTAACCAAGCAGTCCCAGTGATGGAAAGGGCTGAGGAAACATTGAAGTTATTGAACACAGTACCATGGTGATGATTCAATTGTTAAGAAATGCTTGTGATGGATGGAATAGCCTGTGGAAGCAGTGGAACAGTTTTCTAATTGTCTTCCAGCTTGTCTTTGTCACTGGTTATTCTGTGGTTTCTAGGTGGGTCTGCTTCCTTCTTTGACAGAACAGTGGTGTGCATACTAAAATGAATTACTTGAATGGAACAGTACATGTCATTCAACAGTGTTCCCCAACCTGTGGTCTGTGGACCAGCACCAGTTCACAGAAGTTTGTTGCTGGTCTGCAGGAAATTCTCTCCAGCATAATGAATGTATCAAAAGTAGCAATGAAGTCTGTTCTCTCTATTTGAAATTTTGAAAACAATGCCAGTTGAAATTACCTGATGAAATATGAAAGTTGGCTTTTCTCCTATTAATGTTTCAGACAAATTCTCACCAGCTGGAATAGATAGCAGTGTTATTGGAGAATTTTTCACTCTGAGAAACCTTTATCCAAGCCCACCTCTCTAATTTTTGAAGACATTCCACTATAGCTGCTTCAATCTTCATACCTAATCTTTGCAAGAATCAGAAATTTTTTCCACACCTGCCAGAAAGTCTTCCAGAAAGAATTTTTTTGTAAAACTTCATGAAACTTTGTCAGTCCACAGAAAATTCATTGAAAATTTGCTGGTTCACAAAAAAAGGTATGGAAATTGGCTAGCCGTGACACTAAAAAGGTTGAGGATAACTGACATACAGAAGTATTGTGTAAGAAGTTGAGCACTGATGCAGTTGAAAACAAAAGTGTTGCTGGCAGTGAATAGGAAGTTGAGAAACCCAAAAAGAATGGGCAAACAACTTATCCTTCAAAACTAAAGGGAGCATTGTTTCCTCATAACACGAATAGTTGATGCTTTCCTGAGAATCCCGACGTGTTTTGCTTGATTCCTGTCTATACATATAGCATCTCTTGCTGTACGGAATTATTTTATTTGTCAAACTGCTTGGCGCTGTTTCAATTAAGCAGGTCATCAGAGTAAAGTTCTGCCTGTTCCTTCCCTTTACATTGAGCAGTGTTTTTCTCATGGATCGAAATGCATTGCCCATCTGATGTACACCTGCTGCGTTGTACTGATGGTCAGTTGCTTTCCTGTTCCGATTTTGTGGGTTAAATTTCGAAGTTATTTGATCACTTGAAATTTCGGCTGAATTTCCTGACAAACCGATTTTGGAAACCATCCGTGATTTTTCCATTGGATCCGGTGTATTTAATGGCATTTGTCGCGTGCTTTGGATTTGCTGATGTTTCCAACACTGAGTTTTTGATGATTTGTACAAGTTTGTATTGATTAATTTTTTGGCATTAATGAGTGCTCATGTACAGTTACTTACCCTGAACATTTGCAACGTTCTCACATAATTGTCCAATTGAAAAAAATATACAAGGATGATGTTTTCTATATACAGTACAGTATATATATTGTATATCAAGCAGCACATCCTATAGTGCACTGCACAATATTTACCATCATCCATGAAGATGAGCTGACAAATTTTCCCAAAAAAGCCATCTTCTCGAAAAATGTCTCATACATATGTGGATCATTTGCTTCAGAAGGCAATATTTTACCAACGTAGTACAGTGCATGTACTTGCGTACGTGCATGATTGTCCCAATTCCTTAATTTGCAACACAGTACTGTACTGTACAGGTGAAAGTCAATTTTGCCAATGGGGATATGAGTCCATGACGCTTTACATAGATGGCGCAAGCATCGAAGGTCATGGCGGCGTCCTTCGAATCCTGATGGACAGTATTTGTCTAATACAGTACTGTACTTCCAAGAGATCGCGAGGGTTTATGTTGGAATGAGACTATACTCGTCAAGAACGCAGTCTTGGTTGACTAAACGAGAGTGCCTTGGGCTTGCTCGAGTATGGCTCATCGTGAGAAGGCTACTGTGAGGTGAACGAGCCAATGAAAATGCCCATGATCGTGAACGGTCCAGGGTTTCCTGTAGATAGGCCGTCATTGTCACGAATGAATGGTGGATTACCGCCGTTTCAACGCTTAAATTCGCCGCTTGGGATAAATTCCGAAGAAAGTCGCGTTTCGGATCTTGGGAATGCGCTGCCACAGAACGCGAGTGCCTTGTTCGACAAACTTATGGAAACCTCCCGCATAAATCTGCCTGAATCGAAAGCATCGGATGGCACCGAAGTACAGAGGTACCAGATAGTTCCCTGTAATGTCATGCCCAATCTTGATGATTTTTCTCCACAGTCGGTATGGTGCGAAAATTCGGTCATCCAGGGCAAGTGGAGGGAAGCGAATCAGACGTCAAGAACGCACGATTGCGTTGTTGTCCAGACTCGATCGATGCAAAGACGACCTTCGAAGTGTTTATTGCGGGTCTGTTGCGGAACTCACAGTCCTCGACAGCAAACATGACGATACTGGAATACATAGTCGCTTAGTTTGTCTTGAAGAGGCAAAGCGCCAGCAGAAGTTCCTCCTCAAGGGGAAATCTAGCGGAGATATTTTCCCACCTAATTACCCGATCGAAGGAGATTGGTTCAAGGATCATTTGTCAGCGTCAGAGGTCAGTCTACTGAGGGAAGTTGCGAGAGACTACCAGGACGGATCCAATGACACTCTAAAAGTCCACTCTGATGGGCGCATTGAGGCATATTCTGATTTCCCTGAATTTCCGGGTGCACATGTGCCGCAATTTAGAGGTTCAGTTTTTGTGGTATCAGCTTTGTGCACGCTCTAAATTGAATGAATTTCTAGATGTGCACGGTTGGAACTGGGGTGAATATGCTCTTTCTCAAACTGCGATGCTTCGCTCAAAGAATCGGGTGAATTTTAAGAAAATCTTCGACCGAAACAAGTCCAGAAGTTCCACTGCAGTGTGGAAAGCGAAGGTATGATACATTTGAATACGTTTTTATTGTACCGAAGCTGACCTGTTTCCGAGCAGGAGGTCGAAATTCTGCGACGTATTAGTGAACTGAAGAGCATTGGACAATGGACCGAAAATTTACTCCCGAGAGTTTTGGAGCCTATGAAACCGAAGACCGCTTGGGATTTAATGCTCGATGAAATGCGAGCTGTCTCCGCTGATTTCTTTCGCAGAAGGCGTTGGAAGAAGGTTCTGATGAAGCAGGTTGGTCAAGTAACATGAACCTCGTGTGCGAGTTGCGGTTGTGATAGCCTGATCGTTTTCCAGTTGTCCGTTGAAGTGATCGAAAGTGTACCTGACTTTTGTGAGCGGAATGAGCGGAAGCGGATCGCACATAGCAAAGCAAGCTCATCGGCATGTGCCGCCATGATACGAAATTTTTGGCTGAACGCGGGAGCGATTTCGGAAAAGCAGCGATTGGTCTTGTCGGATGCTTCATTTCATCAAGCTTTGCAATTGCAAGACCGCCTCGGCGACATTGACGTAGATTTTCTCGAACCGAACGAAATCTATGCCAAAACTACTGAGTTGCTTGAAGTGAAGGACCGGGCGAATGATGCAGATTTTCCTGTTCCAGATTTTCAATCTATTCCGCTTGATGATGCATTGCTTGGAGTAGAAGACCTGTTACGAGCACCTGAGGAAATCGCTGGATTGCAGGTAAGGCATTTTTTAGCGTCATTGGCTTCGTAGAAACCAATGCCTTGGTAATGCGCAGGAGGATTTGATGATCACTTTGGATGAGCTGCGGGAAGAGCAAACGCGTGCTCGATTGGCAATCCCAAACGTGCTCGATTCGGACGAGGAAAGCGTTGAAGGTGGTGGCAATATTTCACAGCTTGTCGTATCAACTGAATCCACTGAGCAAGTGAAACGGAATGCACAGCGCAAAACTCGACAACTTCGAGATCTCATTAAACGAATGGATGCCTTGCGCCCGACTGAGACTGATTTTGTGCGAAATACTGTGCCGGATTCGCCGTTCTTGCGGCGCAAACTTTTTGGGTATCAGTTGGCTGGTCTGCGCTGGCTTCTAAGATTGCACGACAAGAAGCTGAACGGGGCTTTGGCAGATTCCCATGGTCTTGGGAAGCGACTTCAAGTTCTGGCATTATTTGCTCAACTGGCAGCCAACGAACCTCAGAAGTTCGGGCCAAATTTGATTGTCACTTCGGCCAGTGCAATGCGTGAATGGCAACTTGAGCTGCTTGCTTCGACGCCGGAATTCCGTGTGTTATTCTATCGGGGAACGCCAGTTAGTCAGCGGCGGTTGTCGGCGGAAGTGAGAACCTGGAGCATATGTGTTACGAGTTACCGGTGGTTGCTGAAGCATCACATAATATTGCGTGAGCTTCAGTGGAAATACCTAGTTGTTGAGGCGCCCAAAAATGAAACGAGGATGTTGGAACACTTCCCTGTACTCCTGGACCTGGTCTCGCAGCGGAGAATTTTATTAGCGGATAGTTTGGAATGTGACCTAAGCCAGCAGGTGAGCAGATGGATATGTATATTTTTTGCAATTAATTAAGTTTAGAATGCTATCAAATTCTACCCACTCAGATCTAAACTAAAGAATCGTTTCGTGACGGTTTCTCCGGGAAATACACTATTGCTGGGAAAAGAACTCGCAGTCGCATCTATTCTTGTGACCGGCATTAAATTGAATTTGTTGAGAGTAAATTTTTTTCTTGATCACGTAGGTGGTGAAAAAAAGTCCCTAGTTCTAAGTTTCAAACATTTGACTTGAAGCAAATTCGTGTTCTGTTTTACTCCTGGACCTGGTGGTTGCACTGTGTGGAAAAAGAGATGCCAAGTACTTGCGGATCCACCTCCGAACCTTTTTAACGCCGCACATCTGCAGAAGAGCCATTTTTGTGTTGCTCATTTATTTTGTTTCAATTCGACCAGAATTTTCGTAGCTTGCTTTCAAGCTTCCTTAAGGAAACTTGAAAGTATCGCATTTATATACATCAGTAATTCATCTTTTCTGAAGCTTCCACGAATTCGTTCAGTAGCTATTAATGGGGAAGCTTCAAATTTATATACAGGTAGTTCCAGATTCATGGAAGTATCGAATTTTTCTTTTGTTAATTTCTGTGTGATTAATTGCTGTAATGAAAATTATGTTCATTTCATGAAACATCCCGATCGAATCTTCAGCGTTTCGGCATTGAAAATGTTCCCGTGAATTATCCTAAATTATCGATTCCTAATTTTCCTCTAAATTTCCTCCGTGATTTAAATTTATCTGTAGTTCCACTATTGGAGAATGTTTCCATTCCTTCGCTGTCGACTTCGTTCAAGATAGGACGAGAGGTACATATGAAGTTCGGAATTTATTGGATCTTTCTGAACATTCCAGGCATCGGTATATGATTCCTCCAATTTTAACGGATTCCTTCAAATTTGAAACTATTGTATTGTATTAGGTTGGATACATGTCATTCTTATTGCCGAATGCATTCGGGAATGAGGCCGATGTGAGCAGCTGGTTGCGGTATCAAAATGGTGCTGATCGGTTGCCGAAGATGCTTGAAGGATTTTCTCTGCGACGACGAAAATCGCAGGTTGAGGATCAGTTGCCTCCGCATTTTGAGCATGTTGAAGCGGTTAACATGAAACCGAGGCAACAATCGCTGTACAATGATCTCATGGAAAACCCAAAGTGAGCCTTGATAACTGCAGTTCAGTACTGTACTGTATTGTGACACTAAAATTTGACCTCTGTTTCCATCATGAACCAAGCGTGAAAAAGAGCACGATTGTGATACCTATCTACAATCCTCTGTTCTCTTTTGCCATCTCCAATTTTTTTTTTTAGTAAATGAGTTTAAACTTGCCCCTCACTTTTTTTCTGGGCAGCTTTCACTCGGAGGATAAGTTTAATTTTACCATTTGTGGTGCATTTTCCGTGAAATACAGTACTGTTCTTTCACTTCATTTGTATATGATGAGTACGTGTTCTTCCGTTTTCCTCAGAACGAAGGAGGAAATCTCTGAAGCAAGGCTTGTAGATGTTACCAGGCTTTTGATGCACGCGGGCAATATTTGTACGTTTCCAAGTTTATACAAGCCACGGAAGCTCGCGTCATCCTTCGCAATCGATTCTGAAGCTCATGTTTTTGACGAAAATCTGCCAAATATTTACCGTGGTTTCATCAGGAAGCACGAGGTTTGCATTGAATCTGTGATGCCAATGATCATTTTTATACTGTATTGCCGATAATCATTTCTAGGTCTTGAAGCTACCTGGATTTAGAGGTCAAAACATGATCGAGAATAGGCTTCATTTAAGCAAAGATATTGAAGTTGATGGAATTGACGATCTGCAGAAAGAACTTCTTGCCGTGAATAGGAAAGAAAGTTGCTTCTCCATGTTCAGATTGTTTGATCCGTATGTTCAAGACGTTGAATTGGGAACATCTGGGGGGAGTGCTAAGTTCACCTGTCTTGCTGAAAGACGTGAGTAGATTTTAATCTTCTCTCCGGTGAATACGTAAATCACTGTTTAAAGCGAGGGAAAGATGATAATGTGCTGTTTTTTTTAATTATTATTTTTTCGAAGTTGTGAAGAAAAGGAGCGGAATAAAGTTGGCGAACGGAATGATTTTGATGGCGCAAAAACCCTCTGACATCGTGAAGTTGTCCAAATTGGGAACGGTTTTCACGAATGTTGCGTGTGACTCCTGGGAACGTCGTCCTGTTGAAGTTATCTTGTTCTCTCCGAAACGCATTTTTCTTCCGGATGCTAATCCCGCCACAAAACGTTTTGGTAAGTTGCATGAAAATAACACTTGCCTTTTGAGAAGGTGCCCAGTGGGTAAAAATAAATAATTTTTTAAAATTTGAAGTATACTTTTTGTGATTAAATTGGAACCATATTTTCAATATAATCGTATAAAGTTTCCATGTTTATCACAATCGAGTATTGATCGAATTTTCTTTTCTTGCAGTGATGAGAGTCCTCTCCGTCGCCTTGCTTTCTCCGACCTCAGATGATCAGCAACCGCTTGCGAGTGATGAAGTTATTGTCTTGCCCTTGTACAACGTGATCGGAGTGCAAAAGTTACCCGACTCCAATGTTCTGCTGCGTGGGGATCTGCGGAAGCGTGAAAGCTGGTACACTTTGAGTGGTTCAACTATTGTACCTGGAGTTTCAATGGACAGTGCAATGAAATCTGTTGACGTAAGTACTGTATCTCAAACAGTTGGAAACTAATTGAAATCCATCATTCATAGCTTCGAGTCTGATGGATACTAGACGAACTCCGAGTGGTCGATCATGTAAGGTTATAATTTGTGTATCCAAATTACTTTGAGACGTGGATTCGACGTGAAAGACACCGGGTGTTACTAGTAACGTTCTATTGCACCATTGCTTTCTCTTGGTTTCAATAACTGTGATGAAAATAACGTCGTCTTCGCTGGTGTTGGAAGGATTGAATGAAAGAAAAATAGTATATGAATAGTGTGAACCGAAATCCCAATTTTATTCTGTATTTTTCGAAATTGACGATCCTCGTAACGAATTCCGAAAGCACTGATATGCAAAGTTTTGAATTACCGTAATTGATATTGATGTTCTGACTTCTGAGTCAGTCTCCGATGAAAATTCGTAAGTGGGTATAGTTTGACTGTACTTCCCGATCGAATATTTTGACATTTCGAAAGGTCGAGTCATTTTCCGATGTTCACGAAAAAGTATTCGCATCCGTTTCCAATTAATATATTCGTATTACTACGTTTGTGCTATTACTGTCTTTTAAGTTGTCTTAAAACGCTCATGTAGCAACGTCGGTCGCACTTCGTTCAGTCGCAACTCGCAACTGAGGTTTATTTTTGGTTCATCTTAATCGTTTTCCTCGCTTAACCTTGAAGAGCATTTTTCTAGGACAATGATGTGGAATTGAAAACGATGCGCGAGCGCTGAATGGTTTCTGTTCTCCGTGTATTGCGTTTGAATTCATACGAATCTTTATTTTAAGGAAAACAGAAATTCGCAAAATAATCAAAATTCTCATTTTGTTTCGTTGACCAGGATACAAGTGACGTTGCCGCTTCATCATCAAAAATGAAGGTTCGTTTGTTTATCGTACGACTTGGAATTGCCTTCAAGATACAGTATGATGAAAGTAGATGACGAGTCTGAATAGGTGTAAAAAATATGAAGATATTTTTGTTATAGAAATTTCTTCAATTTTTCAAATCTTTCTTGGCGACCTAAGTTGTTCGTCTGATTCTCTGGATTGTAGATAACAGGTTTCTCGTTGTAATGTGCCTCACTGAACTGAATATGTTCTCATGATTGCAGCGGAAGAACCCATTCTTCGCATCTTTGTATCAATGGGATACGCTTCGAGCGTGCATAATAGCTTCCGAAAGTGCTAAAAGAAGGGATTTTTTGCGGGCGATCGTCGGTGGAAGTTGCGAAACGCGTTTCGACGCTTGTGATCAGAAACATTTTCAGACGCAGTGTGAACTGGGCCGATGCTACACATCCGTGTTGCAAGAGGATGGATTGAGAAAACATCGTTCAGAATTCGATGTTCAGGTTTTGAATGCAATTTTAAAATCGGTCGAAACAAGAGCCGATGAGGTCTATAATTATGCGGGGTGAGTTGTTCATCGAATTTTGAAAGATTTCGCTTGATACTGATCCGAAAAATGTCTTTCACAAGGCACTTCTTGGTGACTGTTCCAAACGTGGTTGCTGTATCCTCAGTCAATTTTCCGTCTCAGTCCACTCTCGCGTCACGAGATTTTTTAGCTGGAAGACTAAGACGATTTCTTCCACGAACGACAATGTATCCCGAACGAAGTCTCTTGTTCGAAGAAAGTGGTAAATGACGGAAAATAAGTCGTATCTGACAAAATCATCACAGAATGATATTCTGACTGATTTTTATAGAAAAGCTGTCACGCTTGGAAAGGATACTCGAGGAACAGAGAAAGATGCAAAACAAAGTATTAATTGTAGCAAGAGGCTGCAAACAGTTGGATTTGCTGGAAAAATTACTGAGTTTCCGGAAATTCTCGCATTTGCGTGTGGATGAGACAACCAGCGACTTTAGAGCTCAGGTATATCCAGGTTTATATTTTCTCAGCTGTACCAGCAAGAAAATAGTATTACGTTACCTATTTTCTGATGCGTATTTTCTAGATGATAGCCATGGACTTCCGGCGAAATCCGCGGAAATTTGTTCTACTGTTGTCTTCGGTTTTTGTTGGAGTTCTTGACGTCCCTTCAGTAAAAGCTGTGGTGCTTTTTGATGGCATTTTGAGTCCGCTGCAAAATCATCAATGCTTCCAAGTATCAACAGAAGAGACCGTCGATTTCTTTCGGTTAGTTTGAGTTATCTTTATGAGTCCGATGTTAACTTGAAAAATTACTGTAGCTTGTCAGTTGATACTCTGCGTCCAGAGGGAAATACATTAAAAGCGTGTCATTCCGTTTACAGGTTTGTTACGAGAGGAACGGTCGAGGAAAATATATACTGCAATAAAATGAAACCGCAGGATATGCTCTCATTCCTGGGAGAGAATCTGGGCTTTCCATGCTTCGATAAGGTTTGTTTTTTTTTTATCCGCATGTATTGCGAATGTTTGACGCAACTTGTTTGGTCAAGAATGGTTTGATATACGTGATATAGATTGAAATGCTGTCCATTTTTTAAGATTTCTGTTTTCATTAAATTCTACGTAAATCGAGTGTTATGTTCTGGATTTTCATGAATTTCTGTGCTTTTTTGTGTGTTCTTTCTTTTCCAGAGTGTGACGGACAAACTCTTTGGGGAACCAGATAAAATTGTTGCTAGCGATATGAAGGAAACCAATCAGATCCGAGAAGAGAAGCCTGAAGAATGTGCTAGATTGAAAGAGAAACTTCGCGCTCTAAATGCTGTTCTGCATGCTGTTGAAAAACCAGAGATGCCGAAGAAACCGACTCAATATTTCCGTGTCGACGAGGATTGTATGGACGCTTTGCGCGCCAGTGTGAGTTTAATTTTTCATTACTCAATACTTCTTCATCGGTTTGTTAATGTTGACGTCGTTTCACGCATGAGAGGAACCATTCGATTTTTCTTTTCGTTTCGAACTCCATGAATGAATGATATTTTAGAAGATAACGTTGTCCCCTTTGAAATATGCTGGGAGTCTGAAAAATCGTCGATTCTTTTTCAATCCGATGAATTTCATCTCTTGCAGGATCCTTTGATCAAATACGCCTCGAAAGTGTTGGAAAAGGAACTGGATGGTTTGTCAAGGCTAATCGAAGAAGCTCCGCTAAATAGGAAGCGGAAAATGGAAGAGATACTTCCACATCTGGCCAAAAAGCCTGCTACTTGCATCGCTGAGTCTTCGACTCCGATTGAGGCGAGACTTCTTGTTCAAATCATGTTGCTTTTCCATAATTCTTGGAGTTCGTTGTTACCTAATGGGACACGAATATTTTCTTTGTTCGGAAACAATCTAGTCATTTAGATAAAATACCGCTTATACAGTATTGTACAGTATATTTTAAGTTGTGTTACTGTCTTGCGGCAAAGTTCATCTTGAACGTTGTGTCGGTCTCAGGATAAGAAGTGTGTTTACTTGAGAACTGGCTTAGCTTGGGGCATAGTCTCCACATGTTATTCAGATCGTCCCACGCTTCGAAGTTGAATATATATTTTTTTCATTTTCCTTAATTTTTCAGATGGAGAGTTGGTCACCTCCGACGCCTCCTGTTGGCCAAAGTGACGTTTATGTGGACGTGACCTATGCAGGCTACGAATCGGAGCCTATGATTTTTGAAGAATCAGAAGTGACTGATGGAATGAAGAAGTGTTCGTCAGCAGTGCCAGTTTCGCGACCCCGTCAGCCCCGTCGTCGTGGAGTAGCAATGACGCCTGCACTTGCCACTCCACCGCGTACACCGACCTCGATGACGGTGGTATTGCGACGTGGAGTCCGGGATGTAGACGTAAAACCGGAAGTTCTGTTTCTCTCTTCTTCGGGATTTTTGGAAAAGGCATCGGCAGCGAATTGCGATGCACCTGGTTAGTTCAATTTCGTGATAGAAGTGGGGCAAGGGCAGGTTCTAAATATTCTAATCATCATACTTTTCTATACCGTAATTTTTACGTTATACTGTATTACATAGTCTCTGTCGACGCGTCTGTTAATAATTGCTGTCGTACGAAGGGCTTCCCGTTAGTTCTGCAAATATGAGATGAATTTTTTAAAGAAACTAGGTGTCTTTTTGACATCTGTTTCTGAGTAATGCTGCAAATTATTTGATCGTATTGCTATAAACGGCATTTGGCAGAGATTGGAAAAAATTTGAGGCATATCTTTTGTTGGCGAATGGGAGACATCAGGAGTAACTCCCAAACGGCAAATTTTTTGCTGGTTCCTTGAAGTTCTACTTGAAGAGGCTTGACAATACAAGTACTGTACTGTATATGTACAGTACACTACATATATACGAAGGTTTCTTCCTAATTCAGAAAATAGCTGGAAAGAAAATGATTTGTAACGCGAGGGTAATTTTGTTGAGACTTAATTATCAAGAAACTCGCAGTCTACGTATCGATGAAACTAGGCAGTAAAAGAGTGTTGTGATTCCCAGGAATCCGAATGAAGGCGACGCCTTCATCCCTCGAGTTCAGAATCCTGAATCTGGACAAGTCGGCGGATTCCGTATCTTTGTTCGATCGCCCGGATGTGGCTACAGTGAAGCTACGCAGAGACGCTGTGAGGCAGAGAGGCAAGTGTCTGCCACCATTGCCTTTACCTCATACGACAGTGTCGAAGCCTGAAAATGCTGTAACCGCTGCCATCCCGAGACCGCCGGGTTCGCCTGGAATGCCGCCGTTGGACGCCGATTGGACCGTGCTTGAAGACGCAGTCATGCTGCAGGTAAGCCAAGCATTGATTTTTCTTCACCGTTGTAAGAATGAATTCGCTGGTCTCGCCGAAGTGAAGCGAGGTATTTTTATTCCTATCCGCCTTTCGAAGAACTGAAATTTCCGGGGATCTCGCTGACTTAGAGATGTTTTGATAAATATGGAAAGAAATTGAAATGGAGCTCCGAGATGCGGACGTAATTGGTGCGTGAACCATGTCACTATGTCGCAATGTCCGCATATCGAATCACTTTTTCCCATAGACTTCATTGGAAATACTGTATACAATATTAAATTAGTTTTCCTGGCCATCAAAAAATACGAAAGAAATCCCCCAAAAATTAAATACTTTTTTTTTAATTCTATACAGAAAATAACTGTGCTGAAGAAAACCTCGCAGAATCTGATCTTTTGGTGAGAGAATGAACCCAAAAAGTGAACAAGCCCAACTCTTGCTATACTGTGCTGAGAGGATGACAAATTTAAAAAAAGAAGCAAAAAATTAGTCTGGTTTTGATCATGGTTTTGAGTAAATTTATACTGTATTTTAATTTTTGTGAATATAAATAATGTACGGTGACTCAATTTTTTCAAAAGATTTCACAATTTAAGAAAAGCTATCGTCGATTTTTCTGAAAAATGTCGGCAAAGTTTCCGTATCTTGTGACATTTTCCGGATGTCGGGCCGGACTTGTTCGAGTTTCAAGTGCCCCCAAGTCGAATCGTCCGTATGTCCGGGCATCAGTAATTTGGGGCTTCAGTGTGTATGGCTTCAAAGTTTACTCTTTGCCCTTTTTAATGCCCTCTTGACCATTTACAAATGCTTGAAAAACGCAGGTTTCACCGTTAATTCAAGTATTTTACCGTATTTAAAGTGATGTTCTTGGGAAAAGAGTTATTTGCTCCAATCGTCATGCATTCGACGAGCACAAAAATTAGGATGAGTGAAAATGTATCGGTGAAGAAAAGAGAACGTGTGATGTTTACCTTGATGGTGTTGAGCAGATCATCGCCTGTTTCGCTCAACACATTAGGTGTATCTTCGTGTTATTCTCCGTGGTATAGTATATTATCCTTTTATATATGAGCATAATTCATTTTTAATTTACCGTCTAATCGATTATTTGTGTTTTTTTAGGTGAAAGCTTTAAAAAGGCTCATCGTTCAATTAGAATGTTTCTACGTATTCAGTGAACAGTACTGTATTTTCTAGTGTGTTCAAAACATCCAAATGCTGGCACCGCACATGGCGACTATTTTCCCGGCTCAAACAGGCAACTGGGATCTGATTACCAGCATGTTGAATCTAGCTGCTGCCTTGTCGAGACCTGAAGGCGTATGCCTGGAGCGCTTCAAACATATTGTCGTTCCCCGAGAAGAAGAAGCTAGTAACAAAACCAGCAAAAGTGGCACTGCATTTGACGGGGTTGGTTCGTCGCGGATGTCTCTGATTTCGTCGAAGAGAATGCGTGGAAATCAAGTTAAAGCTGATCAGACCGTGAGTTGAGAGTTGGCAGTGGTGAACCTGCAATTCTATCTTTGACTTATTTGAATACTGTACTCCGGATTGATGTTTGTCAACCGGTTTTACTAAGATTTACCGGCGATCACGAGGAAATAGCTTTGAATTGGGTCTGCGATTTATGCACCACGTTGGCCAGCTGATCAGCAAAAATATTTTTCATTTTTTTTTATTTGCTCGTCTTCCCCGTGCAGGTGGACCCTATCTACAACAAAATTAAGAGGAACAGAAAGAAATCGTTCTAGAAAAGCCCTACGGAAATGGCGAAGAGCCATTGCGGCACAAAATGAAAAATTCGTTGCACAAATAAAATTATTGTAGAAGGAGTCTACTTGCATTTATGGGTTATTCATCAAACCCCAAATTTGAAGAAGTTGCGTAGATGCCGATTTTGTTTGTGGCGACGCGTGGAAGTTTGATTTTCTTTCCTTCGTGACTCTAAAATTCACAAGGTGTGTTTGATTTACGTTTCCGTTGATATTGCTTGATTTCAGGCTTTCATGCTTCGTAAACTTGATGCAAACGTGTTGTTTTTTTTTTATGACTCAGAGGCCTCCAATGAGAACACTTCAACTCTACCAGTTGGACAACAACGCAAGCATGACACGATTACATATGATTCGACTCGAAGGTCTCAAACGAGCTGCCAACAGTAAACGGAAAACTGCTGTGCGACGCGTTGATTGCGCGGCTGCTGCACGATTGATTGGTGCGGCTGCTGCTATCAAGGCTATGCAACCTCATCAGCAACACCAACATCAGCATCACCAACAACAGCAGCAACAGGCTGGGTTGCAGTACACACCTGAACTTACCCCGAAACAGATCGCTACGAGGCGAGCCCAGCATGTGGCCAGGGAAAAGCAGAAGGCGGCTGAAATGGCACGAATACAGCAGCTTATTGGACCGAAGCAGGTTGTTCAACAGCAGCAACAGGTAACTGAAATGAAAGAAAATGATGGAAAATACTGCCAATCGACGTGAACGACGAGCTTGATTTAACATATCTACTCCAGTACCTCTTGCATTTTTCCTGCAAAATCCAGGCAGAAAAGTGGGGTGCCATTGGTATGTGGTATACATTTTTCGAATCAAAAAATTATGAAATCCGTGTTGGGGAGCAGTAAGTGATTCTTTGTAGGTGCAAATAATGAACATGGAATTCTGCTTGGCGTGAATCAGATTTAAAGGTTTTGTGATATTTTATTTATTTATGGAATTATTTTGTTCAACATTAATATTATTTTGATTTCCAGCCATGTAAAACTGCGGTGCATGGCTCAATCAAGGGCGCATGGTACTTGAGTAAATGCGATAAATTAGAGGATCCATATGTTTTATATGCGTAAGACCCACGCATCATGATCTTTTGCAATTTGTTTGTGCCAGCAGCAGCGACGAATGTCTGCAGATGTTGTCTGTAGTCCTGGAGAAACAGGGGCGTTTGTCACAGCTGCTGATGTTGCACATCAGAATGAAGTTTGTGGGCAGCCTCAGCAGCAAAGTATTCTTCACCAGCAACTGTCTGCTGCTGGTGGGAGGGGTTCCAGACAGCCCACTCCATTGTCGACACCACCGCCTCCAGCAGGATCCCCGGCCACTTCTGTGGCTCCCCCAACTTTGCCTGTTGTTTTAAGGGTAAGGAAAACACGTGATCTTTGCACAAGGTGTGACTGATTTCCGCTCAGAGTTGAAAGTAATGCACTGTGAAACTAGTTGGACTTTTTTTTAAATTTGCGATCAATTCGATCTCTGTTTTTTTTTTTTTTTTTTTTTTTTTTTTTTTTTTTTTCTAGAACTGTTGGACGTATTGTTATTTCCCACCACTTTTGAACGCGTTTCTCTGCTTCCTTGATCTAATGATTGAAAATTTCCACGAATTCCGATTCAGGCAATTCTGCAATATTTAAATCACCATCACCTAACCTTCAATACCGCAGAACAATTTATGAATGGGCATTTTTGAAGAAAGGGGGATCACTTTATTTCGTGCACTTGACTTCGTTGCATGGATGTAAAGCGGCAAATCTTATGAAGACCTGAAACTCTTAATTGGTTGATACCTTTTCGTCATTTATTCTAGAAAAGTCAAGTACAGTAGTTGGAAAATGATAGATGATTTTGATTGACTATGGATGGTCCAGGAAATCTCCGCAATCGCCTGATTATCGAAACTCCCCTAATTTCGCTTCTAATAGTTTCTTGACCATGGAAAAACGGGAATGTGCGCACTAGGTATAAACTTTTTGTGATCATTTCGTATAAAATGCGTTGATTGATATTAAAAGGGAGTCAGGAATAATTTGTCGAAAGACATGTATGGTTCTGAGTTTTTTTTTTCTGAAACGAAGAAAAACAGAATCCGGAGTTGACTCGAAGAGTCAAATTTCGTCGGGTTTGTGCATTGAAAAATGATTGGATGCAAAAATCCACTGTGTGACGTGTTCTTTTTTGTTCAATAGGATGCGAGGACACCTTCAAGAGTAGACACGAGGTCAACGGGTGCCCAGGCTACGGAAGTGATTTTATCGCAACAGCCTCAGCCGCAACAGCAGCTCACCCCGATCCGCAGCATGACCCCGGTTCAGTTGCGTGCAGCAGTGGGTAGCCCAGGATCCCCACGCGTACCAGGTGTTACAGAGATTCCAGTCAATACGAGAGCAGTTCCACTCCAAGCGCTAGTTCGTCAGTTGAACGACGGTGGAACGACCAACGTGCTTCGTCCTGCTTTAGTCAGGGCCACTGCCCAGTTACAGACGTGTGCTGGACCGGCTGGTGTACAGCAGGGCCCGGGACACTTGGTTACAGGTTCTGGTTCGAGGCTCGAGATTGTCGGTGGACTTTCCCAGGTACTTTTTAATCTGTTCTCCTTTCTTCAAAGGTTGTCCCACTTGGGCGCGACCTTGGTTATTTCTAGAGAAGGTATCACCGTAAAAAGAAAATCGGGGTGTAGCCCATAATGTTGTGAGGTTCTGGGATTTTTTCGAATTTTTAAAAAGATTTTTCAATTTACTGCATGATGATAGTGGAATACTTTCTAGTTATCGCCAGAGTTTTCCACTCATTTCAGAGGGTGCTAAAATGTGTCCGACCAAGTAAACAAAAATGATAAATTTATTTATTGTCTTGATCATTATCTAAAATATAAATAATATAATGGTTGTAACATTGACGCAATTACATTTCTTTTTACCAGGGCCTGACAAATTCTCAGCACTTTGTGAAATGAGTCTACTCACTCATCACCTTGCAGTAAATCGGAAAATCTTTTCAAAAATCGGAAAAAAAAATTCCGAAACCGTGTATCATGGGCTACATTGAAATTTTCTCAACAGTCTCAACATATTCCAGAAATAATCAAGGTCGCGTTCAATTGGGACAACCCTCATATTTCTTTGAATATTTTGCTGCATTCGGGCGATCCGTAATGATCAGTAATTTGTGTGCCGAAAGGTGACCTGATAGCTGATTTATTTTTTCTAGGATGGTCAGACGAAGTGTGGAGGTGAGCAGTGTGGTATTGTGAATGCGGTTGGATTTACAATCGCACCGGGGATGTATCAAGAAGAAGGAGGTGCTGCCGGGGGAGATGGTGCCAGCAGCAGTAGTGGTCGTCCTTCAGGAAGTGGACAAATCGCTGTCACGCAGAACAGCTTTTTCCCAGTTGCTCTCACTCCGTGTTGCCCGGCTGCTGCCCGTAATGCCATGAAACAAGTGAGTTGGCCATGTCTTCGTGGATGCAAAATATTTCTCATGTGCGTTTTTTGGGGTTAAAATTCGCAGGGTTTTGTGGTCTGCCAACAAACAAATCCCAGGAGTGGGGACGGTACGGAATTGGTTACCATTTTAAGGAGTCCTCAAGTGACTGCCCGGGTTTCATCAGCTGGTTCAACGGCTGTTACCGGAAGCAACCAGGCTGCTGCTACGGTTATGTTGAGTGCTCAGGTGCAACCAACGCTCTCGAGTACCCCGGGCACGTTTTCGGTGAGTGGAGAATAACGTTATTTTATGATGCGAGGGGTTGAACAAAAATTCGAGGTCGGGTTTTTTCTACCATCAGAAAATGAGGGTGAAGTTTAGTTTTTCCGTTCTTACTTCTACCCGTATTCTTTCGAGTTCCACGCGAAAATTTGGTTGAATTCTATCCCTGAGTAAGACACGCACCCCAAATTTTAGGGACTTCAAAACCATGTAAAAAATAAGAATACCCAAACTTGAATTCAAACATGATTTGAATACTACTTCGACTAATTTGCAATTTTTTCCATTAAAGATTTTCTCTTGAATTTGCCAAAATTTCCCGTTAGAATCTAGTACAGTATGATGCATACCTAATTTCTAAAGCTTTTTGAAACATGTATACCAGGTTTTGACGCCCACCTCTTTTTTCCTCTAAAATTTGATAGAGTAAAAGTGCGAGTGGTACTCGAGTAAATGGGGTATTTAGTGGGCTGTTAGTGAGACCCCGAGATGCGGACGTAATTGGTGTATCGAGAGTGTCCCTAAGTCAAAATGTCCCAAAGTCGAGTCTTGTTTTCCCATAGACTTGCATTATATAATTTTAATTGGTGTTTTCCGAAAGAAATATTGATCAAAATTCCTTTTTAAAATTGAGGAAAAAAATTCTACTGATGAAAAAATTATTAGATCAGTGTTTTTCAACTCATGTATAAATTTGGAGCATTGGGGACATAAAACATTCAAAAAATGCACAATTTCTGTGCTACTGCTGAATGTTAAGAACCATCAATTCAAAAACTTTCCTCTTCTTTTTTTTTCTTCTCCAGCTGTGGCATCTTTATGCTTTCTTTTTTGAGTTTCACAGTTGGCACATTCCTGATTATCCCAGATGTTTTTGTCTTCTCAGAGGACATTTTCCACTTTTTTATCTAGCCCTCTTGAAATGAACCTATAAAACTTAGCTTTTTGTCAAGCAAAAAGTTGAGAATAATGTTTTTTCAACAGTTTCTTGAGGAACATACAGGGAAAAATATCCAAGCAAAAATGATGTACCTCAGTACACTATTGAACAATGGGATGTTAGCATTTCCTGTGAAAATTAAATTAGACAAAAAGAGCGAAGGAAATCCCTTCTTTCTTGAGAATCTCTATGCTTGCAATAATTTTTTAAATTAGCTAAATGGAGGGGAAAATGATGACAGAATTTTAAAACAATTTTTTCACACATATTTTACCATCCTATGGTTCTGAATATCTGTTCCTAGGAATTTGGCATGAAAAATTCGATTTTCTGAAAATTTCAATGTCCGCAGGTCGAGTCAGTGTCCGCAGGTCGGGTCATTTTTAGTTTGAAATAAAGTGTCCCTAAGTCGAATCGTCCGCAGGTCGAGGTGTCTGCATGTGGGGGTCTCACTATTAAAATCTGTACGTAAAAGGCATGTGAGGAAAATGAAGAAGAGCGTTTCCCTCCATTATTTTCTGCATTTCATTTCGGAGTTACAATTGCGCTAACGCTTATCAAAATGTTTTTTTCATGAATTACTTACCTGCGCAAATAGCGAACTTAAGTCTAATTAAGCTAAGCCTTTGTACGCAGATCCTTCATTCGGATTGTTGATGAAGGATATCCGGGGATACTATAATTTTTCACGCTTCCGATTGAAACCATGCATTGTATCCTGCTTATTTCAGGTAAGTCAATCACCACAGCACGTAATTGCAACGAAGAGCAGTCAAGGGACGACAGTAATGGCTAGTAGTGGAACCGTGACGGCCATCGTTAGGCCACCGCTAGCGGCTGCCCCTGGAGTGAGACCACACCGTGGACGCAGCACTATTGTACGTTATTTTTTTCCGCTGTTCTCGGATCCCAAAATTGAGACGACTGTTGGTATTTCCTTGTGATTCTCAGCTGCAGCAGCCTTCGCAGCAAACACTGCAGATCATGCAAGGCTCCATGGCGACCAAGTCATTACCTTCAATATCTGTTCAGCAGTTGCAACAGGCATTGAAAGCCCAGTCAGGGAAGAATGCTGGACTCGGGATGGTGACCGTTGTTGCTGCTGCACCTTCGTCGTCTGGTCAGTCGTCAACAACCGCTGGTGTAGTTAGAACGTCGGGAGCACTAATTGATGCGGGGACGCAAAGTGGCCCACGTTCTACTCCTGGTACAGTTTCCCAAGCCACATGCTATAAACCAATCCAGGTAGAATCCGATGCTGAATTTAATGGGAGGATGGGATTTTTAGGAACCTTCTTGTCCATCCCTAGATTTTGTCTGGGAATGTTCCGGGTTTAACCAATGTAGGGACATCTTCTGGCGCCGTGCAAAGGATAGATGCTGCTGGAAGACCGGTGATAACGATTTTACCGGATGGAGCTGGTCAAATTAAGTTTGCCACGGCATCGTCAGGAGCGATGACGACGCGGGTAACCATCAACGCTAGTAAGACTACGTGGACTCAGTCAATAACCCAGAGCGGCAGCAGTGGCGGTAACGAAGGTGCTGCTACTGCTGTTGTGGTGCGTCAACCCGTGACAGCTCTTGCCCAGAAGTCTGCGAGTGGCGCTTCGATTTTGGCGTCTTCTCCGCAATACGTATCGAATAACACGCAGACCACGTCGACTTTCACTTTGGGACCGTAAGTTGGAATTGAGTTGTTGAGTTTTCTTGGTGTAATGATCAGTTGAATAATTCAAATGATGACTTTGTATTTCCATGAATATTGAGTCTGCCTCAAAAGCGGAGGTTTTGAATCTTCGGTCGTTTTGAAAAGCCTACTAAAAGACGTGTTCCTTGATGATCAACGGTCTCCTCTCACGTTGCGACGTTACAAATGACGTGATCATCCATTTATAGAAAATGATACAGTATCAAGTCTTTTTTATCGGGGAATGATTCGAGGTCGTTCGATTTTTTGCCTCGTTGTGAATGAAAAGATAGAACTTTAGTTCATGATTTTTCTGGAAATGGCAGATATTCATTTAATTTGGAGCAATTACAGGAACTACCGTGATTTGAGTTCGATGTTTCAAATCTCCGTTGATTTCCGCCGCGCTTTTTTCCTTTTCCTGCTAGTGATACGCTGATAGCGCTGGTGAATTTGACGTGAGCCCAAGGCTTATATTTTCATAACATGATGTGTTTTCGATGGAGGATAAATGCTTCTTATTCTAATGCGAGGATAAAGTATGATTCTTATGTCTACGTTAGTTCATGAGGGACAAAATTGTAAATTTCCCGTTATGTCTTCATAATTATGCGTTTCGAATCATTCGGGTGGAACAGAAAAGTGGACGACTGTGGCTGTGGAATAAATAACTTTCCGTAACTATTCACGTACTCACGTTTACATTCCGATCCATATATGGCACCTTATGACATGGATGAAGAACTCAGTCTGTAACTGGAAAGTTAACTTATCATCATGCTGCAAATTGAAAAACTTTTTAAAATCCGGAAAAAGCCCACAACTTTAGAACATTATAGGCTATGTCATGAATATTTTCCATCACACCACTGAGACAACCTTCCTATACCTTTGTTTCTGTAAGAGGATACCCTCCCCCCTTGTTGAAGTTTTAATATACGTCATTTCTGATCGGGGTATTTTTTTAGGATCCAAAGGACTGGTGCAGTCAGTAACCGTCGCACCCAGCAGCCATTTTCTGTGAGCACGGGTACCCAGATGGGCGAGGAGCAAGAAACCGTGTTGATTGCTGCACGGCCAACGTCGGAATCGTCAGCTATCAGCAGCGTGGCTAGCACCAGCACTACGTCATTGCAGTTGTATACTAGCAATCCTCTCAACATCACGAAGCATATCCTGACAACTAGGCCACAGATTCGTCTCATGCACGCTGTGCAACCCGTGCGCCATGCACAGCATCAGCTCGTGGCCGTGTCTGCTGGGCCAAGGCAGCACATCGTGGCGGCCAGGTTGCCGCAGCAACAACCGCAACAACGGGTGACGATCCCTAGGGTTCCAGGAACGAGAATGGCGTCTCGGCCACAAGTGATCACTTCTAGGCAGATACCGGTTGTTGTTGCCGCTGCGGGTGGGTCAGTTTCTGCTGTCAGAAGTCCTGGAGTTCCTTCTTGCGCTGTAAGTGTGGCTCTTCGTTAACTTTATGACCCAATTCGATCGTTTTATGAAGGTGATCACCAGTCACGAGCCGACGGTGAGAACCGTCTTCATGGATGCTTTGATTTGTTTTCCTTTCTCTTCAGTCGAGAAAAGACGCGGTGTCCTCGGGAGACATTGACAAGCAAGTGCAGGAGAATCTGCAGCAGATCTTTGAGACGTATCAGAAGCAACAGCTAGAAAAGGAGCTGGTGGAACAGCGCCGACAAAGTGGAGCTTTTCAACCGCAGCAGACGTCTCAGGGTGTAGCCCAGGTTCCTAGTTCTTCAGGCCTGGTTGTTCGCGTTGAACAACAGCAACAACAGCAGCTACAGCCGCAGTCTACTCCTGGGGACGGAGTTAGTGTTCAGCTGCAGTATCACCAGCAGCGCGTCATAGCTGTCAACCGCATCCGACCGATTGTTGTGGCCACGACAACGGTTACTACGACCACGACGACGACAACGACATCCATGAAGAAATGAAAAGTGTTCAGATTCCCCCAGTCGAGCAATGAAGTTTGACTAACAAAGAAGTGTCTTTCGCAAATCGTGCGAGTTTTATTCTTTTTTTTATACTTTGAGTGGTGAAAGTATTCTTTGATGATTTGTCTGCCATGTGGTGTTTTTTAATGTTGCATTAAAGTTTTCGGAAGCTGTTTGCGAGAAAAGCCTCGTTTTACTAAGAAGCCGATTTCGTCGTGATAATTGTTTTTATTCCCCGCGCACTGAGGTTGTTCATTTTGTCGAGTGTTCGGAAGAAAATCAACGTACCTCAAGTTAGCTGTCAAAGTTGCAAATGTAAAGCTCATTGGAGGTGCTTGAAAGCATCTACTGTACTCGACGCCTGAGTGGACTTCTCACCAGAGCTCACATATGAGCTGCCCATTTACCCTGTTCCCCCTGCCTCACTCCCCGTGCAGCTGCAGTCCCTCTCTTGTGCGAATGCTTCAGCAACTTCAGAAAGTGGAGCCTGGCCCTTTTGGGAAGAAACTGTGAAGGATTCACATTACACTATTAAATCTTGCAATTAAATTAGTAAATTGCATAATGATGAAAAATATTATCAAACTTTCAAAATTATTTCATATGTGTTAAAACACTATGCATTAAAAAATGCAACAATTTGGATTTCTAAGAAAGCTTGCATCACAAATAATTGTCCAGTATAGAGTGCGTAAATCATAAACTATTGCCTTGTTTTGGATTTTTTAACAATGCAGGTACAGTTCCAAAAACTGGGTTGGAATAATTATCCTTCAAGTCTGTCCACCTGGAGGATCATGCGGGACTACCTAACCACGCCTGCTTACATACGTATGACATCTAATGGTACTTTTTGACATGTACCTGCCTTTGCTGTCCGGACCGGCGTTTACTCGATTATCAATTGACCGGGATCCTTGAGAGATTCGGGAACTCATGATTCCTCTCATTGGTGACCGCTATTATGTTAGGACGTACGAGTTCTTCTGCATTAAGTTTGGAAATGAGATTGTGATTGGTTGGTGGAGTGGGAATAGCAATGGCTTCACGTCTTAGTTCGTATGCGCGGGTTTTGGTACTCTTTGACGAAGTGTGAGATCTTTTCGTAGAAGGGCAATGTTGACAGTTGCTCCGAGTAGGATAGCTCAAAACAGCTTGATATTTCGTTGTACGTATGAGATTTTCACTTCGTGAGATGCATTTTCATTGGCTTGATCGTATGCTTCACAGGTGCCATTGAATTCGTGTGAATGGTTTGATTTCGCGCCTCAAATTTAATCATGCCCTGTGAACTTATCACGCTTCAGCTTGGACAATGCGGTAATCAAGTTGGATTTGAGTTCTGGAAGAAGCTATGTCGCGAGCACGCGATTACACCGGATGGCATTCTTCTCCCGCAAGCTTCAGAGAGCAAAGCCCTCGATCGGAAAGATGTATTCTTCTATCAGGCTGACGATAATCATTACATCCCCCGAGCTGTGTTGCTGGATTTGGAACCTCGAGTGATCAACAGTATAATGTACTCAGAATACCAGAAGCTTTATAACAAGGAGAACGTTTTTCTACCGGCTGAAGGAGGTGGCGCGGGAAATAACTGGGCTGCCGGTTACGGCTTAGGCGAGAAATCGTACGAAGCAATTTTTGAAATATTGGACCGTGAAGCAGAAGGGTCTGACAACTTGGAAGGATTCTTCGTTTGCCATTCTATAGCGGGCGGAACGGGTAGTGGTATGGGCTCATTCGTTTTAGAAAAACTGAATGATCATTTCCCGAAAAAGCTCGTGAAAACCTATTCGGTTTTTCCGAGTCAAGATGAGTCGTCTGATGTCGTTGTTCAGCCGTACAACTCGATTCTGACTCTCCGTCGCTTGGCAGAAAATGCCGATTGCGTGACTGTTCTTGACAACCTAGCTCTGAATAAGATTGCAGAAGATAGGCTGCATATTTTGAATCCCACCTTTGTTCACATCAACAATATGGTCTCCACAATAATGTCTGCTTCAACGGCGACATTGCGATATCCGAGCTTCATGAACAATGATCTGAACGAATTGATTGCCCCTCTTGCACCGTTGCCTTTGTTGCATTTCTTGATGACGGGTTACACTCCGTTGTTCGGTGAGACGGAAGAGGGCGTGTCGAGGAAAACAACTGTTTTGGATGTTCTAAGACGACTTCTCCAGCCTAAGAACATGATGGTGAGTAGAATTCTACTTTAAAAAGCCCAGTAAACGATACTTCTCTATTTCTTCGAAGGTTTCTACGAGTAAATCCAAAAACTCGCGAGTGGAACACTGTTACATCAGTGCCATGGCCATTATTCAAGGGGATATCGACCATTCTCAAGTGCACAAAAGTCTGAACCGGATCCGTGAGAAAAAAATGGCGAAGTTCATTCCATGGGGTCCGGCAGGTCTCCAAGTTTCCGTGTCTCGTCGCTCGCCCTTCGTGGAATCAACTAACCGAGTATCTGGGCTGATGCTCGCTAATAATTCGTCAATCGTTTCCTTGTTCGAACGAACTCTGCAACAATTCGACAAGTTGATGAACAAGCAAGCTTTCCTGGATCAGTTTAAGCGACAGGCAGTATTTGAAGATAACTTGTCGGAATTTACTGAATCGCGAGAAGTCGTTCAGAAACTTGTCAATGAGTACATTGCTGCCACAAGTGCGGACTACTTGACTCCCGTCACCGACCCAGCCGACGATTACCTCTTGAAACAAGCCGGAAGCTGAAAATTTAATTGCGCTAGTTTTTTCCGGGTGATTTTTCTGATTTTTCATGGAGTTCTGCGTACTATTTATCGTGAGCGTTTCCGAATCTCAGAATTTCGATTTCCACCTTTCCTCGACGTCTTTTCTTCGTTTTTATCCTGAGTTCAGGAGCGCTTCATGAAGAATTGATTTTTCTGTTGTTAAATGGGGATCGTGTGCAGTACTCAAGGTACTCTTTCGAGGCTTTCACTCAATTCATTAATTTTTTACGATTCAACTGTTCGCGTTGCAATACCGCCAAACGAAAATGCGCGCCTAACTTGTGGGCATGGTGTTTTCCATAGAAGGGTCATTACATTTCTAAATTGTATGCATTTACGTGAATTTCTACCGATAGTGTTTTCCGAATCAGCGGCTGAATCAACGTCTGAACCGAATTTCCTTTATTTTGAAGATGATTGATGAAGGTTGATGAGTGGAGAATTGTTGTACCGTTGAAGAGAGCATTTTCGATTTATTCTTCGATTTATATTTCCCATTCTCTAGTGGTTAGGTTTGAGTGAAATGAGACCTGTGGTGAGGAAGAATCCTCATGGTGTGATAGTAGCGGCGTGGTTCGCGCTCACAGCTTTGGGCATTGGAAGTTTCGTTTTGGCCAAACGCGACATCGAAAGCAAGCGTCTTGAGCAGATGCAAATCCGCGAACGTATGAAGAGCTCGAACGAGGGGGATTACACTATGACTAGAAAATTCTGAGGCGCTCAAGTATTTTCTCTTCGTGTTGAAAATGGCCTCATGTTTGCTGCTTTCTGCCCGCCTCCCCGCCGGTTCCCTACAGCGTAGTCCTCTCGGGAGAATTATTTTAAGAAAATGCACTACGAATGTGCGGAGAGGAATGCGATCTGCTCCCCGATCGAAGTACACTGACTTGATTCAGGTGTCGAATGAGGATGCGGTGACGACATCAACTGCCAGGATTAAAGCCGTTTCTGCTGCCCGAGCACTGGATGGGATTTCTACCGATGACCTTGTTTTCTTCAGGCTAAGCACAATTGTTGATGGAGTGCGTCACAAACTGTCGGAAGTTCCTCCCACGGAGCCGATGACGGAAACAATTGCCCATAGAATCCGAGACTTGGTGGCTCCTTTATCGCATTATCGAGCAGCTCTGATGGAAATCGTGGATGAGTCGGAAAGCATTACTCAACATTCGTACGGGGCATTGAACGAATATGTTTACATTCTCGGGAAAGTTGTTGATCCTTGGATGCTGAAGTTCAAGGAGAAAAATGCCGCCTTAACGGAAAAAGGGAAACTGAGGATGCTTCGAAGTAACTTGGAAACTTTAGCGTTGAAGCTGAGAAGTGCGCGTGTTGAAGAGTGGCCGGAAGCTGACACTAGTTACATTCGCACCAGACTGGAGAAAGCTCTGAATGCAGCCGAAGAAAGAGAAAATCGGTGTGATTATTCATCTCGTTGACGCTCTGGAAACGATAAAATTCCATGTTTCGCAGTAGCTGTTTTGAAATACGTCGATTCAGTTTCATTCTTCGTAAAATATATGAGATGACAAATGCTTGTCTAATTTTCACCTATCGAAAGGTAAACTTGAATGTTGGAGGCAAACGGGTTTGCTCATCGTGCATGTCCTGATGTCCATCGTTTTGAGCAAGATCCACCTGTACTACTTGTTGTCGAAGACGCTTGAAATTTTAGTTAAATGAGAGGCTATCCTGATGGTTGGAGGTCAATTATAGCGACTGTTCGGTTCTTCTTGCAGCATAAAACCAGTGAAAACAACAGCAAAGCAGAGAGCAGAATTGGCTCGCATAGCTGCTGCGGAAATGGAAGATGCCAGTCGGCATGCCAGCTTTGTCATGAGTTTGAGGGCCCATTTGGAACTTCTGATTCATCTTGGACGTCCTCACGACGCCGTTGAAACGTTTCATCAATACCTGAGAGTATCAGCTGCTGATGATTCGCACCCGAGAGTCGCACACGTTGATCTTTTCAATCTTGTTCTGAGGATCGATGCCCAGAAGGTACGGGAAATTGGACGCTATTTTGGATGATTGAGTTATTTGAGTACATTGAGTCCCTTACTGCCAATTGACATCCACTCACCAATATTAATTGTTGAAAAGTCAGCGTGATGCAAGAAGTAAATTATTTACATCTTGAATTAATTCATGAAGAAATGAGGGTCTGTCGATCCGTCTAGCACTAAAAACTGTTGATTGAACGAGGTCTAGGCGAGTTTTACTTGACTCTTTTTTTTTTTTTTATACAGGGTGACTTGACCTCAGTGAAGCAGTTGTTCTGTTTGATGGAAGAATTTAAAACGGACCCAAACGCTCCTTCATTTGCTGCTGTACTCGAATGCGTGGGAGTGGCAAAATCGAAATCCACCTTCAACTATGATCAGGCTAAGACTATTGTTAGCCAAGTTCTGAAAGGCATGAAAGAACGCCAGTGCTCAGACTCTGACGTGATCTATAAGTCTCATAGTACGCTAGAACAGAAGAAATTGATAGCGGAAGGTATTCGCATTGCGAATCCGCTGTACGAGATCCCTGAACGTCGACCACGGTACGGATATATGCCGAATCCTTTGCTGAATGGGTTATGCAAAGAACACAAGTATGCCGGACCCAACTTCGGGGTTCTTGACAGTGCGCAAATGAAAGAATTCTCCCGTGAACAGTTCGAAACAGAGATGCGCGGTCATGTGGACATAGTTCCCATTGTGCGGTTGTCCAACGCCCACCATCCGAAGGTATGTACAGTAATTTGTTATACTCTTTTTAATTGACGAATGAATAAGAATCTTCTTTTTCCGAATTTTGCTTTGTGAAGCTTAGCACGCGGTCATTTATCCATACGTCATGATCCTCTTTTCCCTCTTTTAATGGACGACGAAGCCTTTAAATTGGAAATCTTCGTGTGTTCCCTATTCTTTTTTAAAATTATGGTTTCATCAGTTTTGAACTGTGACCTGATGCCGCAAGTTCTTGAACTTGATGAAGCGAGTATGACTCAAGTTCTTGTGCATACTGGGACCTTAGTATGTGAAGGATTTCCTCAAGTTTTTCTTCATTACGTATAATGGCAGTATTGTGTTATGTCGATGTTTCCTCGTCCATTACGCTTATTCAAAGTATGAATGTTTCAGCTATTCGAAACCATCCAATTGTCTACCTGTAATTTTTCAGTTCTCATTCTTACTTGTTCAAGGTTGCAATCTCTCTTATTTTCAGGAAGGAGACGAAAAGTTGATCAAAATTGCTGAGGAGAAACTTGTGGAAGCTGAAAATAAATGGGAAGAGACTTTGAGAGAGGTATTTCGGAAGGAAATGGAGGCTCTTGAGCTCCAAGTTCTAGCTTCTCGTCGACAAAGATGCATTACAATTCTTCCCTATCTTCAATGTCTTGAGCAAGATGAGTTTGTCGATCTCATGATGCAAGTAAGTTGGAATTACCCTTGGTCATTTTACTTCTTCAATTTATGTTTAAAATCGATGATTTAATGCGATGAACTCCCGAGTTTTCCGATCTTTCTGAGTTTTCAAAAGTTTATGGACTTCCGAGTTTGTAGCCCCCTATCTTATCCTAGACTGTCTAGAGACTCTAGACTTAGTGTCCAGACTATTCTTCCTGTAATGTATCTCAATGCCAGATCGGGAGTGCTTTCTTACGCCCACGCTAACCGCAGATATGAAAAAATTTTTTATCCATTAACTCTGTGAGTCAATTCGATTTGTGGTTCGGTTTGATGTTTTCCAACCACGAGCTAATTTATATTCAAAAGTTTATCTTCATTTTTGACTGGATTTTTTTTTACGATCAAATTCTGTAGCAAACCTTTTTCAGAATAAAGTAATTTTTTGTGACAAATGGTTCAAAATGTAACGCCTGAAACCCATTTTCTGACCACAAAATGATCGGAACTTCCTCTTCTTTACAGACTTAAACTTCAGTTACGGACTATTATTTTTCAACAGTAGCTAGCGGGCTCAGGTTGATAACTTCAACAGTGATGATTATTTGTTCCTGAATTGAAAACGTATCATACATGGCGATTCATTTACAGTAATTGTTCTTCTTAGGAAATCAGGCGTTTAAGCGAAGGTTCAGAAACTTATACGCCTTCTACTCGGATGATGAACAAGCAACTCGGCCAGTTCGTCATGAACAAGTATATGTTGAAACGCCGCTCCAACTCGGGTGTGATAGGCAAATTGGAAGAATTGTATGGAAAATTCGCTGATAATTGCATTGATGAAACGGGGGTGGATATTCCTCGAGTCGCTTGGCAGAAGATTGTTGCTGCGAATCAAAGCGGGCCGAACGTGGATAAAATCTTACATTCTTGGCCTTCGAATGTTTTGATCACAGTGGGAAAGTTCCTCAATCAGATCATTCTTAATAATATCAAGATCGATGCAAGGATGTTCAACACCACGAATAAGAACCAAAAACCGTGAGTTTGCTGGCATTATTCAATCGTGTTGGTCGTCGCTTGACATTTTTTGTACTTTTCCTCCGGAAACGTTTTGTCTTACTTGTAGGTTGTTACTGCCGGCGTTCTTCAAGTTGTACAGGTCGCAGGGTGTAATGATGCGAGAAGAGCTGAAGGTTCATCCCGTAGCTGCTAAATTGTATCGCCTTGGATCCCATCACCCACTGAGATTCGATGCTGAAGTGGTTCCTATGGTTTCACCACCTCTGCCTTGGGTTTCCAATCGCTTCGGAGGCTATCTAACGTCTACTGCGAAGATTATGCGGTATTTTGTGTACAATTCATAGAAATCAGGATATCTGCTTATTACATGTGTTTTGTCTAGTCTTCCCCCTGGAGCTCATCAACAGTTTGCTGAACTGAACCGAGTACCTGCGCAACAACTATACCCGACGTATGACAGTTTAAACCAGCTGTCGGCAAATCCATGGATAGTCAATGAACCTGTGAGACTTCATTGTTTATTATATTTTGTGCTGAAACTTACGCTGATGTATGCGCGGTCAAGTTTTTTCATCTCAGATAAATTTCTCTGAAAATCGAAGTTAATGCACAATAAATTCTTGACCATATCTTCTAGATTCATGAAACAAACCTGTTCACATAAAAATCGAGATCACATCCTTAGAGGACTAACTTTCGGTATCTGATTCCCGCCCGCTGATCAATTTCTCTCAATTTTTTCCGTGGCAGTGGAAGATTTGAAATTGAAATAGTTCGCATGATCAGATCATCCCCTGATAATTTCCAGTCCCTCATCTTCTTACAGATGCACCTGTAGAGTTTTCTCTCGTGGTTGATGAAGAAAAAAAATCATCCAAAAGCTCGTCAAACATTACTGGCTTCAGTGAAAGACTTTCCCTATATTATTGATACATAATTTTCTGCAATAATTCAGTGAGACCGAAAACCTGAAAAGAAACTGATGTCTGAAGATGGCTTGAGTCAATTTATTTAAGTAAGAAATTTCACCAGTGCTGTATAAATCGTTAAAACTTCGTGATACAGCACGGGCTCTCTCTTTTCATCAATGGTATCTCATTCGAAGGGACGATAAGTTTAAAAATTGATAATGCGAGTAATCCGATGATTCTAACTGATTTAAGGCACGTTACAATTCAATTCTGGTTGATGGCTGTGGAAAATAGTACTACTGTACCTGCTGAAATGAAGTACCCGGTATACAAGGAATTTTGAGTATTTAAGCGATGAAACCAAGTCTTATTTGTAATCACTGTATTTTCAATGAATCTTCGGTCTTATCCGGTGGTCATTGCATGATGTACTGAAGTTCAATTTTAGATCCGACACAAATTAAACATATTTTTATTTCAGGTTTTAGATCTTGCGATCGATATTTTTGTTTGCGGTGGCGACGATCATTTGGAAATTCCTAAACCACCTTTAGCGTGTCCTGCTCCTCCTGTGATAACCTCAGACATGACGAAGAAGGAAAAATTCAAGGCACATGTCGATAAAATTCATCTCAAGCGACTGAAAGGGGAAATGTATTCCTTGTGGTGTGATGCGCTCTACAAGCTTTCGATTGCCAACCATGTAAGGCAAAATGTATTTCTCGTGCTAATACTGCGCGAAATTATCGCCCCACAGGTGATCGAGTAAAAAAATTTTTTTGTTTTTAGTTTCGGAAAAGGATACTTTGGTTTCCGCACAATATTGACTTTCGCGGCCGAGCATATCCTTGTCCGCCGCATTTCAATCACCTGGGTGCAGATTTGACAAGAGCGTTGCTGTTATTCGCCAAAGGGCAGCCGCTTGGTTTGAAAGGATTCGACTGGCTCAAGGTCAATGTTGTCTATGTTTTCCACTTGTTATTTTTTTGTTGGATGGGACGAAACTTTAAGCGAAACGACAACTAATGTAACGTTCTTCACTGCATTTTTAGATCCATCTCGTGAATCTGACAGGCCATAAAAAGCGAGATCCCATCTCTGGGCGACTGAATTATGCGAATGACATGATGGGTGACATCATGGATTCTGCAGAACGACCCCTCACGGTGAGTAGGGAGTGAAAAATGTGCCCATGTTTTTGGCAATTCAAATAAATTTATTTTACTCAAGTAAATCCTCGTCGAAAGAACTGTAAATCTGCCAAAATCACGCCCCTGTGAAGTTATGCACAGAAAACTCCAATTATTCTTATTTGATTGTTTCCTTAGCCCGAATGATGAAAGACTGCACATGCACAGTATTAATAACGTGAAATCGATTGACTTCGGAAAACAATTCGAAGACGATTTTTGATGGGGGAAAAGGATCTCAAGTGGTTGTTATAAACTATGTAAAACATGGGACCGCATTATTTCCTCTGAATAAAGATTCAGTTTACAACTAATTCAACTTTGCCAAAGATAATTTGGTAAAGTTTGTCGAAAGCGGGATATCCGAACTTCTACATGTGGACTCTCCACGACGAAATCCAAGGTACCAGGAGAAAAATCGTTGTAGAAAGAATTTTGCAGTAGAGAAACCCTATAACATGGGTAGAAAGAAATATATGGGACCGGAAAATCGTTGAACAGAGAAAATCGTTATCGACAGAATTGTTGTAGTGAGTTAACCTTTACTGTATCATTATTTATCTTCGTAATGTGTGTGTGTGTTTTTTTTTTATTCGATTGCCATGTTTTGCCGTGAGAATAAAACTAATTTGGCGCATTGTGCATTTAGGGAAAAGGGTGGTGGAAGGATTCCGATGAACCGTGGCAAACCTTGGCTGCTTGCAAAGAAGTAGCCGCCGCGATTCGTTGTGAAGCTGGACCGGAGAATCACGTTTCGCATTTCCCAATCCATCAAGACGGGTCTTGCAACGGACTGCAGCATTACGCAGCTCTTGGACGCGATCCTCAAGGAGCCTTTTCAGTTAACCTTGGGGCTGCCGAAAGGCCACAAGATGTGTACTCTGACGTCGCCGCCATGGTTTGTATCTACAGTATTTCTTCGAGGCTTTTTGTCGTTCGTAGCTTCATTGTCGAATGCCTTGCTAGCGACGAAATTTCAATGTTTTCTCTCTGTCTTCTTTTGTCAGGTTGAAAGGGAACGTGTGAGAGACGCCGCGAAAGGCGTGAAAATAGCCGCGGCTCTTGAGGGGATGATCAAAAGAAAAGTAATCAAACAAACCGTCATGACGACAGTGTATGGAGTCACTCGTTATGGGGCTCGACTGCAAATTGCAAAACAGTTGAAAGGTTTTAAAACGGAATTTTTTTTATGACATCATTTAACGAAAACCATGGTTTGTTTATGCAGATCTGGATGACTTTCCTCAAGACATGTGCTTTGCAGCTTCTCAGTATTTGACGCAAAAGACTTTTTTGTGTCTGCAAGAGATGTTCACCGGCACGAAACTAATACAAGACTGGTTCACGGAATGTGCCCGGCTCATCTCTGGTGTTTGTGGGCAACCCGTGGAATGGATTTCTCCTCTTGGGCTTCCCGTCATACAGCCGTATCACAGGGGTGGGAAGAAAAACTTCGGAAGCTCAGTGGATGCTACGGGGCTGCGCATCAACACTCGAAATTTGGTGGATTCTTTCGAGTGAGTTTTGTTTTGCCCATTTTCAGCGGATGAGCGTCGATTTTGAACGAATGCGGAATGTCGAAATTTAGTGTAAAATGTAAAATAATGTTCGAAGGTCTGCATTTTTGTCGTTCAGCTGGTTTTCTGTGTGAAAAATCTTGTACAGTACCGCAGTCACCTGCGGCAAGGCAAGAATTCTGGGAGTCACCAAAATCTTCCTCTCCAGCAGATTACATTTGATGCTGAATTTATACTTAACTTCGTTTATTTGAATGATATGTATATATATTTATATATATATATTTTTTTTGAATCGAACGAAAATAATTTAGTCAAGTGATTTCATGAAGTACTTCTATCGACTCACCTGGAGTTTCAAAAGTTATTTGCAGGGAAATGTCGTGTCAGTTTTATTGTAAAAATTCTTCGATTTCGGTTGGCATTTCTCCTGAATCTACGTTGAAACCACCTTATTCTCACCGGTTTTCGTGAGCAGCTGCGTTTTCATGCGCAAAATTTTTGTCTGAAGTTTCCATCTTGTAACTTCTTCCATTCGAAAAATCAATGACACGATGATGTCCTGAAGAATTTCAAATCCATCTTCCCTCCCTCCTCCCTTACCTGCTAAAATCCTCCCAACCGTAGATGAAAGCCATGTAAGTCTGAAGTTTTTCTGTTTTTGACGGATGAGGATGGCATGTACAGAAGGTTCAATATTTCTATTGAATAATTCCTTGAAATAAAATCGATGTTTTACCCCTGTTTGCAATAACACTTCGTTCGTAATTTCTGGACCTGGGAATTTGAAAACTTTTCGTATGTAAATCTGCCTTAGCAGTTAGCACTTGAACATCATACATCATCATCAATGTACCAATTCCTCACGACCTTCCTCAGAGCCATTTAAACGATAAAAATATGATAGTACAGTACTAAAATTTAATTTGTCTTCGCTCACAGCAAATTTACAGCATTTGCATTTTTGCACCCTGTGGTGTAGATTTTTGACTGCGTCTTATTACATAGACACTCTTGTGTGTCTATTTGTGGACGTGCAATGTACCTTATTTACTGTACCTCCTGTTCGCGCTGGATGATGATGGAACTTTCTGTGTATTGGTGTAATGGATCCAGTCTCCTTCGCGTTCCAATATTTCATTCTGTGTAATTATTGATCATTGAATTTATATATTTGCAGGCGCCCGAACACGATGAAGCAGAAGAACGCGTTTCCACCAAATTTTATTCATTCATTGGACTCGACGCACATGATGTTGACTTCCTTGTATTGTCAACAAGCAGGGATATCCTTTGTATCAGTTCATGACTGCTATTGGACCCATCCGTGCACAGTTGATGTGATGAATGAGGTAGGTCAACGAACGAACAATATTTGAAGTTGCGTTGGGTGTCCATCGGGTCTAGAAAATGTCATGATCCAGTTAATTTGGTGGTTTTCACTTTTTGTAATTTATGCCTTCTTCAGATCTGCAGAGATCAATTTGTGGCTCTTCACTCCCAACCGATCCTGGAGGATCTGAGGGATTTCATGGTCTCCAAATATTCCTTCCCTCACCAGTGAGTCGAGCATTTTTTGAATTCAGATTTTCGATTGTTGCGAACGATTTACGGATGATTTTTTTCCTTCCTGGCTCGCAGAGATCTGGATGACGGTGGGACAGTTCAGGGCATTGCGAAGCGGAAATTGAACCGAACCTTGACAGAAGTGCCCGAGAAGGGGTCGTTTGATTTGCAGCAAGTCAAACACTCGACCTATTTCTTCAGCTAATTCTTGGCTGTGCTGCTTGCAATACGTAGTTTTTTTCGCCAATTTGTTGTACCTCGCGGTGCTTTGGTGGGTTGCAAAATGCACCTGGAGCTGAGCCTGAAGAACCTCCGCATTAGTCTGTTTTTTCAACGTACGATGACGGGAAATCTGAGTTCTTTCTGTCTGCTGTTTATTTCAGGTGTTCTTGGTTCTGTTGCAATTATGACTGAAACTGAGATTTTGTCCCTGCCTACCGACACCGTTTCGCGCGTCGCGTTCGCACCCAACTCCAAGTTACTCGGGATTTCATCATGGGACAAAACGGTTCGTGTCGTTGATGTAGCTTCTAATACAGTCAAGGCGAAGTACTTCCACTCGGAGCCAGTGCTGGATTGCATTTTTGAAGTAAGTCGATTTTCCTGAAATGCAAAGCTGGCATTCTGATTACTGAGTTCAAAGGTTGCATCGTAATTATTATTTTATTTTCAGAGTAATTCAAAAATGTACAGTGGTGGGTTGGACAAGACGCTGAAGGGATTCGATGTTCACACTACGAATGGTTTGTATTTTTTATTATTTTAGTACGATGTATAATTTGCTTCAATAAGGGTTACTGTGTTTTTTGCGAATAGACCTAAAGCTAATGTTGCTGAAGTGTTTTAATATCTGGGCTTCGATTAACGCTATCCAAATTTCGATTAATGGAGAGAAAAATTCAAGACAAATACTGTACATCTTGATCAACTTTAGCCAAAGACTCCCCATGAATTGACTAATCATCCCTGCTGATGAATTTTGAGATTTTCGGGAAGGCTTGTTGGGTTTGCGGTACAGTATTTAAGGTCACTGTTGAATATATTTCAAAATTTGCTGAATAAATTTGTAAAAATGCAGTGCAAAATATTCTTGATTTTCGATATCAGAACGAACGCACCATGCTGATCGGTGTTCTTGTACATTATCTGTAAATGCATCAATACCGTATTGATTTTTTCGTATTCATTCAAATTTTAAATTTTCATCAAGTCAGTCTTCATTGACACATCCGCTGTCTCTTCATCGCATATTTCAGAGCAAGTTTTGGGCACTCATGCCGACGCCATTAAGTGCATCGATTACGCTGAAGAATTGGGCATGATTGTCACTGGAAGCTGGGATACATTTGTGAAGGTGTGGGACCCTAGACAGCGAACTCCGCCGATTAGTGTGCCACAAACCGAAAAAGTGAGAGATACGAAAGCTCATTATTTACGCAGTTTGACGTATCACATTTATGTAGGTGTATGCGTTGTCGGTTTCGAAACACAACCTGGTTGTGGCAGCAGCCAACCGAAAAGTTATGATCTGGGATTTGAGAAATACGCAATACCCGCAGCAGAAGCGCGAGTCAAACCTGAAATATCAAACACGGTCTGTTAAATGCTCACCTGATGGACAAGGATTCGTTTTATCGTCAATTGAAGGTCGTGTTTCGGTGGAATACCTTGACCACAGCTTGGAAGCTCAGAGGAAGAAATACGCTTTCAAGTGTCATCGGCTAAAGGAGGGAGCAATCGAAAATATCTATCCTATAAATGCCATCGAGTAAGTTGTTGCGAATAATTTTTCATAAAATTTTAAATCAATCTACTGGATCTTCACGAAATACATTGGAAGAGCGAGCGTTTTCAAAGTATTCAAAGCTCATGTACGACGATATTCTCTCTCCGACGAATGTTCTGGTCCTACTCATCAAAACATCTTTGTTGAGTGATGAACACCTGAACCTGCAAGTTCATGTCATTCATTTGCTTGATAATCTTGTGAATTGACGAATATCGAAATTTTGATCATAGGCTGTATTCCTCGTCGATCACTGCGAATTTAACGATCTTATATTTTTATGCAGCTTCCATCGAATTTATGGAACTTTCGCAACTGGAGGAAGTGACGGGTTTGTCAATATTTGGGACGGTGTCAATAAGAAACGATTGAATCAATTTCCCCGGTATCCAACCGGCGTTACCTCTTTAGCATTCTCTCCTGATGGTGAGTTTTTTTTTCGGGTACTTCTCAAATATTTGTGCTATTCTTCAGGAACACAGGATAAGCATTTAGGTTTCTATTAACGGCGAATGCGAGGAACATGATTGATTTCACATTGCGGTGCTTTTATTTACAGGAAATATGCTCGCGGTTGGAGTGTCGTACCTTTATGAAGATGTTGAACCAGATCCATTGCCGGAGCCGAAAGTTTTTGTGCGACACGTTACTGATCAAGACACGAAACCGAAATAGACTTGTGTTGAACCAATGGGCGTTTTGTACCTTCATATTTTGTACTGCCGCTTCCATTGATAGCCGTCTTTCACTGCCTCGAGTCATTTTTTGGTTCTTTATTTCGCTTGTTTGTTTCGTCGGAGCTTTCGGACATAAAGTTGATTTTTCCCACTCTTTCTTCATTTGATTAGTCCTGTTCAAGCATTTTGATTTACACTCTTTTTCAGCAGATACGAATGCCGTTCATCCGTGCGAAATGTTGGTTGATTTGACGTTACAGTTTATGGGAGGAGCTGAACTTCTACTAGACGGCGTTAAGGAAACGAAAGTGAATATTTCTAGCGAATCGGATTTAACGGTGAAAGAGTTGATACATTGGGTGAAAGACAACCTTTTGAAATCGCGACCGGAACTCTTCGTCCAGGACGGATCTGTGCGACCTGGGATCCTGGTGCTCGTCAACGACGTGGACTGGGAACTGCTCGGAGGGTTGGGAGCTGTGTTGAAATCCGGTGACACTGTGTTGTTCATCTCTACATTACACGGAGGCTAAAGATACCTCAGTATGTCGTCTGGTCGCGGCGGGAATAAACGTAAATATTTCTCGAGGTGAGTGATTTTCTCGCATACCCCAACTGTATGGTAATGATGGGGAAGCACAGAAATCTTCCCGTTTCGATTCTTGTATGATGATCATTTTTCTCGAATGGCGTTCGCTGATTGATTTCTTCACGCAGTTTCTCAAGCAAAAGTTTGTGAGTTGAGAATTAAGTGATCAGATCATTTCGAAGGGAGGTGTGAAGTATGTCGTGTATTTCCACGTTGTTCGAAATTTTGCTCGAACGATTTTGCTTCTATTATTGGTCACATTAAAAACTCACGAAGAGTATATCGCCATTAGACTAATACCAGTTTCAACAATGCGTGGTTTTCGGAATTGATGAAATTGTACGATTTTCTTCAAGTGTCACAAAAATTATCGTAGGATTTGTCCAGTGAAACCTCTGAATCATTAAGTTACGTTGGAAATGTTACTGCACGTTCAGACGTGACGATTTCGATTTCTAAAAATGAAAGAACGGAATTCATAGAATATTTTTATTCCTTCTGAAAGCACAGAAATGTGCTTCCATTCGGGAAAACTGTATTGGGAAAATTCGGGAAGACTTTAATAAGACTGCGGGACTGCTTGTATTGGATTTTTCGAACTGCACGCAGAAAACAGCGTTTATTAAAATACTCCATTGTTCTTCTCAGTGCAATTCTGCTGTGCTTCCTTTTTTAGTGGTGGAATTTCGTCGAGCATCCCCAATGGTTCGAAAGGATTCCTTTGCACGTGTTCGGGGTTTGAGAAGGAAGCAGTGCGGGAATTGTACGGACATCTGAAGACGTTATGCGAAGTGGAAGAAAATTACGACGACATCGAAGCGGAACTGGAAGCCCTTCGGGAAGGAGAGGGCAAAAAATTTAAGCAGTGTAAAGTGAGCGCTAAAGGAGTGATTTTTGTGCGGCTCAAGGATAAGGTCAAATCTCCGGATATAATTCTGCTGGAACTAATGTCCGAATTCGATGCACGAAAGCCGGACGACAAACGGAGTGCGTTGAGCAAGATTGTTCCTGTTATGTCGACTTCCAAAGCCCATGAAGTCAGCTTGGTGAAAGGGATTAACGATTTGATTGCCGAGGTTTTCCCGAAGCTTCAGGAAGATTCGAAGACTTACTCTGTAGAAGTAAGTGATTTTCGCATTTTGTTTGAAAGAAATAATGTTGGGAATATGAAAGGTTGCCGTCTTTTGGCGATAGTATGACCAGTGGAACGATCCATTTAATCGATGTAATCCACCTAAAAGCAAAATTTACGGGTAGTGCCCGAAATATCGAAGATATTAATGAGAATCACTGATCAGTCTTAACATATGTTGTCATTCATAGGATATCGGAAAAAAAGCAATCCATTTTCTTGTTCATTTTCGTCCCTTCATAGTTGATACTAAGTTCCGCGGTGAAGCAGTTTTTCCTGGCTCACACGTGTCACATTTCAGTAGAACTGGAATAGAGTGGTTATACGGATACAGGTGGACTCTGTAAGATATTCAGACCTAAAAATTGTATTTTTACGTGAATAATTTCTTGGTGAATGATGATGAAGTCCCGCCGGCAAAAATTATATTACTGCTATGAGAGTGCATCTGTTCAGGAAATAATTGAAGAGAAGGTCCATCTATGTTTCATTCGTTTAAAAGAATTGTCCTAATGCATAGTTGAGCTATTGATGAATTTGTGAAATGAAGTGCAGTGGGTCCCAGACATCCGGACGATTCAACGTAGGGACACTCAAAACTGAAAAAATTGCGCCCCGACATTCGGACAATTTCTCAAGATTCCCATACAACATTTCTAGAAAATTCAAAATTTTTATATTTCAAAATTTGGATTTCCCTGGAACAAAGCGAGCTATTTATAATTTTTATATTCAAAAAGGTTAAAAATGAATTTTATGATAAAATACTCGACCATGATGAATTTTTTCTTCCAGAGTTCATGTGTGCACAAAATTGCTGGACTGTTCTTGTTCTTCGGTTCTTGAGCTCCTTCTGATGCCAAAAGATCAAATTATGTTTGGTTTTCTTATGCACAGTTTTTTTCTATATCTTGAAGTTGAGAAACAACAATTTATTCTATTTTTGGGGACTTCATTCCTAATTTTTGATGAATGGGAGAACCAATTGAATATCTTCCCATTGAAGTCCGTGGGAAAACGTAATCCAACATACGGATGCTCCAGTGTGGGGACAAAGTCAAAGCACCGATTTCTTCTGCATTTCGGGGCACACTGTACTTGAATAAATTTTGTTTTTCTAAGGAAGTCGTGTAGGGAAACAACCAATATGAACTCTAGAAGAAAATCGAGTCGCACTTTTTTCTGTAATATATCCAATTTTACCCAGCGGTGTTAGGATTTTATTCTGATTTTCAAATCTAGCGAAGTGACAGGATTTTACTTTTCTAATTTACTGAATGCGTTCCTGGTCTTCAGGTCAACAAGCGAAATAACTTCGAGGAGATCAAGGTGGTGGGAAAAGTGATGCAGTTCGTCCGAGAAAAGTTTCCCTCGTTCCGCACTGAACCGAAAAATCCGAGCGTGATGATCACCGTTGAAATCGTAGCAGCGCAAGCTTTCATTTCGATTGTGGAAAATTTCGTACGGTTCAGGAAATTTCGTTTGATCGACGTCGACAATAAAAAGTGAGCGATTATTTTCAACATTTTCTTGGTGCGTTTTTAATGCGACTGCAATATGTGTACGTAATACGCGGCAACTGTTCGGTACAAAGGGATTATTTCTCCCATATTGGAAAGAAATTCTCGATGATCTTCTTTTGACATTACGTGTAGCTCAACTGCTGCCAAGAACAGAGCTCTGATCACAGAATGTCTTCTGAATCTGAGTCATCCTCGACAGCAGGTAGAGCGTCACGCTGACGGGAAATAACAGCCAGTCTTTCAGTCTCCGACCGACGCTTGACATTTGCGAGAATCCACGATGGCGCCCTGCATTTAGTCACTGCCATCATTCCCCAGTAGATCCCGAGCATGGTAACCAGAACCAGTCCGGCTGTGAATGCGAACATGTCTGTGGCAATCATCAGATTTTTGTGAGCTTCTTCGTCCCATTTTTCCTCGATTTTTGGAGGATACATGATCAAGCCCACGGCCACGAACCAGGCGCCGTGCCACATGATGAAGAAGATCCTCGTTAAAGCTACTATTAGTCGTCTTCTTGTGCTGCTGATCTCGAGAATTATTGACGCAACGCAGGCCAACAACGTATAGTTGAGGAATTGATGAACCTGTGGAATTACTTATTTTTTAATCCTTATTATTTTGACAAAGTCGCTCAGGGGAACAATAGTCAACTATAGGATGATATGACCAATCAAAAGCCAAATTGTGTAACGGAGCTGAAAGCTGTGTTTTTTACTGACTGAAATTTGAAGTTCAGCAAAAATAAGTTTCGAGGATTTGTAAAGGTTTAATTGTCAAATTAATGTTTGAAGTGTGTGAAGGAAGGTACAAATTCTATCAGCAGAAAAAAGAATCGAAATCGGGGAAAAAAAATGGATGGCCTTTTTGAATCCTAAAGAGATCTGGTTACGACGAAAAGAACATATGTTTGAGGCACAAGAATCATTTTCCGGAAGCTGTAATAATTTTTCTCTTCTCTCAATTTAGAAGACATCGATCATTATTTTCCTGATGATGCCATGGATTTTAGTTTTTTGTTAATCTGTCGGCTCCCTAATAGTCATGAGTTCTAAGGCCAACAATGTTCTCTTTCCCTTCCTAGTTGACAGAAGACATCATTGGGTTTTGAGCGCTGCCTAAAATTAAAAAAAGAGGTGCTTTTCTTCGCGTAAATACAGATTCATTCTTGTGAAATTTGATTTAATCTAGATGGTTGTCTACTGGGATTTCGACTTTCACAAACAAATCGTTAATATCTCAAGTGACCCTTGAAATTGAGAAACGCTGAACCTATACCTCTATGTCCAGTGGAGTTCTTCCATGAGTGTGACTAGCAAACAGGAGTGCCTCAGTGCTGAAAGCGAGAGCCATTGCCAGGTAATCCACGTCAGGGGGTACAGGAGTGCCGAGTGAAATCAATAAATCGATCAACCCAGCGAGGAAGAAGAACGCGTACATGGTCGTGTGCTGAGAATTCTGGGGATCGTGGAAAAGATCCGGTGTGGCTGCATAACTTTCAACTATTCAAAAAAGAGAACAAATGCTCATGCACGAACGCGGAGACGTCGTCTAGATAAAAATTTAAATCGCCTCATCCGTGTAGTTTTTTTTCGAAAATACGGTGCCACACTTCCGTTCAAAATTCGTGAATTCCTTCTCAATGATATTCAATTTCGGAAGAATTCTTTGATCTCTGGGCTTCTTCCTTGTCAATAATGACTGTGAATAAAATTTTCAAAGAGGGTTAATGTTAAATGTTGGAAATTTGCGACTCTGATTCAATCGCCATTTTTTTGGCAATAAACTCATAATTTCTGTACTGTAACTGTTTAAGTATGAAGAGAACTCAACGAGAAAGTATTATTTTACAACCGTCGAGGTTGCTCTGTCTATTGGAGAAACTATTTATTGCTTAGTACTTTATTCGTTCAGTTGCAAGTGTTTCAACTGATGTGATTTGAAGATTGCAAATTATTGCGTAGCTCTGGTCAAAAATGCTGCTGATCTGTCGTACAATATCGACGTATTCCCTGTCAAAGAATGCAATTGTCCACGGAAGAAGCCCCGAAATGAGAGATTCCTTCAAAATTTAATATTTTTGAGAGGGAATTCATCAATTTTGGGGGTTAATGTACAAAAGCCTTCATGATACAGTATTTAAATTTAACGCGTCTAATTGTTCCAAATATAGGCCGCACCATACTTCATGAGTACAATTTTGGGGAGTACTGTCGTGCGGTCCATTCAAGTAAATGAGTAATTGTATTTCCTTTTTCGTGGTTCCTTTCACGTGAGTATTCATGCTCAATTCAAGCGAACCCCTCTTTTGATTTTCATCTAATGCGAAGTGAGAATTATAAAAAAATGAACCCGTAATTGAGGTGAGAAAGGTCAACGTATGCATCAAGAAGCAAGAAAATGGCTTTCCTCTGAACCAGCTGATGCAAATCGACTAGGAGATTAAAAAATAACTAACATATTGAAATTTAAAGCAGAAGATGTGAGGTACACTGCGAATTTCAAGTGCGATTATGAGGAAAACTTCTGCACGAAAAGAAACCCATGTTTAGAAGAGAATAACTAAGACAATGCAAGCAGATGGAGGAGACTGCCCTTCGTCTGTTAGACTGCCTAGACTAGAGAATTGAATCACGTCAAATCGTTAAAAATTCCCACTTCAGTGTTAAAGATCATCGTACGCAGAAGCAGTAGTGCTTGAAAGCTCTCGTACATCAACGATCAGCAGACCAGAAGGGTTTAATTAATGCAGGAATGACTACCTCGAAGTTTTTTTTAATCGCAAGATCTGACTTTCCGAGTGTTCAAAAAAGTGGATTCTTGATGATTTGGTTGCGATACCTCATGTTTTCGTTCCCTCCGACGAAGGAAATGAACTTGTTTCCCTATTTAAGATGTAGAGTAGTCGACTAACCTGCTATGCCGATTGAGGCAGAAACCATTTTGAAAATCGCTTCAACCGGTACTTTGCAGCACCACGAGAAATCATTGTAGGCAGCTGTGGTACTGAACTTGTTCCTGGTATGCTTTGATTTGTGGAAGCGGTACGTAACAGAAAACGTCTGCCATATTGCATAGATGAGGAATAACGTGCCTGGGAGCACGTGTCCCACTAGTGTTCCCATCAGCTCGCGCTTCGATCCGCCGTAATTTCAATTCGTAAGTTCAGCACTAGGTGGCGGTCTGTGGTCAGCAGCATCCGAAAGCTTTATAACGAACGTCATAATTGAACTAAAATCGTCAAATCAAATATGGATCATCAGAAGTATTATACAGCACAGTGGAATCTTGATAACTTGAATCTCATCTGAGATTGATATACCTCTCTTCGTCGAGTTTTTTTTCAATCCATGTCCGAATTCCATTAGAAACATTGCGCGAAAGAACCTATCTAACTCGAAGGCAGGCTTTCCTCTATCCTCAAACCTCCACACCTCGGATTTTCTTGAGGCTTTTTGGCTATTATTTCATCAACATAGGGAAGAGAAAAGCGGCAAAAATGTCACTTGATGTCTTTTGGAAGGATGATGTGAAAGGCTAATAAAACAAATAATAAACCCTTCTTTCCAAGTCCAGAATCCTGGCAACTCATTTAGCAATTCAAGGCCTAAAATATCACTAATTACAGTTTCATGTAATTCTTTCTCTCTTTCACCCAACACAAATGCTGGTTTTGCTAACTAATCAAAGCCTCCCCGAGACAAATCTTTCACTGGTCGCTTAAAGTTTGATTCAAAGAGGTTCTACTATTTTCACTCCTGGATGTATCCAATTTTTAAAGCCTGAAAGACACATGTGGAACACGAATCACCTCAGAACTCGTCGTTCTCAGCAGCAGGGAAAACCGAACCTCATTTCCATGTATGTGATTCTCTATTCTTCTTCTCTCGCATGTATATAGTCTTATCTCATGCGGAGATAAGCTCACCTTTGGATCATGATGTGCGCCAGAATTCGTCATTTCGTTCGTTGAACTCCCGTCGATGTCGCTCGTAATTCCCACTTCAGTGTTAAAGATCATCGTACGCAGAAGCAGTAGTGCTTGAAAGCTCTCGTACATCAACGATCAGCAGACCAGAAGGGTTTAATTAATGCAGGAATGACTACCTCGAAGTTTTTTTTTATCGCAAGATCTGACTTTCCAAGTGTTCAAAAATGTGAATTCTTGATGATTTGGTTGCGATATCTCATGTTTTCGTTCCCTCCGACGAAGGAAATAAACTTGTTTCCCTATTTAAGATGTAGAGTAGTCGACTAACCTGCTATGCCGATTGAGGCAGAAAACATTTTGAAAATCGCTTCAACCGGTACTTTGCAGCACCACGAGAAATCATTGTAGGCAGCTGTGGTACTGAACTTGTTCTTGGTATGCTTTGATTTGTGGAAGCGGTACGTTACAGAAAACGTCTGCCATATTGCATAGATGAGGAAGAACGTGCCTGGGAGCACGTGTCCCACTAGTGTTCCCATCAGATCGCGCTTCGATCCGTCGTAATTTCAATTCGTAAGTTCAGCACTAGGTGGCGGTCTGTGGTCAGCAGCATCCGAAAGCTTTATAACGAACGTCATAATTGAACTAAAATCGTCAAATCAAATATGGATTATCAGAAGTATTATACAGTACAGTGGAACCTTGATAACTAGAATATCATCTGAGATTGATATACAGTACCTCTCTTTGTCGAGTTTTTTTCCAATTCATGTCTGAATTCCATTAGAAACATTGCGCGAAAGAACCTATCTAACTCGAAGCAGGCTTTCCTCTATCCTCAAACCTCCACACCTCCGATTTTCTTGAGGCTTTTTGGCTATTATTTCATCAACACAGGGAAGAGAAAAGCGACAAAAATGTCACTTGATGTCTTTCGGAAGGATGGTGTGAAAGGCTAATTGAACAAATAATAAACCCTTCTTTCCAAGTCCAGAATCCTGGCAACTCATTTACAAAGCAATTCAAGGCCTAAAATATCACTAATCACAGTTTCCTGTAATTCTTTCTCTCTTTCACCCAACACAAATGCTGGTTTTGCTAACTAATCAAAGCCTCCCCGAGACAAATCTTTCACTGCTGCTGGTCGCTTAAAGTTTGATTCAAAGAGGTTCGACTATTTTCACTCCTGGATGTATCCAATATTTTAAAGCCTGAAAGACACATGTGGAACACGAATCACCTCAGAACTCGTCGTTCTCAGCAGCAGGGAAAACCGAACCTCATTTCCATGTATGTGATTCTCTATTCTTCTTCTCTCGCATGTATATAGTCTTATCTCATGCGGAGATAAGCTCACCTTTGGATCATGATGTGCGCCAGAATTCGTCATTTCGTTCGTTGAACTCCCGTCGATGTCGCTCGTTGAGGTACCTGCAAGAATTCAGGTTTTTTTAACTTTGTACGGTATGAACAGTTCTACCATTTTGATAAGTCGAAATTCAAGGATAGCAAAAAAGATCAAGGTACGGAGGTTCGCAGTAGGAAAACAAGCATTTTTTGTTGCTAGTGGGAAAAGAGAGAAAAACTACTGGAAATATTGTAATCGGCGATAATCTGGGCATCAAATTGATTCATGAATGAGTTAGCCGGATGCTGAAGTTGAAGGCAAAGGCGAATTTGTCAAATTATGTTTTCAGTTCCTTCCAAAACCGCATCAAATTGCATTTCAATTGCTTTTCTCTTTCCCATGTCGATTAAATAAGTGCCAGAAGGCCGCCTGCAGAAAATTAAACTTATTGAGGGGGCAGGGGGGGGGGGGTCAATTCTTTGAGTTGGAGAGGTTTTTAATGCATTGCATAACAAAATTTGACATGAGGATGTATTGGACTCCTACTGCACTGTAACTGATACAGAGTGACGAAAAAAAAACCGCTTGGACGTCGAAAAGCGAAAGAGGGTCCACATGGATGATAAATAGGAAACCCTATATACATACAAGAAGAAATTGAGCAAAAAATCGAAGAACAAATTCAGTAGAGCTGCCATGATATCAATAAATAATCGCTTGATTTTTCCAGAGCACTCCTCGTAAACCGCACGACAAAGTGTACCTGCATTTATGGCACAGAAATAACAAAATATCTAATTGTCTCATATGATAAAATGTTTGAATTGTTCGTTTCCTTGTTGGGTGATTCTTAATCGTGGTAAACATGTTTTATTGGATGCTTTTATCTTTAAACTAAAGCTGTGTAGATGCTCATTTAGACGGCATTCATTATCATGTTCCAAGAATTTGAGGAAACTTCGCAAAATTCAAGGCATCGAGAATCCCTCATTATAGTGAGTCATATTGAACGAACGACTCATGCCTCGAACTCGGAGATCCTATAAATACTGTATATGTCGAGTTGTCGACCGAGCAGGAAAAGACTACCAGCATGATCTGCAGAATTCCTCTCGCGATTAGATAATGCATTATTGTATAAACCTCCAACTCCAGTTACGGATCACGTTTTTACACAAGTGCACTTCGCAGAACGAAAGCATCATCTGATGACTGACCTCATGCGTAAATGTTTTTGTTTTCATTCATCGCTCATCAGGCGACCCGAGAAGAAGCTCCGCTCGGAATATTTCTTTTTCTGAGAAAGCTTAGTTTTTTGTGTATCACAGTTTACCTGGTTTTTATTGCTGGAACGTGATGATGGAATCCAGTGGAATTGAGGAATTGGGTGGTGTTAGTCAGCACATGGAAAACTTGCTAAACAGCAGATACGGAGCGGATGTGACGGTCCTCGTGCAAGGAAGACGATTTGAGACCCATAAAGCGATTTTGGCGTCAAGGAGTCCCTATTTTAAGTGAGCAGAATGCATTCCATGAAATATTTGAGACCCGCTTCCCTGACTTTCTCCCAATTTATTTCTTCTCGTGTGACTCTAATGAAGGAGCAAGTACAAATTTATCGTGTAAGCGTGAAAATCGTAACCCTCGTATATACCGGATTTACTTGACGAGTATCACGTGCCATTCAATAAGACACGCCCCTGAGATTTATACCTAAAATTCTGGAAAAAATTCTGGTGCCGCAAAAAAAAAAAAAAACTTGCGCTTTGGTTTTCGATTAGCGAAATTCCTATACAGTATTAAAAACTGTGCTGGGTAAAAATCTAAATTCAGGCCAATGCAATGGTGATCTGTTCGTTTGATGCAATAATAATAAAAATGATCGACGTAGAGAACCCTGGACAAATTTGAAAGTGGGGTAGAAAAGTTTATAATTTCGAAAAAACTATCGTTCAAAATTTTGTACCCTCATTTTTTTGCGCCACTTTATTGAAAAAAAGGGGCGCATGTCACTGTACTTGAATAATTATGGTATGCATTATAGTACAGTACTTGAATAATCAATAAAGACATAACTGCGGTAAAGTATATTCCATCAATTACTGTATAGGAAAAAATAAGATAAAAAACCAAGTAAAATTTTTTCTGCAGTACTAATTATGGTTCCATATTTAATGGCTGAAAAATCTCTCCATATTTTGCTAGTTTGCTACGATTTCGTATGATTTTATTATAAAAAAATTTGTTTGCGTAATATACTGTACATGGTATTAAATTCCTCTTCAAGAATTTTCATAAGTTTTTCATTTCTTTGCGATGGGTTTTAATTTATCAACTACGCAAAATACCTCTTACAGGAGTACTGTAATTTGAGGGAGATAATAAATCAATGACATCTACATCTTTTGATGCCCTGAAAAAAGAAAACGAAGTGGAAGACAATATGGAATATGCTCTTTTAAAATCCAAACAAATTCAAATTTTTTTTAAAGTATGAAACCATACTAAAATTATTCTGAGGCGTGGAGAAGAATTTTTTACCGTAAAATATGGCATCATTCTTTCGTAATGGGAAACTGCTATAATACGGTATGTAAATGTCTGTCTACTGGTCAAAAACTTCCTTAAAAATTTAATCTTATTTCCTGAAGAATTCCAAGAGGCTGAAATCAAAATTTATAAACTTATACCAGATATCATTCCTGAAAATTAGAAGATATTTTTTGAAAGAAGTGATAGACTTGGACATTTTACAAAGACTCAGTAACTGTACTGCTTATCTTAGACTGTCAGACAATCAGTAAAATGTGCCTGTGCTTACTTGGTTATTAATTTGCCAAATATCCTAGTGATGAAGTGCAATTGAACGCCTCTTTTTATTCCGCTGCGTGTGAACAACTAAGAGTTATAGGTAAAGAGAATTTTCAAATGTTATGTTGCATGTTAAAATTTAATTACAACAAGTCATTGGGATCTGAAACAGTTTTGTTATTGTGGAAAATGAGTTACTGATTCTGTAGGGACGAATAAAAATATTTTTTCTGAATAAAATTTTGTAAGAGATATTTTACCACAAGATTCCACTGTAATATCCGACAAGATTCCAGCAAAGGAAGCACAACGCTCCGTATAACCAGCAATAATCTCAAGATTTGTTGTTGTTTTCGGTCAATATTCCGCTCTGCACTCGTTTCAAATTCGAATAAAATATTTTAATTCGTCGGAATTTCGTTCTAGAAATTTGTTCGGCGACGACCACAAGTCATCTCCTACGGAGGTGGAGCTCAAAGACACTTACGCGGACTCATTCAAATCCGTCCTGTCGTTTTTGTACACCGGCAAGTTGGACACTACGAAAATGCACGTTTTGCAATTGATCGACATTTTCGGACTCGCCCACCGTCTTCATCTCGAAGAACTGGTCGAAAGAGTGGAAGAAATCATGTTATCCTCTCTCAAATTGGAGAATCTTGTTTCCTTGTGGAATTGCGTCGTGAGTTACCCCGGAGATCAGCTCGCAGCGTCATGCAAGGCTTTTGCACTCGAGAACGACGCAGCCCTCTTGAAGCATCCTTCGTGGTTGTACTTAAAAATTGTGAGATAATCTTTCGCATTTGAAAAGAAAGTGTCTCTTGCATTTCCTCAAAATTTGCGAGAATTCTGTTTTCAATGATTCAAGTGCCGCATCCTTGCTGGCAGGGTAGTATAATTGCTGGAGGCAGCTTTTTATACTGTAACTTTATTACTACGTTTAACCTACAGCACTATTGTTTGAATTTATTCGGAGTTCGGCCTAAAGCACCCGAACAGGTTTTCGTGTTTTTGCTTTAGGATATCAAAGCCAACGAAATTGTGTAAAGGTTTATGACGAAGTCTGGCTGGTTTTCCAGCATTTTTTTTTATTTGAAAATTGTATATGCATTTTTACATTGTTAAACGTGCTGCGCCCTGAAATCCAAAATACAGTACTGTATGTTTGCAGCGTCCAAAACGGAAACTACTCCGGATCCATATGTCTATGAGCAGGATAATAAATATTTGCTTGAAATTAATTGAGAAAACCTGATACCGTAGGAGCACGTGTATGTGTCATGTTTGGACAATTTTTTTAAAGTAATTATACAGATTTTAAGCGTGATGGGACAACATATGGCACGAGAAAAAATATGACCCATAGACATAGTCTAAATATGATGTAACTGTACGTATTGTATGAATAATGGGACACGGAATAGCCTGATTTGTTCCGAAAAGATCCTTTCAGAGTGAAACTTGCTTTTCCTGAAGCAAATTTTGTGCATGTCTCACGTCATGCTGAAAGATTAATTTGCATTATGTGTGCGAAATGTATGCAGCAGCGTAAGAAGACTTTCTTTGTCCGCGCTGGTAGGAGCACTTGTTAATCAAAGGAAAGACTGACATCTAGCTAAAAGGCTTTCAACTACTCTGTAGGTCGAAGTCTAATTTTTGTCTAGATGTAGTTAATAGATCCGTGATGTCACCGTTCGTCTTGTACACTGCACACTTTCTCATGACTCGAAACTCCTCAAGTTGAAGACCTGCCTGTGTCAAATTTTTTCATGTCACTGTCTGAATACCCATAAAAGCCATGTATGATAAGCAAGCCTACCTCAAAGATTTCCCTTCCTCTAATACAGTATACCTTTTTGTAGTTTTCTAAAGGCATCTGCTGGTCTATTACTTTTTGAACCCAGGAAAGAGAAAATCAATAAAAAATGTAACTTATATAACTTCATGCTTTATTAATTTCAGGCAGAAATGTTAGGTTTTTCGGGACCGAAAACTCCCCTGGTCGTTTTTTTCCTTTCTGGTCGCTTTCATTTGAATTAAAGACGAGGCTCAAGGTTCAAATGCCTTGTTTCAGGAGAAAGTTCGTGAGTTCCTGGCCGCGAAACCCTTGCGAAAATCGCCTGTTCAGGTATTCCTTGCCTGCGTGGATTGGATCAAATCCAACAACATAAATCAGCCTGATATGCTGCTGAAATACTTGAGTTTCAAGCGAATGACGGTCAAAGAACTGTTGACCATAGTCAGACCCACGGGTTACCTTCAAGACAAAACCCTGCTGGACATAATCCAAGTTTATGGTGAAGGGAAGGTCCAATGGAACCATGAGAAAGAAGTTGTAGTCGAATGCACTTCCCGGTTCGAGAACTCCGGGTCGTATCAGCGGGTAAATATTTGTTGTTGTTGTTGATCAATTTGATTTTTCTCACGATGAACTTGAAATAATTTAGATCCATTTTTTCACCTTCGAAAGATAACGGCTTAGATGAGGCCCCGCTCGAACCACGAAGAATTTTAGAAAAGGCTTAGATTTAGTTCGCTAGTTCAAGCATTGAACTTGAACTTCATATCAAAAAGGGCATATTTTTCTTCCATACTGTGCAGTAAACATAGGAGTAAGAATAATTCTCTCCATATTGCGATGGTCAACGTTGAAGGTATGAAAATTAATACCGTCAAGTCCCATGAAGATGCCCTCCAATTAGTCGCCATCATTGGCAACCGAAGTTATTGACAACTCAAATATGTTCTTGCCAATTAAATTTGTCTTGAATAGTTTGCCAACAAGATCCAAGTTTACGTGAGAGGTCTCCAATATAAAAAAATCGAAACACAAAGATTACATAATTTACTTCTTGGTCCCATTACCTATAGATATAATTATGCATCCCGCGGTTATTTTGATTGTTCCCTGAAGGAATACCATTTTTAATTCCTATTATTGATTTTTATAGTATATTGGATATTTTAATAAATCACCAATCCAATGTAAACCGCCAACACCGTTGAACCCCAATAATCCTCACAAAGAAATGGAGGTGGCTTATTGAGGTTTGAATATTGAATAATAATTGAATATTACATTAAATTATATATTTTCAGTGTTTTTCAACAAGAAAACTTGCTGAAAATAAACCTTATTGGAGTATCATCAGTCTTCAATTGAAATTCGTTGAGGGTGAAATTTCAGTGCAATTACAGTAGTGAAGATCATGAGCAAGTTTTTGTGGCAGAAAAAAATATTTTTTCCTATTAGACTTGATTTTCATATTATTTTGGCTTTTTTGATAAACCTCCGAGCCACTTTTAACCGCCAACCCCATTAAACCCCTACTAACCTCGCAAAAAAAAATAAGGGGGTTACTAAAAATTAAACTATTAAATACTGTAATATATTCAATATTAAATTACATATTTCTGGTGCTTTCTTTAGCAAGAAAAGTTGCTGAAAATGCTGAATCTGGGTCTATCATCAGTTTTTAATTGAAATTTATTGAGGGTGTAATTTCATTGCAATCAAAGTACTGTAGTGAAGATCATGCAATAATGTGAATACTGTTTTCAGAAAAAATGTTGCATGCATGATACAGTTCAACCTCTTTAAGTCAAATTGCAATAAGGGACCAGGAAAAATTAAACTTAGGGAGGTTTTGACTTAGGGAGGTTTTCATTTTTTGAGGTTTCCAGTTGAGGAAACAAACACTTTTGTTGTGAGAAGTGAGAAAATCTGGGAAATCATAAATGAGGATATTCTGGGGTACACCCTGCTGAACTCAGTGGCAGGGGTTCATTTGCTATACAGTACAGTATTTGTCTTCCAATTCCTTTCAAGATGCATCGAATTATTTGTTTTAATCATTTTATCTTTCATATTTCAAGAAAATAATGACGAGAAGACTTTGAGTTAGGGAGGCTTTTAATGTATTGATGCTAAGGGAATTCAGACAGGGACTGAAAAAAAATTCGACCTAGCGAGGAATTTGACTTAGGGACGTTTGACTTATCGAGGTTCACCTGTAGCTGTTTTGAGCTGGAATGTTTTAAATAACTGTATAGGGCTGTAAATTTTCTGTGATTCGCTGAGACTCAATTTGAAGTGTTGATTGTTTCGTTTTCTCTGAGACAGAAGCAAACACAAAGAGCGTCGAAAATTACCAAATCCTGCACGTTGATACAACGAACAAGCATGATAACAGGGGCTACTGAGTACCTCGTGACGTGCGAAGATGACGAGGCATGTTAAATGTTCAATCCTCAATTCAAGTTTATTTCATTGATCCTTTTGATAAGATTATTCCTTTTTTCGTTTCAGAATTTTTCCGAGCTTTTCCTGTGATGATTATACGTATTGCTGCACGTTTGCTGTGTAAGAATGCGAGCCAAAACTGCCCATTTGTTAGCATTTCATCCAAATTAATGTCGGTGCCTTTTTTCATCAGTTGCGTGAAAATTGCTGACTTTTCTGCTTAATTTTTTCTATGTATTGTTTATTCGCGTTCGGAAAAGATATGAAGGCAGGAAAATTATTATTTTGTGAACGGAATCAATAAATGCAATTTCATTCGCATTTTCTTGTATTTCTGCTGGTTTTTTTTATTATTCAATTTTGGTGTGTGATTGAGGATTCAGTCGGTTTGGCGAAGGCAGTATTTTTCATAAAAATGTAAGATTCTTGCTTCTCGGCTTCGTTTTTCAGCATCTTCCATCTCTTTCCGAGATATTTCTTCCTCGCTCACGTCATCCAAATAAATTGCAGGTAAAACTACGATTAGTGCAATGATCATGAGCTCCAACAGTAGCTTCAAAGGGACGATGTTCTTCGACTGCAACGAATTTAGAATTTCGCCCGCCGAAACCTCGACGTGAATGGTTGGTATTGTTCCTGAAATTAACTCAATTAGAATCATCATAATGATACCCATTACCATGAGTTGCCAGTTACATGCAACAATATACAGTGAGACTCCCACATGCAGACACCTTGACCTGTGGACCATTCAACATAGGGACACTTATTTTCCCAGAAAAAAATCAATAAATAAGGCCCAACATGAGGAAACTGACTCAACATAGGGACATTTTGTAATACAACTTCAAATACGTTTCTGGCCAAATTACAAGAAACAGATATTTCCAACCCTATCGGTACAGTTTTGCTAGCAACGTTCATAGGTACAGTACTGTACTGTAATTACAAGTATTTACTCAAGTACCACGCCCACCTTTTTTACAAAAATTGGGGAGGAAAAACAGGGTGCGTGTGAAAAGTTGAAAATGTATTCACTAATTCAAATTCAAGTGGCAAACAATTTTTTTCAGGGAATTCTGAAGAATATTTCTTCCACAGAACACCAATTAAAAACCATATAATGTAAGTCTAAGGGAAAACAAGACTCAACTTAAAGACATTTTTACTTGGGGACACTTTTGATGCACAAATTACGTCCGCATCTTGGGGTCTCACTGTATATGCCGTATTAAGTACCACACGCATCTCCAACTAATAAGATTCCCAAAATTGTTATTGCTTGAACTAGTATTTCTGGTAGACAAGGAGGCTTTGCTCCACAAATTTCCTCTGAAACATTTTTTTGCTTATTAAATGCTTACTTCCATATGTGAGGGGCTGGTTTCATTTTTAATTTTCCCTCAGAAAATGTATACCGGAGTTTCACACGCACCCTGTTTTTCCTCCCCAATTTTTGTAAAAAAGGTGGGCGTGGTACTTGAGTAAATACTTGTAATTACAGTACAGTACTGTACCTATGAACGTTGCTAGCAAAACTGTGCCGATAGGATTCACACGCACCCTGTTTTTCCTCCCCAATTTTTGTAAAAAAGGTGGGCGTGGTACTTGAGTAAATACTTGTAATTACAGTACAGTACTGTACCTATGAACGTTGCTAGCAAAACTGTACCGATAGGAACTCCAACCACAGGACTCGCCGCAACAATGAATGTGTTGGGTATGAATGGCATCAAAATCAAAGATAACATATACCAGAACAACGTATTTTTTCTCGCTGCCACCTGAAAAAAAAGAAAGATCCAACATTTCTGCATGGTCTAAACATAAATTTTCAACAGCCTCGACCATATTTGCTGAGTTATAGTAAATATGTTACTCTTTAATTAGAAAGTGAAAATATAGTCATCAGAATTGTTGTTGCTCATCTATGACAGTGGCTGTGATTCTACCTTTTTCCGAAATTTCTCCAAAGCCTCGGGATAGTGCTTCTCAAGATGGCGTCTCAAACAGAAATTGGCCACTTCGTAACTGCAAAATGACCCAGCAAATGTAGCTGAAATATTGAGCAGCATTCCCTTCTTCCAACCGAACAACGCCCCGGACAAAATCCTCTAAAATAGAACGACAAGAAAATCGACTGAACAAAACTCCTCGAAATCCATCTCTCCATTGCGTGAATTGAAACATGTACAGTAAAATCTTGTTACAAAGGACTCCCATGGACCTAACAAAAATACATTACACATAAATTCATGGATTTAAACGCATTTCATGCTGGAATGTTGTGGGAAATGGGTAATAAATACTGCAAAGTGCTTCTAAAACGCATAATTCAGAACTTTGCATAACCTTCTAGTCTCTCTGGTGAAATGAAGCAAAAATGTGGGATATACAGTACTGTACTGTGCAGAACTTCTTTCATATTTAACCTGCATTTTTACTTGATACGTTGCTTGTCTTAAAAAATTGCTTCCATCCAAATCAACTTATTCATTCATACTTGTGCGTTCTTTGAAATAAAAAATTGTCTTTTTTTTAAAGAAAATCATTCAATCTCAACTCAATGAGTTAACAAATTTCCAAGGAATATTTGCATGCAGTGTATTTTCATGAATGCTGAATTCTCTCTACAGACAGTTGTCGTTTCTAATGAAGTCGGAATGCTGCACCAGCAGTCGATTTCTTCTAAAATTTTCTGTCAAATATCAAATAATCCCAATTGCCTAAGCACAGAATTAGGGTAAAAAAATGTTTCTCCTGCGATAACAGCCTAAAATTAGCTCATACAAATGATATTCTTTTAACATGGTGCCTGAGGAGAAACTGCTGGGACCAAGAAAAAAATTCGCAAAAACGATTGAAAAAATGATATTTCTTGAATCATAACTACAGTATACAACATAGTAGATTTAAAGAAAAAAACAGATAAAGATCTCACCAAACTCTTCGTTCCCGGTATAGTAAACGCCTTGATGTACACCAAGACCACAAACATGAGCCACATGGAATGCATCTCATTGGTTTTCACATAGTTTGACACCAACTTTGCTTGTACCTTCAATGTGTCAATGCTGGTTGGGAATAAGGTGAGTTCATCTGCTTGGTCAAACGGTGGGGCATTGCGGAAAACAGTGGCAACAATTGCAGTGGACAGGAACAGGCCCATGAACCAGAAAATCACTCCATCCATCTCTTCTAGATTTCTTAAAAGAAACCACCGAAAAAAAACTCGGTAAACAAAATATTTACAGTCACATTATTAGAAAATAAAATTCAAAATTTAATTTAAAGCGTATGAAGATACAGAGGGTGAAGTTTAAAATCCCCTCAGTACATCCCCGAGTGAATACGATGTAAAATTCAATTCTACCTTTCAAAATGGCCGATCATGTCCTGAGAGAGTGAAGAATTATTTTTATCCGTGGGACTAATGCTGACATTTATAGTAGCATCAGAATAATACTCAATCCATCTCGTCCAGATTTCCTTGCAGAAAAAAAATATGCAGAAAACATATGCCTAAAACAATCACGTTTCTTATGTGTAATGAGAAATTACAATTTTAATCATCGAGCTGAGAAGACGAGCCAGGACGAAATCCGTTTAAAAACCACCAATTTCATGCAGTATTTCATAACAGTATAAAGAAAATTTGGATTGAAATTCCGTCTCAAAATTGCTAATGTTTTTGTGAAAAAGTGGACATGATTTTCAGGGTATGACCAAAGCGGGAATTTAGTTGCAAATTGCATTTGAAATATCTTGTGCATGCTACAATTGAATCTCAATAAGTCAAACCTCCATAAGTCAAAGAACTCAAAAGTCCCCATCTGGATTTCCTTAGAAACCGTGCTCAAAAAACCTCCCTAACTCAAAGTCTCTTTCTCTCAAACCTCCGTGAGTCAAATTTTCTGAGGACTTTTGGCTATCATTTTCTTGATGCAGGAAGAAAAAGAGCAATAAAAACAGAATTTGATGTGCATCTTTTGAAGAATATGAAAAATTAAATTGGGCCAATGAACCCCTGCCTCCAAGGTCTGCATGCTGTAATCTTGTCTTGCCAGAAGCAAGTTTAGGCTCAGAATATCCTCACTTACAGTTTCCTGCAATTCTTATATGCTTCCATGAAACAAAAATGCTTATTTCTCCAATGCTAAATCTCCCAAAATCAAAACCTCCCCAAGACAAATTTTTTTGGCTGTTCCCTTGAAATTTGACTTGAAGAAGTTTGGAACTTTGAATGAATACTGTATAGCAATTATCAGGGACAAAATACAGTATTTTTCAGAGATGGATATTAGCCTATACCGTTTTTATTTGGTGTAGAGGGGTCACTAAAAACAATTGCTTGTGATTTATATTGCAGATGGTCACGGCCAAGCAACATTGAGCAGCATTGAAAAGTATTCTGTGAATAAAATCATACAGAGTATCGCATGTATAATTCCTGTATTTCCCTAATTATCTTCTGGTGAAACCCCTTCTTTGTTTCTGATGACAGACTCTTCATGGAATGAAATGCTTAAAAATTCTTCTCTTCTACCTTTTGTTAGATTCACTTGACTTTGTAAGACGCTCGCGGTCGGTACAAGACCGTCGTGTCCGGATGCGACCGAGTCAAGTAGAAATCCGTCAATTTCGGCAACAACGCCAGAATAGCCACGCAAAACATTTGCAAAAAGTTGATGAACGAGAAGAAATCTGGCTTCTCGATCGTTCTGAGCACGTTTCCGGCCAAACAAGCAGAAATCACACTCGGGAGAGTCCCTGGAAAATAAAGAAAATGATAAAAACAATGAGCGAATAAGGCGAGGCAAAACAAAAAACAAAAACAGGACCAGCCTAATCAGCTGCGGTAATTAGCACCAAAAAGGCCAGCGGTTGTTTTGACACTGCGAGAGAATCAATCAGGGGGAAAATCTGATAAAAGATGAGAATCTCTGGGAAGAAGCAGATGTTTAGTAACGAAAGATTCTTGTTGGATAAATCTGTCATTACAATGATGTTTATTTCGTCGCAAACTTCCGAACGACTTGAGTTTAAAGTGCGAGGAAGGCGATAAAATATCGATGCAAATTCGTCGCCGCGAAAAGTTGAAATGGAAGTAATTTATTCAGAAAGATTAACAGATGAATATTTTACGTTTGCCTCGAAAATTACAAGGTTCCGATAAAATCTTAGCAAAATGTAAAACGAACGGAGTTGAAATTTTGCCACGATTTATTCACTTTCGCGTCTATATCCTACGAACCAGAAAGTTTTGATCGATAATTTACTTATACAAAAATAATAAAAATACATCACCTTATATGAAGATCCTTAGTACAATATTGTACACGCATATTTTTTTTCGGTTCATTTTTTCTAAACAACTTAGCTCTTATTCACAAGATTGAAAACACATTTCACTGATATACTGTTTACGACAAAAGATTCGGAATTGCGCTTACATGCAGCAAAAGCATCTGAAATTTAGTCCTTGGACTTTTTCGATGGAATTATCGTAATTTTACAATCATATCAAGTCCAAAACTATAATGCAATGATTTTGAGAAATTATTGAAGAATTTGATTTCTTTTTTCTAAATCAGGGGTTCTCCGAATTGAAGACTTTCCGGAATCATCGAGGAAAACCCACATCTGCAATAGTTATTGATATGAATGCGCGAAGTGTATTTTTTTTCTCCTCGACTTCCGTCATCAAAACGGTCGAAAATCATTTTTCAATCGCGTCGGTCAAATATCAAATAAATAAGTGAACTCTCACCGATCGCAGATGCTGCCAAAAAGGTGTCAATTGGCACACCGATGGCCGGGGATGCAAAACTAGCGAACGTCAACGTGAACCCCGGCGTCATCATCAGTGACATCATGAAGAAAAACAGATCTTCTCCGTATCGCTGAGTCTAAACAGCACGGGGGTAAAAAAAAATAGAAATGAAATAAAGCAAATGAAAAAAAGAAGAGAAGAAGCAACAGATGAGATCGTTATCACTCGGGGTGTCTGCTGTTGAATGAGAAACAAAGGGTGAAAAGAAATACAGACAACCGTCGTCTCCCTTCCGGAAATCCAATGACCCCCTACTTCAACACTAATTACCTCCGGCCCCGGCTCTCGAAAAAAAAGCGGGGCAAAAAATTGACAGAAGAAAATGGACAAAACGAACGAAACGTAAAAAAAAGAGTTTCCCTTCGTCTTTATTGATACAGTAAGCTCACTCACGTCAAACTTTCGGGGTAATTACGAGCGAGTTCGATGATTGATGGGCAACGAAAAGATACAATAATTCGATAATACTTGTGTGTAACGACCGGATCTTCGGCCTGCAATACATGCATCCTTCTTTGAAGCAGGGAAACGGCTCGAAAAAGACATTTTATATTTGTTGTCCAAGTTTAAAAATTTCCAATCTGAAATGAAATCTCACCCTGTCTTTCAAATATGCGACTCTGTCCGGAAATGCAGACTGAATGTAATCAACCAGGAAAGCTTCAGAAAGGCCGTAAGCAAGATATGATCCCACCAAATTCGCAGTCACTGCCATGCATAATGCCGGAAACACTCCGAAGAACACAGTTGAAACTGTTCTCTGTTCATTAAAAACATGAATCAGTTGTAAAATCTCAAAAGTCGTGGAAGGCACCAAAAATTGAAACCCTTATTGTACTGTACTATACGTAAACGGTTTCTTATTTTTGAAATACATTAAAAACTCGTAAACACAAACTCTCAGGGACCCTTTTAAAAATCCTTCATCAGAACAAAAAAAATTAATGCATTAAAATCCATTTTGCACTGCAATTTTGTAGAAAATGGGTAATTAATTTACTGTGAAGTGCTTCCACAAAAGATAATTCAAGGCCTGTCATAATATCCAAGTCTCTCTTTATGAAATGAAGCGGACAATTTTTAAACACGCAGTACTGTATACTGTTTAACAATTTTCCTTCAATTGAGCTGCCTTTCTACTTTAGTGTAATTTGTCTTTTAAAAATAAAAAAGAAGAAAAAGCACGTGTGGGAGAAACACTTTCTTCTGAATTCATGCCTGTTCTTTCAAATGGAGAATAATTCTTTCTAACATGCTTCTTAATTGAATGAAAGGCATAAATTTTCAAATGAAACTGACGAATTTCTAATAAATACGTCTGGTTGTGCTTCCTCAACACAAAATAATCTTTACAAAAAGTTATTGCTTATTCTTTGAAAAATTTGAAATATTGCACCTGTAGTTCAATTTTTTCAAATACGTATGCTGAAATTTATCAAATAATCCTTATGCACTAGGCAGAGAATCTTGGCCAACACTTTGTTATACTGAGATTACAGCCTAAGAAAAGCTTGTTAGAAGATTTTAAAAAATGGTGGAGGAACTTGCAGGACCAAGAAAAAATGAAATGTGTTCTACGATGAAAAGAATTGTTGCAAAAATATGTTTTGTCATGGAATTTTATACTGTTTTACAGTTTTAAAGTCACCAAAAATCGGGTGCCTAATTTACTCAGGGATACAGTTCTATCAAAAATTTGTTTGAAAAAGCCTGATGTGTCTATGTGTCTTCATCAATACTATATTGCGTGCTTATCTCTCAAGTAGATATAGTATGTTCAAGATATGATGCAATGTATGCTAAATTTAGAAAAAGTTCTTTCTCTGAAGATTCCTAAAAAATTAGCATCCAAAACAAGCGCAAGAATAATTTTTATTTCTTTTGTTATAGCACAGAGACAATTTTTTTATACAGGGCAAAGTATGTGATGCAGGCAAGTTAAATTTTGAGAATCTCAAGAAGGGATTACAGTCAACCCCCACACAATGGATTTTACCACCTCTACATAGGTGCAATGGATTAAATCCGCAGAAGACTTCTGTTGGTTTAAAATTAATGGTATAAAGTACAAAATTTTAATCTGTATAATAATTGAACTTGCGTAATAGTCTTTTTACACAAAAGATTAGTCTGTTGCACAAATTAAGTGCATTGCGTGGGGGTTGACTGTATCTGTCTGATTGCAGCTACTATTTCCCGATCAAATTTTCAAATAACCTTCAAGATTGTGGCAGCATGAATTTCAGTACTGCACAATTCAGAAAAGAGGTTCAGATTTAATTACTCAGCTTAATATTTTTTTCAACAAGGAAGGACTTCAAAATTAAACGTATACTTGAGTTTAATTCCATTTCGTTTGCCAGATTCAGTTCTGAATGTGAGACATTTTCATCTGCAATGTTCAGTTGATTATCTGGGCATATGAGTTCACTTGACCTGAGCTAACCTCAATTATAGCCGATGAATATGTGATTGCTTGACTGCTGAAAGTGCGCTGAAAATTGAGCACTAGGACTTATTTTTGGAGATATGAGGTAGAAAAATAATACAGTAATTTCCCCCTTATCTGCAAAATTTTTCAAAATCACGGGTGACAAATTAAAGCTAGTGCTTTCAGTTAGATGGTTTAAAAAGAAAAAAATCACTAATTTGAGAAATCCTCTGCCAAAAACATTCAAAACAAAACAAAATCTCGGCTCACAAGCGACCTGATCCCAGGAATGCCAAACGCTCGCCAGAAAGTCTGCGTCAACCACAGCATGGAAAACGTGTACCAACCATGGTTCAAACTGTAATCCCCCACTACCCTGGCCTGCTGCTGAAAATCCTTGTAATTCGTGGGCAATTCCAACTCTTTCTCAGAGGCTGGGCCCAGTTTGTACGCGGCTAGCAGAGTTGCCAGCGAGAGCCCGAACATGGTCGCGAATCCCGCCAGGCCATGCATGATGGTGAAACCGTCGTCCACGTGCTCATGGCTTTAATCGAATAACTTAGTCCTCTAAGGCCCGGAGGCATAATTATTAATTAAACCAATAAGAAGTAAATTTATCACAACATCCTGAAAAAAAAGAGCTCGGTCAAGGCTCCTCATCCGTGCCTGAATATGGATCCCGTTCGGATTTCGCGAGGTTTTCTTCCCCGGAAAATAACCGCCACGAAACGGTATTTTGGACCTTTTTTCCCCCCAAGACTTTCAGAGACTTTTTCTTAAACGCTGAATTAAAAAATGGGCGCGAAAATGGAATGAATGCAGATACAAGTCTTGGGGAAATATTTTCTTCCTTTTCATGTTCGTCAAGCGTCAATTAACAGAAGTTCCTTTTCGGAAGCATAAGACTTGATCAAAGTTTCTGGAGAAATGTTACCGAAAGAAAAATAACCTTCAGTATTCGTTTTTTGTTTGGTTGTAGCTGAAATGATATCTAATCTCTGTTAAGTACATTTATGACGCAACACTTATATTTCTACTCGGATGAACTTGTACGAAATCTTCAAGCTCAGTTCAAAGTCTCTCTGAATTTTTAGTCAGGGACATTTCTCGCTTTTTTATGTGCATTCATCACAGGGGCTGTCGATTTCAGGGCAGTATTCGAATCCAGAGAATGTATCATTACTTTTTTAATTTTTTTTTATTTTCAGGAGGAGAAAGCGAGGATAATACACTCATTGAAAGTCATGCTCTCATTAAAGATCATACTCTTCTTTTTCAAATCATAAAAAGACTACTGTACAAGTTTCTGGTATTTCATTGTTAAATTCGATACATTTTAACTCGATGCAATTTAAATCGCAAGATACAAGATACTCTAGCTTTTGTGGAATCTTTACTTGCTCAATTAAAAATACGTTGGCGGGAGCCAGAACCGAAAATTCATTCCAATTGAACAGAGTCTGCTCTGTTCGATGGAACGTTTCTGACGTGACATGTTGGTAAACATTTGGAGAAACGTGTGGCGTGGGTTGTTCTTTGCTGTCGAGGAAAAAAACCGTTGGTATCTTGAGCGTCGACAGGCTGCCGGGTGTCGGTGTCGGTGTCGTGGTTTTGCTGATATGATTAGGTTTCGGTTTATAACATTACACTTACGGACACAGCCGTCGGAGCTCTTGAAAACAAAGAACGGTTTCGTTGAGAACTACTGTATATACGATAAGCGGAACTTCGTGAGAAGTAGATTCAAAATTCCAGTCTCACGAGATAATATACAGCAGGGACATTATTACACCAGTCGGTTGTCTGTTTGCTACTGATGGAACGATTGGAATCTCAGACATTAATTATGATTGCATTTTCGCGTGGGGCGGAATGTTTCATTAACGAGGACGTAATTTAAGAAGGCATATCCTCATATTTTCAGCTGCAACTGCTGTAGAATCCACGGCAGCATTACCATATTTTCAAGTGCCTCAATTAATGATTTTCCCACTTCTCTATGTGGCGTATTATCTTGAGAACATTGAGAATACAAATTTATGTGGAGTGACAACAAATTTAGAATATAGTGGAAGCAAAAATAATTTCAGAATATTGTGCATCACTGCTGTTTTGGTAGTGTTGAGACGAATAAGTTGCCTCGTCGCTGCATAAAATTACTCATAAAAGATGTTTTGTATATAAAAAAAATGTCATCGACAAAAAGGGAAAAGAATGAATCTTATTTATACTGTACGTAAAATTCTCTGGGCAAAAACTGAAAATTTTCAACGTCATAACTTTGAATGTTTGACATTTTCCAAGGACAAGGCAAAAAATAACAGTTGGACATTGAAAGTTTTAAAACCTCTTTAACCCTTGGACAGCAGAGGGTTCTTTCCCATTGCCAGCCAAAGTTGGATTATTTTTGTCTGCTGTGCATTTTAGGTTTTCTGAAAGTCAGAAAAGCCCTTCCAGGTGGGCTGAGGTGAAGTCAGGATTAATCCAAGAAAAGTCTGTTGCATAACATGGCATTTTTTTTATTTTCCTGCAAAATTTTTCTGAGCAAAAAGAAAGGGATCAGGATTTTCCCCAACTTTGTCCTCAACTCCCTGTTATCATTTTTTTCTCTTCTTCTCTGAGGGGCAACAAAATTTTGCAAAAATAGTCTGACTTTGCCACCCAAGGGTTAATTCCAATTTCCAGTTAATCCCTGGCCAGTTCCCTGAAGTCCTATGGACAGTAGATGGCCCAACATATGGAAAATTTGATTCAAGGACAGACATAACTAAGATTTTTCCCAACATCCAGAAAATGTCTCAAGATGCACAATTTTTCAACATTTCTATAAAAATGCAACATTTTTCTTTTTCAAAATTTGAATATCTTTGGAACAAAGTGAGCCATTTATTTCCACAAAAATTTCAAATAAGTTTCATTATAAAATTTCTTAAGTTCTAATAATCAAAAACAGGCTAATTTGGTGTTTCTTTTCTCAGTTTTGTTCCATGTGTTTACAGTGCAGTTCTAGTTTGTTCTTGTTTGTTCTTGTTAGTCGCTAGTATAGTACTGTAGTTAGTTAGCTCTCATCAGTTGCTTATATTTGTTGCTTGTTTGTTGTTTCTTGAATAACTTCATTATGATGTCAAACGATCAGATTTGATGTGGGTTTCTTATGCATAGTTATTTTTTGTAGCTTGAATAAGTTGATAAAAAATGTAACTCAATTTTTTGGGACTTTATTCTTAATTTTTGCTGAACATGCGAACCAATTAAATATGCCTGTATTGAAGTCTGTGGGACAATGTGATCCAATATTCAGCTGCTTTGACAGAGGGACAGTATCCAAGCACCAATTACGTCCGCATCTCGGGGCCCCCATGTAATTAAGAATGTATTTTAATGAAACTGGTTTGTGGGTCAGAGTCGCTGGTCTTGCTACAAAAGTAACATTATAGTTACTTTCTTGGCAAAAAATTCTTAAACCATGAAAATTATTCACGCGAAATATTACAAGAGCGAGAGGAGCGCCAAAAAATCCGTATACGCTTTCGATAAATCCTAGGCGCTTAAAAGTGAATAATGGCACACTTTTAAAGCAGGAACCTGCTCCAGTACGCCTTATTCCAGCATTAAGTTAATAGTGCAACTAACGAAACTTAAAGCCAGCTCAAGTTGTCGGAAAGGATAGGACACATACGACATTGCAAGTGAAACTCGAGATATTCTGAAGGAGGATGCCCTTTTCAACCCTCATCCTGAAGCACTTCATTAATCACCAACTCCAACTGAACCCGGATTATGACACAGTCGGTTTCCGGTTGTTTGGCTTCTTCATGCGCTCGGCCCGACAAGGGAAGACTGTAACGTCATTAATTCCTGTTCAAAAAGATATGTACTGGAAAAAAAAGTGCACGCGTTATGGTCCTCGTTCTCCCCCTTTCTTCAATTACTTTTTTCTCCTTCGGTTTTTTTCTTTGACGACTTCGTCTTCCTTCGCTGATTTATTGCCTTTTTTGGCACACCGAAAAAAAATGACTAAAAATAAGGCGTCCCAAACCTCGAAAGCGGCTTTCTTACGTCGCGACGCGACGCTGTTAGTGGAGCTTTGCGACACGTACCTTGGCAACCCAATGGGTTCGCTTCATGTGAGGAGGGGTGACGGTTTTTGCGGTATTTTTTCCGAAGGAGAGGGTGATTTCGAAGAGGAGACCTTCCATGTCTTGCAAGACGAACTTTGCCGCAAAAAAAATTATCTGCAAGTTTTTCCCATAGTTTTAAAAATTTCTGATGAAATATGCAGAGTAATTTTTCAGAAAAGAAGCTGGTAATTCATCCAAAATAACTGCTTCTCTTCTGCGCATTAATTCTTTTGAAATTATGTATTTCTGCCCAAAAATACAGAGAGATCCCAAGATGAGGACATAATTGGTGCATCAAGAGGTGTCCCTAAGTCAAAATGTTCCCAAGTCAAGTCACAAGACTTACATTATATAATTTTTAATTTGCGTTTTATGTACAAAATACTCACCATAATTCCATGAAAATAAAAATTGGCTCCTAATTTAAACTGATTCCAATCAATATATTTCAACAC